ATTATTACCCCCCCTGAGTCCCCAGTATTGGTAGGTTTAGGATCAGGTGTGGGAATGGGGTTAGGATTAGGCAACCAGGTAACGGCATCAACGAGGGGGAAATAACTTTGAGTGAGTTAAAATTTGGTACAACACCGGCAATCATCTTTAGCTTCAGCGAATGCAGCTCAAACAGCAATGCACGACATTAATGACTATGATTGGGACTGTCAAATAGCCTACAGAACATTATAATGAAAACACTATAGTAATAAAACGCTGTGAATTCTTTGGGTTTAGTTGCCGTGTTTCAGTGCGTTGTTACGGGAACAGTGCATCCACAACAGGAGTTACACCTTTTGACTAGCATGTAACTTAGTTCAAGTTCACTTGTGCATTCGTGTCATTTTGTGCAGATATAAGCTGTAATATTATGTTTATGTTTTATAAATATCTGATTCATCTCATAAAGGATCCGTTTCTTTTGAGTTAATTAGACCGCTAACAAAGCAGTCTACTAATATATATGTAGAAGTGCTTAGGACATGGCTTTTAATGGTCAGACTTTGTTTTTCTAATCAGGCTCTTATGTTTAAAAATATTCTAACTGACCCCCCAGCGTGAGTTTTTCAAGGCGACAGTTATTTAGAATTTGTCACTTTAATGTTTCCATGGTGACGCGTCATTGCTTGTCACGTGACAGCACAACCACAACACAGCGCTGAATGAGTGATGATCTGCTTTTATGTCATTTTTCCTTTTTTATTAAAAATATTCACAGATGTATTAGCTATAGCATGAAACACTGATATTCCGATTGTCAAATATGTGCAAGTGGATGGTTTTTGTTGTTTAAACATCTTTATAACGATCGCGTTAGTGGAGCTGTATGCACAATGGGCGGCGCCATTTTAGTTTGTTTTACAGTTCAGAGAATCGGATCTGTTGGATTACAACACGTCAATTCCTCCACTTCTCACGAAATACATGAAAGTAAGTGGCCGGTGAACTGGGAGAAGAATAGGGTCGAATGTAAAGCTACTTTCACAATGTGTATCTGATATGAATAAAATGTGTCGTCTTATTATAATAGAAAGGATTAATATTGCCGCTTCCATAGACATCAGTGTGTATTTTACAAACTCAAAATCATTGTTTTGCTAGTACTTATTTGTATTTAAATGTCTGAAACCTAAAATAAACATTATGTGGTTGAAAACACTCAATAGTTGTGATATATGACAGCACTGAGTGCGTCCGTCTCTGGCTCAGCGCCAGCCAACGCGCGAAAGCACGTTTGAATTTAGCAGTTGATCACGTGATGCACTGACCGTTCTAATCACACCGGTGTGATCATACGCTCCAGGGACCAGCCAAGACTGATCACACCGGTGTGATCGTACGCGTGAAAGGGTTAAAAATTACATAAAATTTGGATTTAGATTTAGCGGCCAATATATCGGTTATCAGCTTTCAAATATAAAGAATTATCGGTACTGGCAAAAATGTTCAAATCGGTGCATCCCTAGCACAGATATAACCGTTATAATATAACTGTTTGTGTCGTAATTTCTTTCTCTCTGTGCTTGGAGAACCAGCTCTGAGGAAACAGAAAAGGAGAACTGCACAACATGTGCGCCATATGTTAAAATTAGCCACTGAAAGTACCTCTTCTGCTACAAACAAAACATTTCAACCAAAAACAATTACCCCATATTTGGAAAAAAATGCGGGGATGAAGAACAAACAAGTTTGGTTACTTCGGAAGCCAGAATGTTTTATTGAGGGTATGCAGGTGTGCGAGCAGAGCAGGTGTGGGCAAATGAGCATTCAGGTCTAAACATGCACAGTCAGCTTGTGCTTGTTTACCCACGATGGGAATGTTGGAACGTATTGTTAGTGGGAAGAGAATGCAACTCAGTGGCAAACAGCCAATCAGAATAGGAATAACCTGGCTGTGAGCGAGTACTGTCAGGCCTGTCAGTACCCTCTCATGGGTCCACAAGTGCTGTTGTGCAACACTCTGCCATTCTGTGGTGAATCACTCATGACACACACCACTGCCTGCAGTTCACCATCATGGCTGGGTGATTGTGGGCTGCCTGGCCAGATCACTCATGCACTCTTTTATTAAATATTCAAGAGCGGTAACCTTCTATCGCAGGCATGAATATTCAGTGTGTCTAATTCGTGAGCTCAGTGCTGTGAGTGGACCCAGCCCTTCAACGGAGTCACAGATGATTTCTTCTCCAGCTCAAATCCTGACGCCTCATAAACTGGGATTATGCATGTCACAGATAAGCAGATAAATCACAGAAAAGCATTTGCAAAAGTGACAGCCTGTCTGAATGATCCCTAATTTTTTAGATGGTCTGGATTGAAAATGAAATTTCAAGGTAGAAGAATACAAAAATAAACAGAATAAATACAGGAAGGGAGGTACAAAAAAAAGACTGATGATGATGTTTATTTTTCAAGTGAGATTCTCAGGAGACATTGTTAGTACACCACACTGTTACACAATACAACAAGGCTTCCAGCAGACAAACATCTGACATTACAAATGCAACGGTCATTATGCATAGTTCCCAGGTATGTAATAGAATCCACTAGTCATACTTTGACAACCTGACCTAGATTGGCCATTGACCCAACACAACCACAGAATGAACGTACAGGCCTTTACTGGCAGGACGTGACACATTGAATCAATGCTAGAAAATAAAGCCACAATAAAAACAAAACTAGAGAAACACTGGAGAAAATTCTGGCCGATACCTATGCAACTATCATTTTAATGTAATAGTTGATTAACCAATAATCATCATATTTTAACTAGGGTTTTCACGGTTCCAGAATGTTCAATACCAGTAAAATTCCGCAGTTCTCAATATCCATTTCAGTACCAGAGCAAAAACTGTTGAATTAAGAACTTTTTAAAAATGTGTCCCATTTTGTCTCGTCTGTTGGTCAGCAGTCGTCGCAGTTTTTTTTATTCAATCGCACATATAAATAGAAGAGCACGAAAGGTTGTCAATCTCTAAAGCGCAAGCTCACTGAATTCTGCACTCGTGAAAAATCCCATTATATTTATAATAATAAAAAGCTGTCTTAATTGTACAATGAATCTTTACACCGTGTTGGTTAAAATCAAAGGTTTCATGAGCATTTGGCTCGCGTTGAACAAAACAAAACCTCATGAATTTTTAGCAGTGTTAAGTAGATGCTGACTAACTTTCTGACTAGTACATCTGATAGGCCACTGGGTTCATGCGCTCAACAGATTGTGATTGGCTACAAATGCTTGTAAAAACACGCTATAAATAGAAACCTTTGACGCTAAGAGAGCGCAAAAACAAACATGAACGAGAACGTTTGAAAGCATTCCGTCTATTCACTTGCAAAACTGTTGAGTTCTCTCACAAAACTGTAGATGGAAATAATATGAGATGGGAGGAAAAACTATATTTCAGTGGTTTTGTGAGCAAATACAAAATTTCTCGGTGGAATGTAATACTTTTTTGGGAGCAAATGCAATACTGAAACAATTTTTCTTCCCATCCCATGTCCTCTTAGGCACAAACCTGGGAATCCTTTCCTAAAACTGAAAAAATTCCTGTTTAGAGATTTAGTCCCTAGTCCCAAGTCCCAACTGTGAAACCTGATAATCATGTAAGTAACTGAAACTGACGCTAGAGCTGCACGATTAATTGGTAATCGCAATATCATCACAGCAGTACTGGGATAAAAGTTTAGTTTGGATATAAACACTCTACGGTAGAGATCAAAAATCATCTTTTGAAAGTAACTTGGCACTTCAAATAACGTTTGCATCATTACATCTTCATGCAACCAGGTGGCGACAAGTGACTGTTAAAAATGTAATTTGTCATTGAATCATTGAATCATTCATTCAAGAGATTTGCTCAAAATTCACTCGCTAATTCATCCAGTAATGAAACAAGTAAAGTGTTTATATGTGAATCATTGAATCATTCATTCAAACCATTTATTAAAATAATTTGTTTAGATTAATTAAACATTTGAAAGACTGCAGCAAATAACATTTTGTCAGAACCTCTAGTCAATTACATGTTATTTTGTTTAGTTGTCTGTTCAGAATCGTGATCCGTTTGTAAAAATGTTTTTTCTCAATTTCTCCAGAATTGTGCAGCTCTAACTGACACCACATAAAAAAAAGCCACAAAGCAGCAAAATTAGCAATGAAAAAAAAAATTTGTTTTAACAGCAAAAATTTAATTCATCACAACATTATTACACAGAGTATGGAAAATTGACATTCATTTTGAGTTTTCTAAAGATTATATTTAACAATTCTTTATCATTATTATTTACTTTAAGTGAGTATAAAACAATTATATTGCACAAATAAACATCCAATCCTGACCTATACAGACAAAACCAGATATGGTCTCGATATATTGAGCATCAACAAAAAAAAAAGACACTTTACCTTAATGTCTAATCATGCTCCCAAACCTCAGAATCCACATCTACAAGTAAAAACTTCCTGTTTAGCAATTCCTTCATAACTTCATAACTGAAACCTGAGAATCACATTACAGAAACTACCGGCAGAAAATTCCAAACAAAGGCATGCAATTCCAGAGAAAATTATTTATACCCAAGATGCCTACATCCTGCCATGACGATGTAATACTATTTGAAACACTAAGTGCTCTTTTGGGGAAGGTTCAGAGCAAAAAATTACAGCTGCAGTGAACAAAGGTGCCACTCCAATGAGGCCCCTCAGGAAACACTAGTCAACCCTTAATAAGCTGAACGTTAATTAGATGCCAAAGTGGCACTTCAAACACTCCAGTTCACTTTTTTGAGCAGCACACGAAGCAGCGGAACAAAAGGCTCGCTAATACATGAATGAGGGGGATATGCATGGGCGGATGAAGAAAGAAGTTTTTACTCATTTATAATTAGCATAATCTGACCCAGAACTGGCAAGTTGAGGACATTAAAATGCTTTTATCAAAAACTATTCTTACCCTCAATGCTCAGTTCAAAGCACACATGGCAGAAGGAAAGCGTTCCTGTGTCCGTTTCTAGTTTACAGATGCTGCAGATGTTGTCATCGTTCAGGTCTATGTTCACAAAGTGCTCCTCTTCCTCCATGATGCCTCTGCAAAGCAAACAGAACAAAAACAGTTATTCAATACATTTAATCTCACTTTAGTGCCTTTTGAGATTGATGCATAAAACATGCTGTGGACAATCGCTACTACCCAGGTCCCTTAATCGTAAAATTTGCTCCTCACATTCAGGTCTCAGGAACAGGCCAACAGATGAGCAAGAATGAAGAGAATTTTTTTGACCCATATAAACATAATGCAATATCAAGATAAGGTAAAAGAAACACACACACAGAGACGCAATCATATTAACAAGACAGATAAGCAAACATTCAGAACACAGCGGACGTTGGAAGTCGCTGTGCTTCTGTAATTTATTATGGACAGTTTTACAACAGTCTCTTTCATGGGGGCCACTTGGATTCCTGTGAAGCCAAAGGACTCTAGTGTTCAGTGTTTACACACAACTAAATTACCTTTGCTCAAGCCTTACATAAAGCCTCCTTCCAGAATGTCACAGCCTGTTGAGTGGATAAATTTGGTTACAATCTGGAGATAATCATGACTCTGTCTGTCCATCACAGCCAACCCACTGTCTGCTATTGCATAAAACTATTTCATAATCATATCATACTGTAAACAATTCCAAAACAATACAAAAATAAAATGTATATATATATGTATAGATATATACCACTCTTTTTATCCAATGACCTTTCCAGTCCTCTGCGAATATTGGATAAAGAAAATCCTTTTTGTTTCATTGAAAATACAGACAAAAAAAAATTATAAGCTCACAATGACTTACAAGCAAGTTTTAGTCTACATTACAGTAATATTTTTTCCAATTTAATATTTTAGAGGATTAACATGGCATAACTAGAAACTAGGGCTGTCAAACAACTAATCACGATTAATCGCATCCAAAATAAAAGTTTGTGTTTACATAATGTGTGTGTACTGTGTATAATTATTTTTAATACATAAATACCCACACATGCATGTGTATTTAAGAAATATTTCCATGTATATACTGTATATAGACTGAATGTAGCCTATATATAATGTATATTTTATATAAATATAAACATTTTATATATAAATAACATATTTTTCTGAAATATATACATGTGTGCATTTATATACAAAATAATTAAACACAGTACACACACACATATTCTGTAAACACAAACTTTTATTTTGGATGCCATTAATCTTTTGACAGCCCTACTAGAAAATAATAATTACATTTACTATAGACATTTCTTTGACTTTTAGGATTTGATTACTTCCCATGACTTTTCCCAAGGATTTACAGTTGTCTGGTATTTTCCCTTACTTTGGTAAGCCTATATAAACAAATGTATCATTTTTTGCAACAGGTCCAAACAAGCTAAAAAGAAGCTTCTTTTTTAACATTGTTTCCTTTAGATCAAATATTTCTTTGTTTATACCACAGACAGATGAAACGGAACAGTTCAAAGCTGTGTCAAGTGGGAACTTCATGTTGAACTTCATCTGATTATGAAAGTGTTTAAACTGCATAAACTAAGAACAAGACACTGTGGTTGTGTCTCAAAACCCAAATGTGCTGCCTACTAGTCAGCTTAAAAGTGCTGCACGTGTCAATAATGCCCACAAATGTTACAGCATACTATGTTATGGGACACAGCCTTGTGGGATTATTTACTTTAGGTAATTTGTTCAAATTGCCCAAAATTGACTAAAACATTTTGTGAATATCTGTTGATATGTCTGTCGTATAGCTGCACGTGAACGTTATAAATGTAACGTTAGCTGAAACCCAGAAGACAAATGGACCAAATCAAACCAAAACTTAATGTGTAGAATTGACATTTACATAATCAACAAAATGTTATCAACATATTTCAGATGCATTTCATACCAGTTTAATGTATAAAAGGTAACTTTATATGGTGACAAAGAGCATCATTAACGTTACCATTTTAAAGTGAGCAGAAGTTAACCCAACACTAACAAAGCTTAAAGGACTTCCATTACTTAAACACACACATTTTGATATACCTCTAGACAAACCCCCTTATAAACACAACACTATATGACAAAAGACTTTAAATACAGTTTTCAAGACATTCTGCGTTGGAATAGAACGATACCTCTAGACTAGACGAGACCCGTTATCTAGCGGCGTATCTATTTCTCATTAAAAAATCCCCTGAAAACGTCACATTCTCGAAAAACAGACGATACCTACAGAACATATCGGCGTTTATTACCTTAATAGTTACGTTGTCAGAAGAAATTTCAAGACAATCCAGGCTGACCTTAGAGGTAAACCACGCTGTTACAGCGGCGGGTGTTGTTATTGAAGCAAACGGCAAGCAGCTACAAGTACAGCAACGACAAAGAAAGAATGCTCTAACAGACGCGACTCAAGCCACTCTAGTGGAAGCCCAATGTTCGATCACGTGCTGTGCATTCGCGCCTCTGATTGGTTCTGTTATTTTGTTAGCTCTTGGCACGCTGACACGCTGTTAGCAATGATATTTCTTTCAATGATATTTCTGTAGTCTTTGGCAATACGTACTGTTCTGTTACTATAACTGTACTACCGTTACTGTACTACTGTCAGTATTACTACTCTGGTACTACTACTCTGGTTCTACTCCGTCCACTAAAACAGAGTGGAAAGACTAGACTAGTCATTACGTTCACCCATGTAGAGGGTGGGTGAGGGTAACATTTCAGATTCATTACTTTTATGAGGGGTTACAATATTTTTGCTGTACATTATCGACTTTTTGTATGTGTTAATTATTTGCAAACATACAAACGCTGGTGAATTAGTTGAGAGTCAGTTGCTGCTCAATATAAATTAAGATATAAAGGCACAGATCATTTAAATGATAGGCTATAGCCCTTAAATATTACAATTTATGGCATTCAAAAAATAGTGCTGCTATTTATTATATAAATATTACACTTGAGTTTGCGAGTAATGCGAAGAGAGAGCAGAGTGGGGATGGGAAATCTCAGTGGCTACGCTCCACTTTTAGGCTACGTTGTTTCAAAGCGGCTTTTAGTGTGTGTGTGTGTGTGTTTGCCAAACTTTATGTTCTAGTTTCTTTTAGAAACTATTTTTGTTGGTCAAAAATATACGAACCGTCCACTTTTTGTCTGAAACGTAAATTTCTCAATGTTGATTAATCGTTTTCAGAACTTTAATAAAGCTGTAGGCCTATAACATTATGACATTACATTCATTTTATATTTATATTTAAATATAAATGCCCTCAGTAGCTCACTTGTCTTAAGTAAAGTCGAGGCCACGTTTTTTATTTTATTTTATTTTATTTATCACAATCTACCACATAAGAACAATCACATCGCCTCGAGCATTTGCGCACTCGGGGAATTCCAAAAGGGAATTTCTCTTTCCACAACACGTCAAAGCAACTCGCATCTATTGCTTTCGATTCTCCGTTCCACCATCCTTCCACTGTAGTCTGTGAAGTTACATCCTTACATAACTGAAATGGCACTAGAAACCAACGCGCCTTTGTGAATGCCTAATCAAGACAGTTATTCTGCTGAGGATCCCATTATCGTCACTCTATTCTGCATTGATATAAAAAGAAATGGCTTCTGCTTTCATCATGTGCCAGTTTCCATGGGCCCTCATTTGGCACTCAGCATCTGTGTCATCTTCATAGACAGATTGTCTGTGAGTGCTCGTGCCAAAATCCCCTCTTGTATTAACATTCTCTGTCCATGTGCATAACTGTCTTTAATAGAGTCATTCTGGCAAATGATCGGAATAATACAGCTATTAGAAGCACATTTAAAATATAGAGACTCGTTTCATAGATAAACATGCAGGGAAATGCTACACAACCATGTAGCACATCCTAATCTCTCACAGTTTTGATCCACTTCTTAAAGGGATAGTTCACCCAAAAATGAAAATTCTGTCATCATTTACTCACCCTCATGTTGTTCCAAACCTGTGCAGCACAGTCATTTATTTCTTCTGCTGAACACAAAAGAAGATATATTGAAGAATATGGGTAACCAAACAGTTGATGTATCCCATTGACTTCCATTATGAATAAAAAAAAAATACTATGGGGACAAGTCAACTGTTTGGTTACCCATATTCTTCAATATATTTTCTTTTGTGTTCAGCAGAATAAAGAAATGCATACAAGTTTGAAACAACTTAAATGATGACAGAATATTGATTTTTGGGTGAACTATCCCTTTAATTGTCTTTGCAGGTTTAGTAATAAAAAAAGGTGACATTTCTGATGCAATGTGTGATTTTGTATTTATTTTTTGGTAATGCTGGTGATAAGGTTTAATCTGCTTTCCTCTGCTTGTCAATGTTGTCCATTTAAAAAAAAAATTTAGTCTATTTATAATTGTATTTATTATATTCATTTATTTATTTGCTTTAGAGTGTTTGTTATTTTCTTTTCTGGTGAGTTATATTCTTTTTTATATGTGAATTTTTTTGTAGATGTACTTAAATGTTCTGCTGAAGGTGTTTGTATAGCCTCATTTCTGTTTTCTTAATAAAAAATAATAATATAGTCACTTTCTGCAGCCAGAAACAAACCATTAGCACCACCATCTGGCCAGATAAGATACTGCAACATTGACTCATAAACATTATTCACACATGTATACTGTAATCTGGCAGCCACAGCTATAACCATTAAAGACATCCATTCATATTAAGTGGTCACATAATGTATTTGATCAATTACTTTTTTTTTTTTTACACAGTATTGCATATTTGGTAACACCCTTGCATGCAACAGTAGCCTATATCCTCCAGAATTACATGGTACATTTTCTTCTCGTTTAATAATTAATATGCAAGCTATTTTTATGACTTTATTTTAGCTATATGGATTTTTTTTTTTTTTTTTTTTTTTAGTCAACAGCACCATTTAAGTGAATTGCAAAAATGGGATTAATGGTGAAAAGCTTCTGACCAGTTCTAGCACCTCAAAATTATATAAAAATACTTTCCACATAAATTAATATACATTAAAAAAAAAGACAAATTATAAAAAGCATGCCAAGTGTCCCGGGACACTGACAGTTTAAAAGTTAATATTGTGGAAAAAGTTCATATTTTAATCTGTGCAGAAATGTTATTAACAGAGGCACACACACACACACACACACACACACACACACACACACGCTTTTGGAGCAGAAACACCTTGCAATCAAATTAGTAATCAGTGATCGATCGCAACAAAATACCACTTCCTTATTTTAACAAAGAGAAATTTAAGATATGTATTTCAAAATGCATGCATAAACTAAGGAAGACAGCATGTATTTACGGAGTAGCATATATCTACTTTTATTTTTCCACAAGGTGGGGCATTGGAGTGGGAGAGATTCGTTTCATTCTGGCTGATTCATTTGTGTGTTCAAGGAAGAAGAATGCATTTCATGTCAGATCTTGCACATCTCATCTCACAGCACGATGTCCTCAAGGAAACACCTGTATGTTCAAGGCGTCACAGTGCATTACTCACCCTGACATCACCCATTTCAGAAGCTTGTTTTAACAATTTGCTTTTTATACTTGAATTCGATTTCATTGCTTCTGTTGTATATTTGATGGAAAACAATACTCTTGCATTGCTGTATTAAACGGTTTCTCATAACCCTCTGTTGAATTTCAAAGAGCAATGAAGTCTTGTTTTTTTGTAATCTTTTCCAAATGCTTAAGTATGACACCATACACTAAATCCGGTGAACCTTTCAGACTTTTCAGTTCAAGCATTCAGGCACATTTTTATGCAACAAGTGAGAACTGGGCCACAGACAGTAGCTAGCAGATTAGGGGAACAATAACTATATTCAGCTCTTTCCTGTTTGCAGAACTAGTCAATGAGTAACTTTCCATGAGATCAACAGTACAACTGTGAGTATATGCTGCACATGTCTGACACCCGCTCATAAATCAGTGAATTCATCTGCTTTCTGCAAACCCTTGTTCTCCTATACTGAGTGATGTTTGTACGTGTCCACGTGTGTATTCATGCACGTTTGAGCCTGTCGCTGGCTTTAAAACACCATCATCCCACAACCTGCCAGACGAGTCCCACCAGTTTTGTAGAAAAAGTGGAAGAGGATTCATATCGTGCATGGCCCGCCGTTGTCTTTTTAAGATAATGTGGTGGAGGTGTGTGTCATACACTTATGAACAGTAAGGTATTGTTTTAACTTTGAAAAACGTTTTCCATTCCCCTCACTATATTATGTCATTTTAGGCATTAGATACAATCGTCATGGTCCTGCATTCAAATAAATGTTACAATCACTCCACACATCATGCTTTTTTGGCAATAAAATCTCTATGAACTTGTGACAAAAAAGCATGGACTAAAAAAACATGGAAACAAAATATTTTAAAACATTTATGGTTTGACTCAAAACAAAACAAAAAGATGCCGCTCATAAATTGGCTCAATTTCAGAGGTTTCCAGCCATTGCTATGCAGTTGAATTTGTTTAAATTCATTTTTCCCACCGGGATTTTAAAAATAGTCTTTGTTAAAGGGATCTTTGTTTCTGACTGATGTTGGTTTCTGACGTCAACCCGATTTTCATTTTCAACCACAATAGCCTACGTCTGTCCAACGTTGGAGATTAGCGTCAATCTGACATTGGATTCTGACATCAACCTGATTTTCATTTTCAACGTTGGGTTTGGTCTTCTTAAAGGCTAACATATTCATCATACTAAAAGCCTAAAAACTTTAAATAGGGCACTATTTGAGGGAACAGCCATTTGGGTTATATTGAGTGCACTTATTCAATCTAACATTCAATCTGGAACTGTATTCTAGAAATAAATTTGATATTGATATGAGGCACATAGAAAAACACAGCTTTTCACCAGGAATTCCACTGTTAAATATGATTATTTTAAAATTAAGCTGAAAAAAAGGCAGACTAACGGCTTTAGCTGAAACAAATACCATTGATTAACAACCTTGCAGCCTACTGTGGGTCTATCTTTAAAGATTTATATTAGTTATAGATTTCCTGAATGGAGTTTTTACTTTCAGAACCCAAGTGTTACACTATTGCTATGCAGTTTCTAGGGTGGTCTTGGTGGTTACCAGGGTGTTGCTATGTTGTTGCTAATGTGTTCTTGGTGGCTTCTAGGGCTATGCTATGCAGCTGCTATGGTGTTCTGTGTGGTGGCCAGGGTTTCTAGGGTTTTCTGGGGTGTTGCTATGCAGTTCCTAGCATGTTCTAATTGGTTGCCACCAGCCAGGTATTGCTAGGGTGTTATGGGTGGTTGCCAGTGTGTTGCTATGCTGTTGTTAGATGTTCTGGGTAATTGCTCAAGTTTTTTTATTTTACCCGAATATTTCCCTGATTTGGGAAAAAAGTAAAGGTTAAACAGTAGTAATGGTTAAGTCTGACTAAGGTTGAAATATGCAACAACAGACAACAGATACTTTACATACATGTGATGCACTTTAATTTTTCATCAAATATAAAAGTGTGCAAATATAAAACTGTGCAAACACTATGGATAACTGAGAAATACCTTTTTTGTGTACAAAGGGGAAATGGCAAGGCAGCTTTATAAACTAGGCCAATTACAGAAGTCAAGGTGAAACCTGCAGGAGGTGTTGACAATGGATTACTACGGAAGTATGCTACGGAAGATTATTTATACAGATGCAAAAGCATGGATAACAACAACAACAACAACCACAGAATCACAGAGTTCAACAGTAGTTTAAAGACCTGGCAATTAACAGGCTTTCTGTTCCAGAAAGTGAAAGGTAATGATGGCTACACCCCCCTTTGCAAAATGCAGGGCTCGGCGCAGTGGTTTTACAGAGTGATGAAAAGATAAAGTGGTCTCAGGAATGAGCCAGTGGCCTGAACATGAGGGTACATGGGATAGAGTCCTCCCCCCATACGGTCTACCCACACCTGTGATCCCCCTGAGGGCCCGTTCCCATGGTACGAGCCAAATGGGTCTATAAATGCACAGCTCTATTTGAGTGAACCATTTTAATTATATAATTGGCCTCACAACATTGCCATTTCTCTTTAAATTATAGCCAAGATTTGAACTTAAGTGCAATATTAAGTTGATATATGATGAGCTTATTCTAATATGCTACAAAAGAAAATTCTATAATACAATTTTGGGGTTGGAGAAAGCATTGCTTGCATTGCATCCATCACCACAGTACACTGGCAACAAGAAGAAAATGGTGAAATTAAAGACATACAACAAACACAGGAATAGATAAACATTGGCATGGAAATGACAGGAAGTCCGGAAGTACAATATCGAAGCTCTATTTACAGTAGCGATATATACAAGAATGCATTTCTAGTCACAAAACAACACTATTATTAAGGAGGAAAGTCAACAAGAGACCAAACCCTGGAGAAAATACCTGTCAATATTCCGATAACTGAGTAATTACAAAATGTACATTAAATCCCAATGGATAACAAGAGTCCCTATTTTAGAGCATCTATCAGTCTTTATAAAGTAGGAGTGATAAAAATAGGGAGAAAGTGTCTGGGAGCATATTGGCAAAATTTCCTGGTGTCCATGAGGCCAAAGCCCCAGTAGGACCCTCAACAAGGCGCCGATTCACACAACGAGTCTACGGGTATCAGTGTGCCGTCAATATTTTTGTGGCTGGTGAGTTTCAGAATAACCACTTTCCTCTCCAGTTTTGTCGGGGTGAGAGGATTCGGACTCTCTGGCTCCGATTCCGATGTGTAGTCAAACGAGCGCTCTCTGGCAAACTGCGGAGACAGTGGTGCTGCGTCGGCACCACGTTCCAGCAGGACGCAGATGGCATCTTTGTGGCCACCACGTACAGCCAGGTGAAGTGGAGTGAATCCAGTTCTGTCTTGAGCATTAGCGACGTCGGGGAAGCTCTGCAGAAGCTCTCGGAGGACCTCGCAGTGGCCGTTCTCGGCAGCCAGGTGACACGCCGTGCGAAGGCCATGGTTGGAGCTCTCAGGCTCAGCACCCTCCGCCAGAAGCATTTTAACCGTCGGGAGGTGGCCTCTCTGGGATGCCAGGTGCAAGGCGGTGCAGCCGATGGCTGTCCGGCCGTGAATATCTGCGCCGTGTTTCACAAGCAGTCTTGAAGTGCTGGTGTGGCCCGTTTCCGCGGCCACGTGAAGAGGACTGTGGAGGCCGTCGGAGGTCAGGTGCACGTTAGCGCCGAGCTCCACCAGGATCCGTGCCACACGGTACTGGCCTCTTTGAGACGCCAGATGGAGCGGAGTGCGCCCGTCCGATGTCTGTCCATCAACATCGGCACCTGCCTGCTTCACCAGGAGCTTCACAATTCCCAAATGGCCTTTCCAGGCAGCCAGGTGTAGTGCCGTCCAGTCGTCTTTGCCTTTGACATGGACATCAGCACCACGACTTAGCAAGACCCTAACCACGTTCTCTTGTCCGTGGTGGCAGGCAATATGCGTCGGCGTGCGTCCCTGAGAGTCTATTTCGTTAATGGAAGCGGAACGGTCTAGGAGTAAACGTGTCAGGGCCTCGTCGCCGTTCTGGGCTGTGAAGTGCAGAGGTGTGTACTGGTCCTCGTCCTTGGCGTTGACATTTGTCGTCTTGCGGCTCAGGAGAATCTCGGACACTCCCTTCAGCCGCTTTTCGGCAGCCAGGTGGAGGGGTGTGGCTCCTTGAGTATTGGGCAAATTAGGGTTGCAGTTGCTAAGCAGCAGAAACTTAACTGCTTCCTCATTTGCCAGAATCACGGCGAAGTGGAGCAGGTTGCTGCCACCCTCCAAGAGCAAGTCAACATCTTGTGGCTGGAGGATCTTCATCAGCTTAGCGATGTCCTCTGTGCGAATGGCTTCACAAAGCTTCTTCTTCTGTAACTCACTGGATTCTAAAGTAGTACATAAATGGAGAACAATAATGAGAGGGGTTTTTTTAGGGTTTACCACATTTACGATTGTAAGATTCATCAATTTTTATCTAAATCTCTTCACATAATTTTTGTTCAACATCTTTGATAATTAATAATCTTTGCAAAAACAAAAAGAAACAAATAAAAAAATGAAACAAACAAAAAAGCCTAAACAATTCAAAACAGAAAACAACTCGGAACAAAATAAATAAAAACAAATTGAAGCAAAACAAAATCGAAGCAAAACAAAAACAAAACAATACAATTAACATAATAAAACTAAACAAAAAGCAAAATAAAACAATTTTTTTTTATAAAATAAAATAAAAAGCTTTTATGTATACTGTACAAAAACATGAGTGGTAAGCTGCTTTTCTCTTACCATTCACAGCATTTTCCTTCTCAAAGGACAATGTAATCGAGCCTTGGGATGAGAAAGCTGAGTCCACAGAGGAGATGCCTGACAGTCTCTTGCTGGTGTTGTCTTTGCTCTCAAGGGACTCCTCTTTGACATCGCTAAAACTGCGTGAGAAGCCTGAGTCGATCTGAGACAGCAACTCAGAGAGGCTGCAGTCTTTCTCAGGTAACATGGCTGACTTTGGCCTCACTGGCTTTTGGTTGCTAGTCTGTATGTGAAGAAAAGTAACAGATTGTTTTCAGATTTTAGAAATAATGGAGGGAGCCACTTGGATCATACATGAATAAGTCACTGAATCCAGATGTAAACATTTCCTTCAAAGACGTAGCATTTTGACAAATGAAGGACGGCATGTTCTTCCTAAAATAAACAGTTTTATACGCTCGTCCACAAAATGACAAAAGGGTTCTGTTGAGGCAATGCAGTTTGGTGGCATTCTCTGTCACTGATGAAAGACTGTCATCTTGGTGAAACATTTGCACTATGTACTTAGACTAAAACAAACAAATACCAAAGAGTTGCCTAATTACTGAGGGGCAGGAAGTCTAAACTACATTGCGGAGGTCAGTCTTTATGAATCATATGAACATCACTTGATGGAAACACTGCTTTACGTCACACAGGGTATGAAGGCGGAAGAGGATTTGTGAACAATCATGCATAGCACAATCATGAATAATCTGATATTACCTGTTCACTGGAGGCTGGGGCAGGGCAGGGGGAACATTCTGGTTCTGAAGAAATGGAAGCTCTGGACTCATCATGAGGTTTGGTGCACAGATCCTCAGCTTCTGAAGTGATCTCTGGAGGAGAAAGTGAACCATGTTAGACACATAAATATGCATTAACATAGAAATATGCATACATATTCATACGATCACCGCCAATTAAGACATGATCCTGGAACAACATCCGTGTCTGAAAATGTAATCCTAACCAAATCCCTACTCCTAAACCCCAGCACAGAAAGGCGTCTGGGCTTGACAGAGCATATTTAAGAAAGTCTGGTATAACCATTAATAGAAAATGCTTCCTGAAATAACAAAACGTACTCATGTTTTAAAAGTTATAAATGTACTGCAGAGCATGAATGACAACATTATCTTGTTGTCTGGCATATTCTGTCACGTCACTGTTGCAATGCAACTCTGGTTCCTTCCTGTGACTCAGCATGTTCGTTACTGGTATGATGGAACCGAGAGACACTCACCTTGAAAACTGGGTCTGGCTTCAGGAGAATGTACCCAGCACTTCTGCATAAGGGCCAGGAACCCTGAGCAGGCCTGGGGACGACTGCGGGGAATAACGCTGAGGTCTGGACGAACACCCTTCACCACCTTCACCATTATGTGCAGGATGTTATTGTCTCCTATGAAACAGACGGAGCAAATAATAACATCAGTATATTTGCCACACATCAGAATGCAGTGATATAGTTAATGTAGTTTAATTACAATACCTTAATTTAATCGAGTACATTACACAAAGTCATTTCACCCCAAAGATCAACAGGAAAAGAAAATAGATTTTGCATTACAAAAAAATAAAACTCATTTTTGTGGCACTTTTCCCTTCAATCCTCATTTCTGCTACAGATCTGAAATGGTTTACTTTTGTTTTACTCATAATTCTCAATGCTGATTCCCTTCCATAAATATTGTAAATTATTTTAATGTTTTTTCTTTTCTTCTTTTTATTAAATTATAAATGAAAGGCAAAACAACAAATTCTACACTGATGTTTAAGTACTACAATTTAAATACTAATTTAAATAATATATTTAATAATATAATGAAAATGGGGATCAACAACATCCTGAAGATATTGTGTTCATTAGACAAAAAAAAAAAAAAAAAAAAAAAAAAACACTTCTCAAAAAGCAAACGGAGGCCGCTAATTTCACGTCCTGTTATTTCAACCTTCATTGTACAGTACATCAGGATATTGTATAGGTTCCTTTTGGAAGGATTGTCTGGCAGCCAATTGCTTCCATTCACTGGTGCCAAACACAACAGTTATGCCTCTCATGACTCTTTCATTCTTTCATACTGAATTCTTGTAACTGCTAGTTACTAAAAAAAGCAGTCATATATTTTTCTTCCCTTGTACCTGGAAATCACAACCCTCACAGAGTGCCAGATAGATTGAAATGAATACAAAAAATCATCTGATGGCGCACATAATAAAGAGGAGTAATAATAAGGGTTTCCAGACACTCTGTACCAATTGAATTCAACTTTGAGAGACCGATTTTACTTCTCGTCTTACCTTGATATGGCTTCTTCTGTGTGAGAATTCCCCAGATAACAATCGAAAAACTGTGAAACAACACATACGTGTTAGTCAACATTGACATAAGCATGGAAAGGTGGTTTTGAAAAACAGAAGCTAATCTCATATTTGAGATATAATTTACACAGTGAAAACAATGCACATTGTTGGCTGACCTGTACACGTCGTGTTTAATGTCAGAGATTCTGTCTTTTTCTATAATCCTCTCTGGAGGGAGGTAAGCGATGGTGCCACAAAACCCATCACGGCTAATATCGTCATTCCTGGAAAAGCCGTTCCACCTTGCTAGGCCGAAGTCAGAAATCTAAAATGAAGACCAGAAAGAAAAGGGAAATGGTTAGGTCTTTAGATTTTATGTTATCCCTAGATTAGGATTAGGTTTTATTTAAGTGTTATTTACTGTGCTTTTTTTCCAAAAACATATTTAGAGTCACCTACAGGTGCCCTATTAGGTGGGGGAAGGCATGATTTTTCTGTAAATGTGTGCACGCATATGTAGGCGTGTGTGTGCCAACCCTTCATTAACACTGCCTAGCTTTAGCTTGTTCAGACTGGTCCAGGATACATGTTTACATCCAGCCTTTTCAATCCGACAACGATTCCCACCCATCCCTCGTGACAGCTGCTTACTCATCCATGAGAAGATTGGATATAAATGGGATAAAGCATGGGAAAGCTTTTCAACCCTCAGGAAATTTTCTGGAAAGGTATGCAGGGACCGTGAAAAGAAAATGATAGGTGTACCATCCCCCCTTCATCGCTTACGAATTTTCCCGCATAGATGATCTGACACGACTGAGATTAAAATTGTTGTTCGGTAGTCAGTAGGGTTGCCAACTTTCTGAAATGGAAATAAGGAACGGGGGGGGGGGGGGGGGGATTCATACATTTTATATCATATTATAATGCAACTTATTAGGCCTATATATTTATAGAATAGCAAAGTAGGCTTAATCAATATACAGGACTTAACCACATATATAAAGGCTATCATGATCATTTTGCCACAAATGAACCATGTATTTGTTTAGATTATAATACGTTTTATTTTTAACTTAAACAAATACAACATATAACATTCGAAACTCATCGGCTTAGACTGCATTTGAAGAAAAATAAACACAACAGTTTTCTGTATCCTTGTGCGAACTTATTCAATAGAATTAGACTTCTAGAATGTGCTTTTCGGTGCAAAAAATTTTTAAAAAATTTTTTGGGAAGTTTTTCTTATCATAGCCTACAAATGTCTTCGGAAACACATTTTACTTGATTTACTGAAGCCTGTAAAATGCATTTGCAGCTGCACAGCTTGCACATTGAGCGTCTGGCTCGCTCAGGCTGCGCTGCGGCAACTGCACATCCAATGGCGTGGGCGCCTCTGACGTGCGACCAATGAGACAACTCTACGTCATTACACGTCAGAGCCCGTCAAGGTGGCGCCAAGTCCCCGAATTTGCATGCAGCGGGTCTTCGTTCATTCATCATAGTCTGTCTGACATATATATTAGAAGCTATGCGTCTGTCATGGATTTGCACTGAATTGATTCTCAAAAATACGGAACAAAGTGCGTTCCGTATCAGTTCAATACGGAACAAGCCTTTTATGTGTCAAATACGGAACGATTCCGTATTATACGGAACGGTTGGCAACCCTAGTAGTCAGCGCTGGATTAAGATTACAATTCATCATGTTGACGGGGTGTTTTCATGAACCTGAAGCACATAATCTAGATATTTAAATCAGGATGTAGCGGTTTATTTTTTTTAACAAGTGTTATTGCACTTTCGATCCGAACATCATGATCTTTCCTTTAAAATAATTTATTACCCCTTAAACAGGGTTTCCCAAAATGGGGTTCATGAATTGATAAAAAGTTAATTTAAAAAAAATTTAATTAAAATAAAATAAATCATAGAAAAAAAATGTATAATAATAAACAATGTTTACCAGCATGTCATGTGACTATTCTATTAAACACCAGAGAACTGTGAACAATGGGTTGTTAAATTATTGAAAAATTATTCACTTAACATATCAGGGGGTACTTCAAGTAATTATTTTTGGTCAATGTGGTTCGGCTGGCAATTTTTTTTAGGAATCCCTGCCTTAAAGGACACAAAAAAGACCATTGTACGGTAACAGTTTTTGTCCATAAAATAGAAGTTAATGGGGTCCATAACAACATTGGAGATGTGAAGATGATTACTTTCAACATAAGGAGAAAGACAGAGAGAGAGAGAGAGAGAGAGAGAGAGAGAGAGAGAGAGAGAGAGAGAGAGAGAGAGAGAGAGAGAGAGAGAGAGAGAGAGAGAGAGAGAGAGAGAGAGAGAGAGAGAGAGAGAGAGAGAGAGAGAGTTTTTTTAAATATCTTATTTTGCGTTTCCACAGAAGAAAGAAAGTCATACAGGTTTGGAACAACACGAGGGAGATGATTATAAAATGAACTATCCCTTGTGAGTGATAGGCAGGTAAAGCCCTAAATAACCTGTAGGTGTTTTTCAAAAGCAGTGCAGTTTACTCGGGTAGTGATGAATCACGCACACCTAAGAGCTTTGATGCAATGAATCAACTGTGATTCCTTGGAAGGTCTAAAACATGAGCAGTTAAAGTCACTACTTCATTAGCAAAGGAGTCAAGACCTCGTGAGTCGTCATGACCAGACGTGGCTCGCTCTGTCTCACCTTGATGTGGTAGTGCGCGTCGAGCAGGATGTTAGCGGGTTTAAGGTCAAGATGAAGTAGGGGCGGGTTCATGCAATGCAGGAAGTTCATCCCCACCGCAGCCTCATGGATGATACGGAAACGCAGCTCCCAGGGCAGTGGCTCTGAGGCCAGTAGAGTTTCCAGAGAGCCTGTCTCCATGTATTCCATCACCAATCCCTGCGGGTCGCTGCAAATGCCGTACACGGGGAGGATGTAGCGGAACTTAGCCGCCTCCATCTTCTTGGCCTCCTCCAAGAGTTCGGCACGCTCCCTAAACAACAAAAAACACAATGTGTTAAAAAACGCTGTGGAATGTAAATAGCATTTATTTTGTAAGGAATGTCTTTACATGGGAGGGATACAGCTGGATTTGAGCTGGATAACTGGCAACACACCCAATTAAATAAAACGATCATAAAGAAATCACAGCAAGGCACTTTTAAAAACAACAACAAGGGAAGGTACTAAAACCTGTTGGACCTGAGCACAATGACAAAGCTGACTCACTCATATTGTCCGGAAGCGTATTGTGAACAATGACACAATGTTTTTTTAGCTATTGGCTAAATTTCCATTATGAAAAAGCCAGTGCATCTGAAATAGCTTTACCGTTTTTCCACAATGCTGTTTACAGTAGGCTATATTTATCTGACATTATCTTTTAATTACATTCCAGTCTTTAACATTGATAGATATGGGGTTGTTTGAATGGCTCTCTTGTACTTTGTTCTTACAAAACTCCTTTTATTAGTAACAAGTCAGACATGTAGGTCTTATATTTTATAACTGGACTCACAAAGGACATCTCAAAGTTTACTGTTTATCTGTTTGCTTTGCACACAGCACCAACACGTCTCTCAACCATGTAACTCAAGAAATCACAGATATTAAACAAAAAGTTTGCAATGTCTGTAAGTCTGTAAGCATTTTGCTTATCACTTTATTAGTTTACGGAGTCTTTTATTACTCATATGGCGTCAACGCTTAAGCCAAAGTGGTCACGTAGTTCTCTCCGACAATTTTAGCATTAAATAAATAAATAAATCATAAAATGTAATAAAAGAGTTTAGGAAAGGGAGGGAAAGCATAACTCCTAATGTATAAATAAATACATTTAAATGTATAAAAATGAGTGCATTTATTTTTTAATACATTTATTTTTGATATTTTCTACTGCAAGAAAACTAGCTGAGAAGCCAAGAGATATCATAATATCTCCAAACAAACAAACAAATGCAAATTATTGAAAAGTAAATAAATAATTTAGTAAATAATTAATTTTTAATACACTTAGTGTCGATATAAAACTAAATCTAAGAATGATGAGGGAAAGCAGAACACTAAACAAATATAACAAACCAATAAATACAATTTAAATGATTAAAAAATAAATAATCAATAAATAAGTAATTCGTTTATTTTTAATACTTTTAGGACTGGTTTCACAGACAGGGCTTAGATTAAGCCAGGATTAGGCCTTAGTCCAATTAGGACATTCAATTAGCTTTTATAAACATGCTTTAGAAAAAAAAATCTTACTGGTGTGAATCTTGAGACATAACAATGGCACTGACATTTAAATATATAAAATTCAGTTAAAACAGCTCAAACATGCATTTTAGTCTAGAACAGGCTCAAGCCGGGGGTTAGTGTTGATATAAAACTAGCTTTAATAATGCTGAGGGAAAGCATAACTCTTAAACTCTGGTAGAAAACAATGGTGCGATTCCCACTGGGATGGACAAATGGGAGGTAAGGAGTGAGAAGATTACAGGGAGTGTGGAGGTAAACGTTTAAAACTACCCATGCTAATGCCCCACACTGTTCTGCCACCCTTTTCAGCTCAACAAAAGCCGTTCTTTTCTTAAAAAAAAAAAAAAAAAAAAACCCGGATCCGGTTCTACCAGTTCTGCAACTCTGCTAAAGCAGAGGCCTGATGGAGCACAGGAGGACAAAGCCTGCTTTTAAACCCGTGCCCTATTTAGATGGGGGAGGCAAATTAGAATTCTTCTACCTTCAGATCTCAGGTACTGATAAACTGCTGTGTTTAGGGTCACATGGAACAGCATTTATTAGATTTCAATCAGATGCTTTTGTTTTTTTTTCCTCCTCAAGCTTGGTGATGCAAAGTGACATCCACATGAAGAGATTGAAAGCAAGTTTTGTAAGAAGACGCGCAAGAATACAGCTGTATGTCGCAGTTGATGTGACCCTCATAACCAGGCCTGAAGAAATCTTTTAACATTAAGGACCTGTTGATGTTTCCCATTGTCACACATCATTGTGCTACATATCAATAGTGCCTCTGATCTGATAAACAAAGTACAATCAGGGCCTATTCTACATAAAGTTATAGGGCAGAGCAGTTGCATAACAATACAAATAGCCTGAACCCTGGGGAAAAAGACTTAATACATGCTCCTGTATTCATGTTCATCCAAGGCTATTGAAACATTTATGCCCAAAGAAAATCACATCATATCATCATCACATGAAATTGTGTATCAAAGGTCACGCAGAAGTGCAATTCAAAAAGTCTAAGCTAGAATAATTATCACAATTTTAAATGTAAATATTGGTGATTTCACGCAGACAGTTTCAAAGAGCCAGGGGGATGCTGACGGCTCACACACACTCTCAGGAACAAGCACAGAGTAACGGCCGAGCTCAGTGTTTTGACTGAATAACATGGTTTATTTCTCGCAAAACCTCATAGTATGCATCCGCAATACTTTCTATATATGGCACATGTCTCATTATGTGATACTTTTGTATCCTTTTTGTAAAGTCTCAGCCTAGTCGCCATTCACTGCCATTATATGGCGGAGCGCGTGCAGGACATTAAAAAAATTCTCCTTTTATGGTCCGAAAAAGAAAGAAGGACATAGGCATAAAACCAGGGTGAGTAAAGGATGACTTAATTTTTATTTTAGGGTGAACTATCCCTTTAATATTGCATATGTGCCTGCTTGTTTAATGGGTTGACTAGTGGCTCAAGATCTCAGCATCGCCAGGAGACTTACACAAACATCATAAGTCATTTCAAATTAATTTAACAAACTTTAAATATAAAGTTCAATGAAGAAGACTGAAAAGGGGAATACAGGTTTCTTATGTTGTTAGGGTGAACTTAGGTGAATTTTTTTAGATCACAAAGTCAATAAGTGCAGGCCCAATGTTCGTGAATATTTAATTGTTTTTAAATACACACACATATATACAAATACACTAAGAATCCTAAAAAAAAAATTACCACAGTTTACACAAAAATATTAAGTAGCACCACTGTGATAATTCAGCATTGATAATAATAATTAAAAATGATAGAATGATTTCTGAAGGATCATGTGACACTGTAGACTGGAGTAATGATGCTGAAAATTCAGCTTTGCCATCGCAGGAATAAATTACATTTTAAAATATATTAAAATAGAAAACAGTTATTTTAAATTGCAATAATCTTTACACTGTTACTGCTTTTACTGCATTTTTGATCAAAGAAATGCAGCCTTGGTGACAATAAGAGATTTTCAAAAACTTATTGTATTTTTTTTAATCTTACCAACTCTAAACTTTTTAAAGGTAATATCAATAAAATAAGTAAATATCTCACAATAACAAAAATGTTAGGGATATCGTATACCATAATTGACTGTATAATATAACCAGAAGTAAAATGTTATGCGTGTGACTGCAACATCTGTGTGCATACCAAAGCTCTGGGTAAGATCTATGTATGGAAGGTTACTGGGAAACAGAGCTCACATACAGCCACTCCTTGTCATGTCAGGACAGAGTTAAAGTGGAAGATGGATGTAATGTAAATGTAAGTCTTTAGACAGTCACAGAGTCTTAAGAGATATTCATATTGTGCATATTTGGCGAGACTGGGGGCATAATCATAGCTCAAGGCAGTATATTAGTTTCCTGACAACATGTTGAGAGGCATCGTCTTTTTGCATGTAAGCACAATAAATGTTCATTTGAACAGAATAGAGACTTAGTAATAGCCTAGAAGTAATGAATATGAATGCTCACTAATTCACATTGGACAAAAAAAAGTTAAGGAATTCTGTATTGCATTTCTGATTGAAAACAAATAATAAGCAAACCAACAAATAGCAATTAGTATCAATACAAACTGACATGAAAGCAGAGGTGGGTAGTAACGAAGTACATTTACTTCGTTACATTTACTTGAGTATTTTTTTGGAAAATTTGTACTTTTAAGAGTAGATTTAATTGTGGGTACTTTTACTTTAACTCGAGTAGATTTCTAATGAAAAAACTGTACTTTTACTTCGTTACGTTTGGCGACGTTCCTCTCGTTACTTTATTTTAATGCAATATGTTGTTAAAAGCGTAGTTTATTCTAAGCGCGCGCTCTCTCTTTTTTCTGGGCATGAGCGATGCTCAATTCACAAATGAATCACTCTTTTGAGTCGATTCTGTTCAAAGACTTCATCAAACAAGTTGGGCAGATCTGTCTAAATCGGTTCGCGAATCAGTTTGAATGATCTGTTCAGTTTCCTGCACGCACTGAATCGTCTCGGAGTCGTAACAGGAAGATTTAAGAACATCAAGAACATTGTGTGGCGGTCCATAGTCTACAGTACAGTCTAGAAAGTAAATCTGCAAATGCATCATATTTTTTGCCAGCGATGAAGATCTTTATTAGTTGAACTTGAACATCTTCGTATACTTCGTAAGCTGTCTGTGAATGAATTATTCCACACGACGATACATTCGATTTCATTCAGGTAATACATTTTACAACCAAACACATTATTACGCCATATAGCACTACTACAAAGTATGGCATTACCCTTTTTTTGGACATATACATTACTTTATACATTAAATAAGCTATCATCGTCCAGTTTATGAATGTGTGTACACACACAATGTATTCTCGGTGTTGTAGTGTCGGTATTGCGCAGTGGCGTGCGAACTCGACTTGAAAACGAATGCCTTTGCCTGCCTTATTAGACTCAGTTAACCAGTTTAAAGATGCTTTCATAAATATAGCCTACATTTAAATACATTTTGGAGAACAGACAGAAGAAGATCCGTGCATTTGATCGTTGTTTATGTTGGGCATGACATGACTGCGAGCACATGTGCAGAGTTTTAACACTTTCTAATCTGTCAATGGTTCCCATCCCTTGACTGCAAAACTCCATAGAGTCACTTTATTCCGACATTGTCTAATAATCCAAATGTAGTTGTATAAGTTACTATACTATTATACAAACCAAAGGACAGCCAATGGTTTTCAGGCTATAGATATACAGAAATAATGTTTGTCTCTTCTGTTTTTGTTGCAAAGATAGCTTATCTAATTATGATAATAATAGTCATTTAAATGAAAAAAAAATCTAAATAATATCATGTTACATATACAGTATATATATATATATATATATATATATATATATATATATTTATATATATATATATATATATATATATATATATATGCCTATGTGTAAAGTAACTAGTAACTAACTACTTGAGTAGTTTTTTCATTGGATACTTTTTTACTCTTACTCAAGTAACTTTTAAGATTATTACTTTTACTTTTACTTTGAGTAAATATTTCTATAAGTACTTGTACTTTTACTTGAGTACAGTTTTTGGATACTCTACCCACCTCTGCATGAAAGCATATCTCCAGTATGGCATACCCAAATTATGGATTTAACATCACAAAAACAAACTTCACTTGCCCTTCAGATGACTGCGGTTTACCAATACACACACGCACGCACGCACGCACACACACACACACACACACACACACACACGCTTTAAACACTCTTCTAAAGAAGTCTCAGTGAGCTGATAGTGACAATAAAAAATGAACTCACTTGTCATCTGAATGAAGACTGGGAGGGCACTTGATCGCCAGCAATGTTTTCCATTGAATATGTCGTACTTTGTACACCTGTCCGAAGCCGCCGGAGCCAATCTTTTCCCAACTCCCAAACTCTGAAGCGTCAAAAGTTTTCAGAAGTCCCATAATCCCTGGGGAATTCTCTGGGACGTCCATTTTTCAAGCTGTTAAACAAGATCCTGTGCAATCTGGATTCTCTTTTTCATATAAAAAACGTTTTTTTGTCAAAGACAAACAGGTTGTGAACTGTTCCTTGTTTTTTTCCTGTCTGTACAGACGGCTTCTGTCTGGCCCTACCCCTGTGTTCAGGTAAGAGGGGGGAGGAGCCTAATGACATCATTTCCTAAACCAGGAACACACAGAGTGGCAAAGAGTCAATTGCCCAATCTAGTCCTATGACACATATGTCCATTTATGCTCAAGGACATTGTGACGCCCATAAAGCACTGTTTAGCCACTTTTTCAACTTCACTACATCTAATACAGCACCAGAAGTTACAAACATCTCAGATTTCTGCTCAGAAAGGCTGGGAATTGTATTCGACACGGTTATCCAAGCTTAAGGAATGCTGCTTATATCACCCAACACCTTTATAACCTGAGATCACAAGAATGTGAAGACTGTCTCTTAACCCCCTAAAGAAATATACATGTTTTCGAGGATTACTCAACAAGTGTCCTGGTTATGCGATACGGCTAAAATGAGCCGTGTGGAATGTTGAAAATCATTGAACCTAGTCATAGAAGCGTTTACATTAGCCAGAGGTTCAAGTATGCGTGAACTCAATTGAAGTTAATCTAAATAACAGTTTAGTTGTAGCTTCAGGGTAACATGAACTCATTTTACATTGACCTGATTAAGTTTACATCCACCAGACCTTGCACCACAATGTTCTCATGCAAAGCACATTAACAGTGAGTCATGTTGAATATTTTTAAGATCCATTCAATGGATTATAAGTAAGATAATTAATCTTAAAGAAATGACCAATCTTTCCCTCTGGTTTTTAATGTAGGTTGATTTCGTTGATTTTTAACCCATAGGAATGTTTGCCTTTTTAACCATACAAAGCCGCCTACAGTGACATTTGATACATACATTTCTAAGGCCATGATCAAAACTTAGCTGAAAAAACTGTTGTACACAATCTTCTATATGCCTTCTGTTGTCTGGCTGAGGTGGTATTTTTCCTCCTGGAGTATAAACTCCATATTCTCACACTATCATATGGGCCATTAAAGCCTGATATGATACTATTTCATAAGAAGGCTTTACTATGTTAAATCACTTTGCATTCAAGTGAAACTCACTAGAGATGTCCATTGCTGTTTTATTGTCTTCAGGAGGAATTAAAGTGGATCCAAAGACAGGATTATTCACATGTGAAGACAATAGTTCACAGGATGCTCGATGGGTTTCATGCATAAGCGCAATGTTCAAGGGTGTCAGTTTAGAAATTAGCAATTCAGATGTGTATGAGAGAGAACAGTGGGTGAAGAAGATGTTAATATCTCAATAAATGTAATAGGAAAACCTGCATGGTTCACATTGAAGACTTTAAAAGTTACCTCTAAGCTCATTTATTAATCACATAAATACATTAGATAAATTCTTGAAGTTTGGCAATAACTACAAGTAGTTGTTGAATTGTCTTTGGCGCACCCTAGTGGGCATTCATCAGTACTACAGTTATCGTAAGACGTTCTGTATTGTCGAAAAACGCTGCGAAAACTAACCAGGCAAATATGAAAACGTGGGTAGTGCATTTTCTCCATTACAGCAAGAGAAATTGACTGGATAAAGACACTCGATTTAGTTATATGTGAATGTATTACGTTACGTGTGTTCGGTTAACTGTATAAAGTGCTTGTGTTATTTTAATCATGGCACTTTATATGAAAGCGGCAGAGATTCTTGAGAAAGTGGAGCAGAAAAAGGGTGCTGTGAAAACTCTGGTTTATGACAGTAAATTTCAAGTAAGTGCTGATATATTTGTCTCTCGGTAATCTATTATCAAGTCACTATATGGCATAATTGGGGGTCTCAAGTAGGCTATGGGCACTTGTGACAAATATGGCTTAATTGAACAAAATTTAAGTACAATATCTGTTTTACAATTGATATTTACCTTGTTTTCTTCACATATGTCTCGTAATTTATCTCAAGCGTGCGTGTCTCCTTGGTAATCAAGTATACTTAGGTTTGATAAAGCGTATTGGGACAAAATAGTCGAGTTAAAATGACGTCACGAGTCAAGACTGACGACAAGACGGTTTTTTTTGTTTTGTTTTTACTAAACATGACATGATTATGTTTGTTTACTTTTTATGCGGACTAAAATGGTTTTAAAATTATAATAACATTGATGGATTCCCTTTAAAAAACTAAACTTTATTTTTGTCTTTTCATCAGAATATCAAGCAACTCTTTGCACTTGTGTGTGAAACACAGAAATACTCATCAGTTCTGCAGGAGATCATCAACAGCACCAAGCTTCTGAAAGAAACAAAACTCCGGATCCATTTAGCCAAAGTGAACAACTGTACTTTAATCGTCACTTGTGAAGCACATGCCTGTGTTGATCAGTGCATCACAGATGTGTCATTGTGTGTACAACAGGTGCTGGTGTATGACCTGCTCATCGGCCGTGGGGTGAAATGTGGAGGTGCCTGGAAGACCATGATGTTGAAGCATCGCTCCAGATTACAATCTGCCCTGGCAAGAATCAAAATAAAAAAGAAAGTGAGTCGAAATCAGGACCTGCTTCCCTCCGGTTTCCAGAAGGCTCAAGGTAATGTTGGCATCAATTATTTGTATGAATGTATGTCATTTGATTGAATTAGTAAAATAATGTAAAAATAATGTGATGGTCATGATAATCATGTAGAGGCTATTATATTATTTTTAATTGTGTGTATATGTATATATATGTAACCCTTTCCGTCTGTGTGCTCCCCCAAATGTCTCTGCGTTGTGTTTGGATGATGATTGAATGAGGAGGACACAGATATCGTGGTCGTCACAGTAGTGAAGCTTTATTATGCGTTCTTTATCTGCATCAGCCACTATGCAGCACACAGCAACATCTTTTCACAAGGAAAATAGAACTGTTAGTAACCAATATCAAAAATAAAAATGCATACAAAACTATAAAACGAAACCGCATAGCCTTAGCTGCAGTTATATTAACACTCAAATCACGGGGGTTCACAAAGATTGGAAAAATAACTTTCCGCATATGACAATTAATGTCAAATGTCACATACACCCAAAATACAAAGAACAAATCTCAAAATACTCCGACAAACGTTAAACACCATACAATACACAGAAATATATACTCCACCACATGGAATTTACAACCCATTAAATAATATCAGAAATACAAAACCATCCATCGCAAATAACTGCACATATATGTTAGTTAACATCTTTAACAGTAATATATTTCTTCAAATTACAGGGATGGCCAATATAATTAAAGAAATTAAATAGATGTAACAGAGAACAGTGAAAACCCTCCTTACCTTTTCACAAGGAAAATAGAACTGAATTAAAAAAACAGCTCCACCCAGTGAAGAAAGGCTCACTCACACAGTGAAACACTCACAGAACACAGCTCCCCCTAAGGCTGGGAGAAACATTTTACATCTTTCCTACATCCACCCCCTCTTTAAATGATGCCGTCCCAGTCATCACTAAAAAAAAACAAAATTAAGTCAGTTTAAATCTTAAGATTAACTTTGAAGCGTCTGTGTGGGGTGTGTATGTGTGTTTGTATTGCTAAAGTAGAGCTGCTTCTTCGCTTTAGCCTTTTCCCACACTTTCCTTCCTCTCTCTACCTTCTCCTTGTCAATCTCGCTTTGGAGGACATGTATCTCCAAGGAGAGTCTATTTGGAGGGCGCCTTTTCCGCTCAGGATATCTCCTCTCTGGCCGCTCAGGATTGGAGACTTCCAGCGACGTCTGCTCCCCATGCTCCTCCTTTTCACTCACAGTCTCTTTCAATCGACTTCCATCCTGTTCATGCTCTTCGTCCACAACATCTGGCCATTCCACACTTGTACACTGTGTAATAGTGCCACTGTCTCCACTTTCAATTGTCTCCACTACTTCCTCTTCTTCCTCCGAAACACTTGAGTCCATTCCAGACACATCCTCCATGTCAGGCTCTTCTCGTACCAGGTACTTGGAGCTCACCGGGAAAAACATGCACTGGGACAGAAGATTTCGGTGGATGACTCTTTCCCTGTCACCATCTTCTTGACGAACCACATACACTGGAATTCCTGGCTGTTTCTTCACCACAACATATGGACGTGGTTCCCACCTATCAGCTAGCTTCTGTTTCCTCTCGACATAACACACTTTCACCATCACTCTGTCACCCGGTTGGAACATGTGGCTTTTGGCTTTCTTGTCATAGTGCTTTTTCTGAAGATCCTTAGCATGCCTCGACATTCGGTCTGCCTCATCATAAGCATAGGTCAAGCACTCATGCAGAGTCTGGACATATTCACTGTACTCACATGGTTCTTTTGCTGTTGACAGGCCAAAAAGGAGATCAACAGGCAGTCGTGGATGTCTGCCATACATCAAGAAGTATGGGGAGAAACCAGTCGAATCGTGTTGAGTGCAATTGTAAGCATGTGTCAGTGCGTCAATGTATTCATGCCATTTAGGTTTTTTATCAGGATCAAGTGTGCCCAACATATTCATCAGAGTTCTGTTAAATCTCTCTGTGGTCCCATTTCCCTGGGGATGGTAGGGGCTAGTATGAGTCCTTGTAATCCCTGTCAGCTTACACAACTCCTTGACTACTGTACTCTCAAAATTTCTGCCTTGATCTGCATGGAGTCTTGCTGGGAAACCAAATCGACAGAAGAAATTCTTCCACAGCACCCTTGCCACAGTGACAGCCTTCTGGTCTTTTGTGGGGTAAGCTTGGGCGAATCTTGAGAAATGATCGGTGACCACAAGGACATTCTCTATTCCTCCCTTAGACTTCTCCAGGACAAGGAAATCCATGCAGATGAGTTCCATAGGTGCATTAGTGTGAATGCTCACCAGCGGAGCCCTATTTCCAGTGGGAGTTTTCCTCAGACAACATCTTTCACACTGCTCACACCATGACTTTATTTCACACTGCATTCTCGGCCAAAAGAATCGTTCCCGGAACAGATTCAATGTACGCTCAAATCCCAAATGACCAGAGTCGTCATGAAGACTTGTTTTAGCCAAAAGTCGCATTTTCTCTGGCAAGACCAGCTGAGCAATGGACCGTCCCTGAACATCCTTAACTTGCCTGTAAAGAATTCCATCTTTGACCACCAGCCTCCTCCACTCTTTTAAGAGAAGCCGTGCATCTTTCCCCGTTTCCAATCTTTCTCCACGTCTTGGCTTTTTGTTTAGTGTCTTGTAATGTAGGACTGGCCCAATGACAGGGTCCTCCTTTTGACATCCTCTGATCTCCAGCTTTGTCATTGCAGGCAGCGCATCAGTACCCGCTCCAACAAATGGATGGGCTAGCTCGTCAACCCGGCCCAGAAACTCTCCCTCTTTGCATGCAACAGTTCTCTCCGCTTGCTCACTAACGTCTTCCTTCCTCCCTGACTCATCCCCACAGGACTGGCCTTGCTGCGTGGAGGAAATGCACTGTGGGCAGGACTGAAGAGTTTCTATGACCTCTTGATTAGACATCCTTGAGAGTGCGTCGGCATTAGCGTTGGACTTCCCTTGCCTGTACTCAATCCCAAAGTCAAACATGGCAAGCTGTGACACCCAACGCTGACCAGTGGCGTCCAACTTCGCTGTACTCATCACATATTTAAGTGGATTGTTGTCAGTCAGCACAGAAAACTTATGCCCATAAAGGTGATCATAAAACTTATCTGTAACAGCCCACTTTAGAGCCAAAAACTCTAACTTATGTGCGGGGTAGCGGGTTTCAGGTGGTCTCAAACCTCGGCTTGCATAAGCAATTACTTTTTCCACACCATCTTGAACTTGTGCAAGGACTGCCCCAAGACCCTCACCAGAAGCATCCGTTTGCAGTACAAATGGTAAGCTGAAGTCGGGGTAGCCCAGAACTGGTGCTGTAGTTAGTCCCTCCTTCAGTGCTTCAAACGCTCTCTCACATTCATCTGTCCACTCAAACGGTTTCAGAGTTCCAGAAGTTCCTTTCACCCCTCTTTTCTTCTTCTTTGGGTCTCCAGAGGTAAGTCTATACAGAGGTGCCGCCAATGTTGCATATCCCTTGATGAACCGTCTGTAGTACCCAGCGAAACCAACGAACCCTAGCACTTCCTTCACACTCGACGGCCGCTTCCAGTCTCTGACTCTCCTTATCTTCTCAGGATCTGTATGAATACCCTCCGCAGACACCACATGGCCCAGGTACTGTACTTCTTTCCTCAGTAGACTACACTTTTGAGGCTTCAGCTTCAAACCATGTTTGCGGAGCCGGCTGAACACTACTTCTAACCGCTCAAGATGCTCTTCAAAAGTCCTAGAGAAGATAATCAAGTCGTCAAGGTAGATAAGGAGGCTCTCAAAGTTCAGATCACCAAAGCAGCAGGTCATTAATCTTTGGAAGGTTGAGGGGGCATTCTGCAGACCAAACGGCATCCTGTTGGCCTCATATAATCCCATGGGGGTACTGAAAGCAGTTTTGAGCTTGTCCTGTTCAGCCACCTCAACTTGCCAGTAACCAGATGTGAGATCAAGAGTCGAGAAGAACCTTGACTGTCCCAGCGCCTCCAATGCCTCCTCTATTCTTGGTAGCGGAAAAGCGTCTCTGGTACTGCAGGAATTCAGTTTCCTGTAGTCCACACAGATCCTCAGGGAGCCATCTTTTTTAGAAACAACAACGATGGGGGATGCAAATGGGCTTTTGCTTGGCCGAATGACTCCAGCTTCTTCCATCTCTGATATGGCCTTCCGCACTTCCTGGTACTGAGACGGGGGTATTTTGCGATAAGGGAGGCGGAAAGGTTTAGAGTCCACAAGAGGTATCTCATGTTTCACAGTGGTGGTATGTCCATAATCCATGGAGTGTTTGGAGAAGACATCAGCATTTCTCCTCAGCAAATCCTGAAGCAACGCCAACTGCTCCTCACCTTCTACTGCTGCAGCACTAAGATCAACTCCACATGTCATACCATTAATGGACTCAACACTGGTAGTCTGCTGCTGACTTTGACAAGACGCTGTCACTGAATTTTCACACTGACTCGGACACATGAACTGGTTCTGGCACAGCATTTGGCACTTTTCTTCCTCTTCAACGACATTCTGAACCAGGAAAGCGTCTGCAAGCAGGGTCCTCGGGTTGACAATAACATCCTTTCCAGACAGATTTAAGAGTCGGATGGGAACACAACCTTTTTCAACATTAGCAAGCAGCCTGGCAACCATAAGGCCTTCTGGAACTCTTTTGGAGGACTGGCTCTCCACTAGAACTGTATATTGTGTTTTCTTCGGTCCACCCACAACTCTGCCAATAACATCCTGCTCCTTACCAGCTGGTATCCTTATTCTGTGACCAGCATACTGTACTTGACCAACTTTACCTGTAGCTCCACCAGGTTCACTTTTACTCACAGCAACCATTGCAGAGTGCCACTCAGGATTGGTCAACTTCACTTTGGCCAGATATTTTCTGCCATATGATGCTTGAAGGTCATTTCTGGAAACCCTTATTACATTAGTCCCAATGAGCAATGGAACACTGGATCGGTACTCCGTCACAGGGACAACAAAAGCAGGAACATTTGAGTAGACCCTTCCCAAAAACTTAAGGTTGATGCAAAGCACACCAACATAAGATACGGGTTGACCAGCGGCACCTTCAATGGGGATGTCTGATGGCTGCAATTCCTGACCACATAGGACAGAATGTCGGCGCCAGAACTCATCAGTAATTGTAGTTACTTGAGAGCCAGAGTCAATGAGAGCTTTACACATTTCTCCATTCACTCCGACCACCCCTTCATTAGAGGGACCTACCAGCGGGGTATCAGCTGGTTTCGACCTGCCCGTTTCATGTTGCTGGGGACTCTGTTGCATGCCTGTGGTTGCCCCGGTAACCACAGGCCCTAAGCATTTAAATTCTGCCTGGTCTCTGCTCCAATCTCAGCTTGGGCTGCCTCATCAGTCATCACTGTCCGACACAGACGTGCAATGTGTCCCGGTTTTCCACAACGATAGCACACTACGCCCCTTACTGCAGTGTCACTACTCTCTTGAGGTCTCTGGGTGCGAGGAAACACCGTCTGCGGTGATGCTCCAACTTTAGCCTCAAGCTGCGTCAATCTATTAAGCTGATCCTCCTGACTGCTCACCAGTTTCTTCACCATGGCTGTGAGTTCAGTAAGATCTGTGTTTTGCCTATTTCCTTTTTCTGTTCTCGGCCTTTCGCCACTCAGGTTACCACTCACTGTCGTAAACTGAGCCTGTGCATACGTCTTTCTGGCCTTTGGCTGTGTCTGAAACTTCCTTGTCTCCCGAGCCAGGTTACGAAGTTCTGCTTGAAGTTCACGAAAACTTAGAAGTCTAGGCTTCATCGGTGCTATCCTGTGAAAAACCTCTTCGTCACTCAATCCTCTCATGAACTGACGAGTCAGTTTGCCGTCCCGGTCTGGGAAAGGCTGGCCTCCATACTGAGCATCTTCCACTGAACGTAAAGTGGCCTCCAGAGCAATGGCGTATGAACACGCTGATTCGCCAGGGCGCTGGTATCTCTCATAGAAATCAGCTAATGGGTCCAGGGATGTCTGCATATCACTATACTCAGCTCGTAGTTCTTCAAAAGCTCTGCCGGCAGTCTGCTCGTTAGGAGGGAGATTCAGAACTAGCCTCCTGGCTTCACCACTCAAATGTCGCACTACAGTAGAAAAGGACAGATTTTCGGGCATTCCTCCAGCATCAAGGAGGTACTTCATATCTCTTATCCAGTCTTCAATAAGTATCCTGCAATCAGGACCACCGCTGAACACTTGCACATTTCGAACTTGATGTGTCTGTGTAAAGCTGGGCTGTGGCGTGGTCATTCCAGCGGCAGGAATGTATACATCTTGCTGATGAGCCACATGCGGAGGAGCAGTCTGAGGTCTTTGCACTGAAACGGGTTGTTGTGCATACATATGTGAACCATGAGACACCGGTACTGTCATAGGAGCATACACAGGAGGTGAGGAGGACGACACAACTGCACAATGCGAATGTAAGGTGCGCTGTCGATCACTGTAATTTCGGTGTGTTGGAACGGAGTCTGTCTTCTGCAAAAAGTTGGTTCCAGACAAAACAGGAGGTGCAGGGGGCTGGAGTGTGTCAGGTGGTTTTGAGTACATGGCATTTGGCACACCATAACAGAAGGATGGAGGAACCTGAGAGGCCGTTGGATGACCCGGCAAGTTGGTTTGGGGTGAAACAGCCATTGCATCAGGAGAGTGCAGGCCATATGGAGAAGTGTACATATTGGGTGCCTGGATCATACCTGGACAAGTAGGAATGTAAGTTTTAGGCGGCTCAGTCATCGCTGGGGGCAGGTATGGGTCATTTGGAGAAGGGGACATGTCAGTTAGCATTCTGTTGGCCACGTTTGGTGAAGCCTGAATGGTAGTGACATTGTCATGAATGTTAGTTTGGGACAAAACAGTCGGCACATTATATGGATGTGGGCTAACTGAAGACATGGGCATGGTGGTTGGAAGTCCAAAGAATGGGTTATCTAGGCCTTGGGCATGAGCTGAGGGCTGTTGTTGCACAAAAGTGCTGGGGCAGGTGCCCAACTGGTGCCAGCTCACTGCCGAGGGGGGCACATTCTCCGTATGTGCAGCTAGCTGCCTTGTCTTTGGCCTGACAGACTGTTGGGGGTTATCATTTGGCTGGGATACAGTTTCAATACTCACATCAACGGGCATGCTTATTTCATACTGTTGGATTTTGTCCTGCTTTACTGGTAACCATGGGGTGGCCTGGAAGGGCTGCCTTAGTGGTACTTGGGGATGAGGAGGTGGTCGATGAGGGGTGGTTTCATGGAGACCCTGCATTTCTCCTCCACTTCTTTCCATTTCCTCGTCTGTGCAATACACTATGTGTATGTAGTGTGCAATACCCTGTGTGTAGTGTTTGAAAATGTAAAAATATGAAAAAATGTAGTAACGTGCAAATTAATGCTGTTAGTGAATGTGTTGTATATATCTTATGTTTCCTGTAATCAGAAAGCAAATAATCATAAATGAAGATAAATGAAAAAAAAAATATATAAAAAAATGACCCACTTCAAGAGATTTAAACACACCTGAATGCACAAAAAAAGTATATTGTTTCAAAAGACACAGCAATTCACAAATGTGTTACTCAAATTAACACTCTTATAGCACAATATCAAAAGTTCAGAGACAGGGGAAAAAAAATTCTTCTTAAGCAACACTCAGTTCAGTCCACCAATATATTTAACACTGTCACTTTAAAACAAAAGTCACTTTTTTTTTTTTTTTTTCACTCACACTTCTTATTTGTCAGATTGCTTCCGTTGACGTAGAAACCAACGATCCGGGTCACGGCACCAAAGATGTAACCCTTTCCGTCTGTGTGCTCCCCCAAATGTCTCTGCGTTGTGTTTGGATGATGATTGAATGAGGAGGACACAGATATCGTGGGCGTCACAGTAGTGAAGCTTTATTATGCGTTCTTTATCTGCATCAGCCACTATGCAGCACACAGCAACATCTTTTCACAAGGAAAATAGAACTGTTAGTAACCAATATCAAAAATAAAAATGCATACAAAACTATAAAACGAAACAGCATAGCCTTAGCTGCAGTTATATTAACACTCAAATCACGGGGGTTCACAAAGATTGGAAAAATAACTTTCCGCATATGACAATTAATGTCAAATGTCACATACACCCAAAATACAAAGAACAAATCTCAAAATACTCCGACAAACGTTAAACACCATACAATACACAGAAATATATACTCCACCACATGGAATTTACAACCCATTAAATAATATCAGAAATACAAAACCATCCATCGCAAATAACTGCACATATATGTTAGTTAACATCTTTAACAGTAATATATTTCTTCAAATTACAGGGATGGCCAATATAATTAAAGAAATTAAATAGATGTAACAGAGAACAGTGAAAACCCTCCTTACCTTTTCACAAGGAAAATAGAACTGAATTAAAAAAACAGCTCCACCCAGTGAAGAAAGGCTCACTCACACAGTGAAACACTCACAGAACACAGCTCCCCCCTAAGGCTGGGAGAAACATTTTACATCTTTCCTACATCTATATGTGTGTGTGCTGTCTAATCTAACATAAAATTTTACATAATATGTGTGTGTGTGTGTATACTAATAAATATGTGTATGTACAAAGACACAACCATACATGTGTATATGTGTGTGTGTGTGTGTGTGTGTGTGTGTATATATATATATATATATATATATATATATATATATATATATATATATATATATATATATATATATATATATATATATATATATATATAAAAGATAATATACACACATTATGTAAACAAAAACTTTTAAAACTTAAATTCTTAAAAAATACCTAAAATTATACTAACATTCCTTTGACAAAGCTATTTCTAGATTTTGGTGATACCATTAATGTTCATTAGCATGTTCTGTCTCTTTAGGTAATATAATTCCTCGCTATGTGCGAGTGAACACGCTGAAAACAACTCTTGATGACGCCATTGACTATTTAAAAAGAGAGGGATTTTCATATCAAGGAACAACAATGCGGTAAGTTTTCCTCTGCACGTCACAAACTTCTCCAGAAACCTGAACACTATTCCTAAAATAACGCATTTCAAATGAAGTATTTTTGATCTGCTATTTCGTGTTTCATCATCTCAGGCTTGAGGATCTTGATCATCTGTCTGGGAAAACATTTCTGTGTGATCTTCATCTCAAAGATCTTCTGGTTTTCAGTTCAAAAACAGACTTCCACAATCACTTCCTTTATAAGGCAGGACACATTATATTGCAGGACAAGGTAAAACGTTATACTTCACCTACATTTGTTTGCAAGATGAGTTGAACCTCATGTTATTTTGCTCTCTGTTCAAATTAAATGTTTTGCAGGCCAGCTGTCTTCCTGCTTTCCTCCTAAACCCTCCGGTTGGCAGTCACGTCATCGATGCCTGTGCAGCTCCAGGAAACAAAACCAGCCATCTAGCTGCCATAATGAAAAATAAAGGGTACAGCATCTGACTATCTAATACTGAAGTATCAAGGTCTGGACATAATCCATAATCTTTATGAAGTGGATCAAAACCTTTCATCAAAGAACAATGAACAATACCCGTTCTTGTCTTTGGACAACTTTGATGAACTTTTTTAATCCACTTCAAATGTTGACTACTTTATATAAAAATATATGAAGAGTTTGGTTCCAAAACGCAATAAATCCATTTAGATTAATTTGAGTAAAAAAGTGTTTTCTTTACCAAGAAAGTGGAAAGATGAAAACCACTATTTTCTGTTTCAAACTTTCACATAGCATTTGTAGGTCATAATAACAACAACAACAAAAAAATCCAGGTTTTGTTTTTCAAAGATTTATTATTAAAAAAACGGATTGTTTTTTTCCCCAGAATGCAATAAATCAAATTTTTTTTAAATTCAAAATGCAATTAATCCATTGAATCAATACAAAAGTTTTTTTTTCATATTGAAACTGTTGAAAATACACAACAACATACGTTTATTAGTATAATATTTTTATTAAGAACTGTAAAGAAGATTGAAAACATTTTTCCTCCTCCCGAGTGCCTCATCTTCTTAATCACCTCATGTAAATGATTCGATGCCTTACGTTTCTTACCCACCGCAGAAACAACCACAGGTTCATCAATGCCGTCAAAATTATTAATTTTTTTGTTTGTTTGTTGATCGAAAAGTACAAAATAGATAAGAAAAACTAGGAAGCCGGGTGTATTTAAGGCGCTGCCGTTACTGTTAACATTGCGTGGAATGGTGCGTTGTGATTGGTTGAGAGCGGATATATCGCATTCTGCAGAGAAGGGAGACTGGCGTTTGTCACGGTCTGGAAAGAAAGGGAGAAAACATGACAGAATAACACGGCGGATATCGCATTTTACTTAAAATTAAACATTGACTTTTCAATACCAACCAGATACAATACTGATTTTTGCAGTAACTAATAATAAAAAAAAAAGGCGTTTATCGCGTTTTGGAACCAAACTCTTCATTTATATATATAAACTTTGTTTATTTATTTATTAAAAATGAATAGAATTATAAATTAATATTTGTATATATATAGTAAAATAAATTAAATATTTACATTTTATCAATTTATATTTAAATTTATTTTCTAAATGGACAACAGGAAGTTGTTTGCCTTCGATCTTGATGCCAAACGCCTGTCCACCATGAGCACTCTTCTCCTTCGTGCTGGGGTCACATGTCATCAGCTGGCCAATCAGGATTTTCTGAAAGTAGATCCACAGAGCTCAGAGTACAAGGAAGTCAAGTACATCCTTCTGGACCCCTCCTGCAGTGGATCAGGTAATTATATTGTAGAAATGAAACAAAAATCTTGTTTAGATATTTGCCGTTTGGGCTGCATTTACACTGCAGGTCTTTGATGCCCAATTCTGATTTGTTGACCATATCCAAAAAAGAAAATTCTTTGACGACCAGCTTACATCTCCTTTTAAAAGTGACCCATATTCGATATCTGCATTTACAATATACACTTGGCGAAACAACCCAAAGTAGATGTACTGACCCGGAAAAGCTTAAGGCGAAAAGGAAGTAAAAACGATGTGATTTGCAATGTTCGGAGACAAGATGATAATACAAATCATTGATTGAAAACGATTTGAGAATATCGGAACCCATGTGCCTTTTTCCTGCTTACATGATAGGTCATATCCTGTCTGTCTGAAAAATCAGAATTGGTTCACTTGAACCATTAAATGCGGCCTCAGACTTGTGCTTGTTTGTCTCAGGGATGGTTTGTCTACGAGATGAGGTCTCCGAGCCGCAGGAGGACGGGCGTCTGCAGGCGCTGGCTGCGTTTCAGCTGCACTGTCTCAACCACGCGCTGCAGTTTCCTCAGGTACAGCGCGTCGTCTATTCCACCTGCTCCGTTCACACACAGGAGAACGAGGAGGTTGTGTCGGCCTGCTTACAGCACAACCCTGGATTCAGGTCAGAAACTCAGACCAGGACACAAAATCATTAATATGTCTTTCACAGTATGAGGACAGTTTTTGAGAGTTTTTCTTTGCTTGTAGACTTGTCCATCTTCTTCCGAACTGGCACGAGAGGGGTCACAACCCTTTCACCCAGTGCCTTCGTGCGAGCACAGCAAAAACACGGACACATGGCTTCTTTGTGGCCATGCTGGAGAGACGTCCCCTACAGACAGATGGACAGAACCTCCCAATGATGTAAGTTTAATGATGACTACTATATGTGAGGCTATTGGCTATATATCTGGAAGATTTTTTGTTTTCGTTTATTTCACCCCATAATAAAATGTAAAAAAGCTTTGCATGAAGAAAAAGCCTATTTTTGGGCCATTTAGGACTTTTGAGTTTGAAAATCTAATTGATAACCAAGTACAGTAATACAGGGACGAGAATCATGCTGTTCAGATGCAAATTGTTTTCAATTATATCAGCCTAAATTAAAGGCTGTACAGCAAATACTGTCGTGATGTATAATAAATAAATAAAAATACTACTGTTAAAGCTGCTGTCCGTAACTTTTTTAAGTTAAAAATAATCCAAATTAATTATTTAAAAAAACACATCTTCAGCCAGTGTTCAAAACTATCTGCTTGCCATAGCTAGATTCAAAACGGTTAGCTTGTAATAATGATTTTAATTCCAGTGGTACTGGTGGGTTTTCGCGGGAAATTCGAGCATGTCTTTGCGTCATGACGTCACACCCGTACACATAAAGAAGGAGTTTCGGCTAGCCGGCTATACTGCGCGTGAGGAGATGTAGAGATAGGCTTTTCTCGCAGCACTTTACATGATTAAACTTATGGCGGATCCAGAAAGATCCAAACAACAATCATCAGTGTCAACTGGAGATTAACCAGTTATAAAACCCAAAAGACTTCGTACTTCGGATTTAAGGTGGAAAGAGAAAGAAACCGTCTCATGCGAACACAAGGATACACATCGGTGGGGCTTTTGAAAGGTGCGTGAACTCCCGAAGGGGTTCGAAACCGAAGATGAGACAGCTTTTTCTGCTGAACAAGACATTTCAATAGTTCAATCGTGTAACAGTACGTTTTCTTAATTCACACAGTTATGGAGTTTTCTTTGTTGTGCCTTTCTCGTTTAACGTTAGCTATTATGGAGAATATGAATTCTGAACTACACAGGTAATCATAAAACAGATTAAATAACGTTAGTCACGCAATGCTGATGTTGTTAACATGAACAATTTGAGAACAAAGTAGGCTATGATTTGCACGGTTGCTGTAAATCGCGCTGATTAAATCTAACGAAGCTTATCATGTCGAATGCTTTTCCCCCCTTAGTTGGTCAGAACAAAAATGGATGTTACTTGTTCAGAAGACATTTTCTTATGAAAATTCTTATGTTGGTCAAGCTTTCAAAAAGTGAATCTGTGATTCTGAATGACAGTATCCACACAGCGCGGTGATTGACAGCAGCACTCGCCTCAAAACAGTGTTCATCCACGCTGTTTCATGCCGATTTACAACCCACGTAAAGATGATAATTCCGCGAATCACTGCAGTTACAGATTTCGAACAGAGATGGCGACAAAAAGGGAAAAAGCTACGGACTGCAGCTTTAATAAATGTAGGGTTGGTTAGATTTTTTAAAGTCGTCTCTCATGCGTCCTAAGGGTGCATTGATCAAAAATAGTCAAAACAGTAATATTAAAATTTAAAATAACTTTTATATTTTAATATATATATATATATATATATATATATATTCCTGTGATGGCAAAGTTGAATTTTCAGTGTCATTACTTCAGTGTCACATGATACTACAGAAATCATTCTAATATGCTGATTTGCTGCTCAAGCAACACTTTATTTTAATGTTGAAAGTCTTATTTTTGTGGAAACCGTGATACATTTTTTCCCAAATATTCTTTGATGAATATTTGTGAAAGCTGTGATAATCTTTTGATGAATAGAAAGTAAAAAAAAAAAAAAAAAAACATTTCTTTGAAATAGTTTTTTGTGACATTATAAATGTCTTTACTGTCACTTTTGGTCAATTTAGTGTAACTTTGCTGAATAAAAGTATGAACTACTTTCAAAACAAAATCTTACTGACCCCCAACCTCTCTAACTGTATGTTTATATGTATATTACAATTTAAATAACATCTTATTTTTCTCATTACAGTAATTTCTTAATTGTCATGAAAGTCACAATTATATTTTATGGTAAAATCAGACCTGAATATGTTCTTGTCAGCCTTGTTTTGGTTATATTAATGTGATTTTGTTATTGTCACAGCACAACATTGCCATTTGGTGGTGAGGAAAAGCAGAACACACCAAAATCCAGTCCATCCGACGAGGAACAAGAGACCTCGCAGATTGCAAACGAACAACCTGCAAATCCAAGCTCAAAGAAGAAAAGGAGAAACAGAAAGAAACACAAAAAGCAAGAACCCTGAAGTTAGAGGACTTTTAGTATGGTGAAAATGAAAACATTCTCTGCTCAGCTAAACTACACCTGGACACTAACCCCTGCTTTTATTGAAATGTAATAAACAATATAAAGTTCATTTCAAGTCAGATTTCAGTTTTAGATTAATTGCAAATACATTCATGTATACAGAGGTTGAATAGAAATGTGGGAATTATTGAACGGTCATGCATTGAACACAATGAGTGCAACTGAAATCCACTGCAAATCAACTTTTATCCATTTTTATTCAAAACCAGCATCTCATTATCAGAGCATTTAAGCAGACACAACACAATCCGTGTGCCGCTTCATCCAGAAATCCACTCACGCTTTGAGAGTTAGTGGGAAGGGTCATTTACACACAAACTGTGAGCATTCACTTATAGCAACATCTTAAAAACAAACAACTAGGTACAACTCCTCTCAAACATTCACAGCTTGAGATATCCAGCGCACATCTCATTTTCTCAACAGTCTACACACGTCTCACTTGTATTGGTACAGCTTTCTAATAAACAGAAAGCCTGGTCCCATGCCTCCTCGCATCAGTCTGGGCATGAGGATACTTCAAAAATGTGACTACAAATTATGTTGTTAAGACCTACATGAGGAATTGCATGCAAGGGGAACTAGGATGGCTGCACCGTTCTAAAAACTTTAGCTGTCCCCAATTAAGTGTATTTTTTGGGTCAAAGAATTTTATGGGGTGAAAAAAAATACAAAAACCCTAAAATGGTGGTTTTGTGCTTCCATATTTGTGCATTGACGTACTAATTAAATCCAGTGTTTTGTGAATATACAACATTGTATATTGACTAAAAACATCAAATCATATTACACAGCTCAATCACTTAACAGACCTGAGAATATGTTAAGATTCTGATTCAGGAACGTTCTTAAGACATGCCGTTTCAAACGCAGGTTCAATATTTGCTATATCTTGGTATTTTAAAACATCACAAGCATGCACAAACCATAGGATTCATACAAAGCCAGGAATGATTCATACAAAATTCAGTAATGGTATACATGCACATAAAAAAAAAAAGGAAAAAAGTTCAATATAAATAGCATTTAAGCCTCTCTAGGTTAAATCAGATCTGAAGGTGAATGAGCAAAACTGTTTTTAAAACATTCCGCAACGCAAACGTCACATTCTCTCCATTCCTGAAATTCACACATTTTTAGGGGCACTTTAAATTGAATTTTTTGCACTTATTTGAATTGATCACAGTCAAATGTTTCATTTCCAAAACATGTGAACAAGTTATTTTGCACACTTTCACTCAAAGCTGCTCTTCTACAGAGTTTGAAGTTGGACCAAATCTCTTTAGTCAGTAATCAAAAATAAGTGAACTTGAGATCATATTCTTTTAAATCATCTAAAACGCTCTTACACATTACGAAAAACAGGCATCCGTGTCTCAGAGTATAAATCCAACATCCATAATATGCAACCATAAGCAAAACACACTAAGGCACACAGCAATGAAAGTGTTAGAAAAGAAATTAACGGAAATGAAATGAGACCGTTATGGGAGTGCCTGACAGGCAAACACACTGATGGCAGGTGCAACAGATATAAGAACATGAGGTTTTGCCTACATGCTTGCGATAAGTGCCGAATTTAAGAGTTTAATTAACAGTAATTCGAATGAGGCAGACTGCAGTAAACCAATTCAGCTGGGACACAGATGCACGTTTAAAATGGAGAGGTAGTAAAACAGCCAATGGTGTGGCGGAGAGAGGAGCGTCACACTGAAACATTAGCTTTGGTTTTAAACAGACAGAAGTTCAACGTATGCAGGAAAACAGACAAGATCTGTGTGTAAACTGCTTCTCTTAAAGGAACGTGCAGAAAAATCAGTGTAAAATTAAATTGTTTATTATGCAGCTCACTCAGGCAAAAATTCTTTTATATTTTTAATGGAACAGGAAAAATATTCACACTTTGAAGGCTTAACAAAATTGTGAAGAATCTGCTAAGCATGATGAAAAAGCATGACAAATGTATGCTAACTGCAAAAAAAAAGAAAGAAAAAAAGGTATATGTATATATTCACTGGATTTAAAATAAAGAGCATCTGATTTCTCGACCAAAAACTAAAGTCAAAAATAAGATTCTGTTTCATCCAACAGGCCTGGACTGAAATTCATGTGAGTGTCCAGATTTGAAAGTCTCTTTTTCTTTCAAGTATAATACGCTCCAGTTCGCAATCCTTCCCCAACACCAGACGTCCTAATCAGACATTTACAGACTCCATTAGCGAGGTTGTGATGAGTCTCGGTGGGCGCACCCAACAGCAGAGATGGGGCCGCCCGGTACTCTAAAAATCTACACTCTCTGAGCCTTGATCCTACACACCTGACCAGCCCTGGCAGTCTGGAGGGTTGTAGAGATGAGGTCTGACTGACAGCCTTGTTGTGTTTGGACCAGCAGCAGTAGCAGCAGTGTCTGGGGCAGGTGGGACAGCCGGAGGAGTAGTAACAGAGTCCATTTGACAATAATGAAAGGGACAGGACTCACATCAGCCATGTTACTTCTTCCTCGGGTGCTGCCTACGGGCTTGTAATCGACGAGCCCCAGAGGACTTGGATCCCGTTCCAATAGAGAAGGTAGCTGGTGAAGCACCTAAAAGATAAAAAAAAAATTATTAAAAGAGAAAAGATAGAATAGACCCAGGTTATTATAAAATATATTTTTTAAATGTGAAAGTCATTTGTTGCTTACCAACAAAGGAGGCGCCCATTGCTCCAAATCCTGGGGTTCCAGGACTGCCAAACGGCATCTGCATTCCTGCAGGCGCCTGACCAAAAGCAGGAGTAGATGTTCCTAAGATAACAGACAGAATGTAATAAGACAAACAAGGAGAATGTAAGATGACCATTTTACTGTGATTTAGCCAAATCATTAAATACCTCAAACTTTTACCAATTCTAAACCAAAACTAACAAATACATAAATTTTTAAATTCCAGCAAATTTGTATTTCACATTGGCTGTAAATAAAGAAAGACTGTAAAAAGAAAGTTTCTCTTCTAAAATTTTTGGAAATAGCACGAAATAGTAAAATAAAATAAAAATTGATATTAGAATAGAAACAACCCTAATGTTGTTTAGGTATCAATATTCTTCTTGAACTCCACCAATGTCTATTGTAACATCCTAACTGTAAAATGATATACGCTTCACATTTCATCCTAATGAATGAGTATGTAGGTTATATATCGCCGCATTTAGGCGGAAACCCCATATCTTCAGCAGCAGCAGCTTTCTTTTCTGTTACGATCGGTAATAGTGGAGCGGCTAAGTGCTTATGTTTGGCAGAATCGTTCAGTTTATGATATAAGCGTGAAAATTGGCACGAGCAGTCTCCATGGGTCCCTTGACAAGAAAATTGTCCGAGCCAATTGAAATTAACATACAATTTCAAGATGGCGGCAATTTTTCCGGATTACTGCCGCCCGCCATGTGGATCTTTAAATGATACATTTTCTCATAGATACTTTCTGTTTGTCATGGTTCCATGGCTGTGTCAGCCAGAGTCGCTGTTGCCTCTGGATCTGTTCTTATTGACATTCAGTATTAGTCATTGCTCAATTTTTTGTTTGGTGCACTGTCCGTTCAGCACCACAACTGTGCTAATTTATTAATCTTATTTTTGTTTCCCCACCTCTCCGTGTTAATTTGACATGTTTAATAACTGTTAGTTTAAAAAAAAAAAAAAACCTAGTGAAAAAGTTTGGTACTGCGCCCAAACAAAATCTTACTGAAAGCTCATTTTTTGAGATATCAACCTACAATTTGAAACACAACTTGTTCAGATTTTTGGCTTTGATTTTTTTGCAGTTTTAGAGTCGCCCAGGTTTTGAAAATATGTATTTTATATAAAATATGAATAATTAAATTTTTTACATTATACATTTTCATAAACTCAAACTTCTATAACTTTTTTTCTGTTTTACTTTCTTAATTTATTTAACTTCTACAAAAATCTGCCAAATGTCTTCTTTAAAACAAGACCAATCTTATTCTATATTCTATAGCATTCTTGAATTACAACCATTTAAGTTCGAAATGTGCATTTTCATGTATATTCAAAAAAAGGGGGGTGACACTTAAAGGGTTAATAACTGTTAGTTTAAAAAAAAAAAAAAACTCCCTTGTGACCGTAACCTTGTCGTGGTAAGGGAGCTTGTGTACCTCAATGAACCCTGAGAGCTATGCCGGTGGGAGGCAACTCCAGGCTTTACCAAACTGGACAGGTCATGGGTCAGGAGTCAGACAAAACACAGTCAAACTAACTCTCTTGACAGAGTCTCTTGAGGAACCCAATAGATTTCTATGAGAACATGTATCATTTAAAGATCCACATGGCGGGCGGCAGTAATCCTGAAAAATTGCCACCATCTTGAAATTTTATGTTGCTGTGGGCGGTTTCTTGTCAAATGAACCTTTGAGACAGCTCATTAGGGGTGTAAATCGGACAGTTCATCACGATACGATACGATATCGATTCTCTCAGCCAGCGATACGATTATTGCCGATACCTAAAAAAATTCCGCGATACGATTACGATTCGATTCGATTCAGGGTTATCAATCGATTTATCGATATTTAGATATTATGTGCCAAGTTTACACAACCAGTTACGTTTATTAACTCACAAATGCATCCAAAAATATATGAAAGTTTAATTAAACTCTTTGAAAATTGCACACCCTCTCCCAATTGGGACATTTACAAGTTGTTTGTTACAAGTTACAAGTAAAAACAGAGTTATCTGTTTTTGCAAATGAACTAACAGAAGAGGTTGTTTTGATTAAGTAATAATAACAAAAAAAAAACCAGGTAAATTATTAAATTAAAGTGCATTGAAAGTATTTTTTTATATATAGGCTATAGCTATATATTTTTTTGTGTGTGGCAAAAGCAGATAACTCCACATTTCATGTTTCAGAGTTAAACAAAGCCTAGTAATTGCTACGATACTTAATAAAACACTTAATCTTTGTAATGTTAATCTCCTCAGCTGACATCTAGACGCCTGTCAAACTTTGTTGTTGTGAATAACGTACACGCGATACAGAGAGCTTTTCCCTCACCACTAACCTGCTGTTTTAGCAAGATTCCGTGAAAAAGTTTCAGCTCTTATTTTCCTTTTACGCCATGAAGAAGATATCACGGGTTCATCAAGCTCGTTGAAATCCATCCTCGATAACTTTTAATCAGCTTTGACGAAACTCCTCTCAGCTAGCGCGTCTTTTCAAAGTGACTAGCAGGCTTGTCACCTGACCTGAATACTGCGCACTGTTTCACAAACAAGGGTCCTTGTCGTTTCTGCTGTAAAACATGAACTCGCGATGCCTTGACAGTGGAAAATACCGGCTTTTGTGACAAAGGGTTCAGTCAATCTTGTCAGGCGTCTATTTCAGCGGAGAAAAGTTAGGTGAGGATATGGAGAGTGTCAAAATAAAGGTACCGTATAATCGATATTTTATGTGTTGCATCGATGCATCGTATCGTTAGACTTTTGATCGATGTATCGATCCATATCGATGTATTGTTACACCCCTACAGCTCATAGCAATTTTCATGCTTGTGTCACCAACTAAATGATTTCTTAAGCCTAATTGCTCCACTAAGGTGGTGGCCATCTTGAAAAATGGCCACCATCTTGAAATTTCAAGTAGCTGTGGGTGGCTTATTGTCTAGTGACCATCAGAGGCTGCTCATGCCAATTTTCATGCTTGTATCACCAAATAAACCAACTGCTCCACTAAGGTGTCGGCCATCTTGAAAAATGTCTGCCATCTTGAAATTTCAAGTGGCTCGGACAATTTTCTTGTCAAGTGACCCATGGAGACTGCTCATGCCAATTTTCACGCTTGTATCATAAACTGAACGATTATATCATTTAGCCGCTCCACTATGAGTGCGTGTTAGAAATCAGGAATGATGAGAACATAGTGCTTGGTCTGTGACCAAATGGTTGCATTTTGCGACCTTATTGCCTGCTGGTGCAAATGAAATGAAAGCGGAGCAAAACCACACTTCTCGTTTGACCTGCGCAGACTGTTTATCAGTTCAGACCAATATTAGTCAGCGCACCCCGAGCTCAGAACAGGTTTACTTTACTCGTGTGCCGATCTCAATCACGCAACACTGTTACTACACAGCGCTGGGATATCCAATGAGAAAGCGTTTGAATTTGTTGCAGTATTAATAACTAATATTATTATTAGTTATTAATAAGTATTAATAATTGCTGAATTTAAATAACTCCCACTAGATCTTGCAGCAAAGTATTATGTTATAAACCATAGATATCAGATCAAACAGCGGTGACCAGGAGAAACACTGTGCCATGAATGAACAAGTTATTTAACTTAAGGCTCTCCAGTCCACAAATCACCAACGTTCACCATGGATTCAATGTAGCAACGCTAACTGTAACCATGGTTGTCGCAGAAATAGTTGCATGTTTTTACATTATTCATTTCAGGGTTCATGCAAACTTTTGAGAGTGAAATTAAGGCACTTTTCAAGGACTTTTTAAAGTGCTTCACACTTTTTTCAGCACTTCAATATTATCCCATTTTAATGTGATGATCTGTAAAACTAAAAATGTTTAAAGATAAAGGAAATGTAACAGTTCAGTATAATGGTACATTTAATAAGAGTACCGTAGAATACTACACATTACTGTTTGTTAATAAAAGTACATTTTTATCTGTATCTGAATTCAAGCCAAGTGCTTTTGTGTCAAATTTCCAATAAATAAACATTAGTAACTGCACGTATGAATCCAAAACAATAGTAATATGATTAAACTAAGCTAGGAACTAATGCCAGAAACTGTAGTACTAAATTAGAAATGCATTTCGAAATTAATCAATACGAAAAAAATTCAAAGTGAATTTGGTTTTAAAAACATTGCTAAAAAGATAGTAACCAAAGTAACTAACAGTGCATTCTGGGTTAACAGAAAAACTACAGTTGTGTCCTGAATGAAGCACTATACACTTATACACTATGCTTATAAGACCTTCTGACCTTTGTCACTTAAAAAAAAAAAAACACTTACCAAAAGCAGGCTTGTTATCCGTGTTGTTGGCTCCAAAGGAAAACCCTGGTGTCTGAACTGCAGGCCCAGGGGTTCCAAATGGTGTTGCCGAAAGTGAGGCCCCAAAGTTAAATCCTCCAGAGGCAGGAGGCGCTGGAGTACTCGGAGCAGTGTTTTGAGTGCCTGTTGATGCACCTCCGAAGCTGAACGTAGGAGCTGGGCCAGGTTGAGAGGCCACAGTCTGTGTGGAGGCCCCAAAGACGGGAGCCGCAGAAGGGGTGGTGGTGTTTCCAAATGAGAAGCCAGATGATGCTGCCCCGAATGTAGGCTGACTGTTAGTCCCAAATGCAGGCGCTACTGTGCTGGCAGCGGCTCCAAACGCAAATGGTGCTGCGCCGCTACTTCCACCACTGGGCCCAAATGTGAAAGGTTTTGGAGCAGCAGGGGCCTGCTGTGTGGATCCTGGGAAGGTTGTAGATGCAGTGAAGGTTGAGCTCCCAAAAGTGGTTTGTGTTGTGGATGCCTCCGAGGAAGTGGTGGCACTGCTGGTCATGCCGAACCCACCAAACGGAGCAGATGTGGAGTTCTGGTTCGTGGGCAGCTGGCCAAATGCGAACGTGCTTTGAGCCTGCTGTGTGGGCGCAGGTTTTGCTCCGCCGAACTGAAAAGCAGAGGTGGTGCCACCGGCACTAGCTGTGTTGGTGTTTAACACAGGGGCGGCCGTTGTGGTCAATGGTGCTCCAAACTGGAACGTGGCGTTTGTGGCAGGAGCGGATGTGGTGGTTGCAGTCCAGCTTCCAAACAGAGATTGGGAGGGAGTCTGTGTGACCGGGGCGGCAGAAGCAGCAGTCACCATTGTTGGCTGGGTACTGGTTAGTCCACCAAATAACATCCCACTGTTCTGTGCGGCCAGAGCAGCAGGAGTTGATGTCGTCGGTGTGGCTGTCTGCCCAAAGGAACTAATGCCACTTCCTGTGGTACTGCCAAATAATGGCTTGAAGGTGGGCTGGGTGGTTTTGACCTCAGCTGTGGAAGCAGGGGTGGTGCTTGCTGCACTGAAAATGGGCTTAAAGCCAGACAACAGGGGGTTGCTAATGCTGTTGACTGATGCAACCGTGGTTGTAGGTGCAGCAACTGTAGATTTAGGAGGCTCAGATGCAGGTGTGGCCACAGGTTTGATCAAACTGAACAGGCTGCCTCCTCCGCGCAGGGATGGCGTGCTTGGTGAGGATTGAAGAGGTTGGGCCAAGATCTGAGCGAAGGCAGAGGGCATGGAGGTGGCTGGCTTGGAGGCAGGTGTTGATATGGAGGATGGGGCAGCAAATGAGTTCTGAAGAGTGGCAAGGCCCGACTCAGATTTGACAAATCCACCGCTAGAGTTTGTGGAAACAGCAGGTGTAGAAAGACTGTACACAGACACTGCTGGAGCTGCATATGGAGTGACAGACACATACCAGTTCGTGTTAAAGTACATTGATCAAAGGTGACAGTAAAGATATTTATAATGTTAATTTTAAGTAAATGCTGTTCTTTAATCATCACGGTTTCAACAAAATTATTAAGCAGCACAACTGTTTCAACATTGATAAGAAATGTTTATTGAGCAGCAAATCAGTATATTAGAATGATTTCTGAAGAATGACACTGAAGACTAAAATAATGGCTGCTAAAAAATCTGTAAAAACAATATAAAATAATTTAGACAAACCTGCAGTAGTAGTAGTACTCATCATAGTGGAAGCATTGAAAAGAGGATTATTCTTCATGTTTTTCAAGGACTCCAGCAGAGGGTTTGAAATGCTTGAAGCTGGGGGATTTGGGGTGGTAGTGATGGAGGGGGCTGAGGTGAAAGTCAGGGGTGCAGTACTGGCCATGCTGGGAACAGTGATGGTAAGGTCAATAGTTGGAGCAGGAGTTGTAGTAGTGGCTGGTGTGGTCACAGGCAAAGGTGTGGAGAGAGAAACCAGAGCGGGCACAGCGCTCACAGCAGGTGCAGTCCCGAATGAGGAGGTTGGAGTTGGGTGGGAAAACGGGGTTAAAGAGGAAACTGGAGCTGGGGTGGATTCAGATGTTGGAGGAAGGATCTCTGGCTCTGGAAAAAATAAAGATGTTGCTTCAAGTACTTCATTTTGTTGCATCTATTACAGCCACTTCAAATAGTGTAAAGAACTTACCAGGTTCCTCCAGGACTTTCTGTATCTGGCTGAGTGCTGCTTTCTTCTCCATATCTAGATCTTTTGCTGTGATCGTATATCCTAGTTCAGGAGGTGGTGGCTGCAGACACAATGTTACAATGATGAATATCCATGATGCAAATGTGTGGTGGAAATGTGAATCTACAGCAGCTTTGCAACTTACCATAGAAATCTGATCTCCTCTGTTTGTGGTGACCAGCTGGATTTTACGCTTACGTTTCCCACTGCTGCCTCCAGAGTCTGATGTTAATGTTGCAACAGGTGCCTCAGATTTTGGAGTAAGTTTAGCTGGTACAAACACACCCAAATTAAAATTGTAGCATTCTTGATAAATAAATAAAAAAGGTTAATCTCTAAATTTTAATTATATTAATAAGCAATTCTGTATTATATTGAGTTATAATTAGTTAATACATAAAGAACAACGTATTAATGAAACAGCTAACATGTTTCCTCACTTGTAGCAGGCGCATGATCAGTTGTCACCTTATCCATTTTTACAAAGGATGTGGAATTTGGTGAAGTAGCATCTTCCTCCCTACAGCACACAAAATAGTTTATAACAGTAACAATGTCTTAAGCCCTGAATAATCAGACTAGTTATGCTTTTATCTGACATTTGGCAGGTGTGTTTACACAACAGAATGGAAGTTTTTAAAAGTTTAAAGGGTTAGTTCACCCAAAAATGAAAATTATGTCATTAATGACTCACCCTCATGTCGTCCCAAGCCCGTAAGACCTCCGTTCATCTTCGGAACACAGTTTAAGGTATTTTAGATTTAGTCCGAGAGCTTTCTGTCCCTCCATTGAAAATGTATGTATGGTGTACTGTGTACTGTCCAATAAGGAAATAAAAACATCAAAGTAGTCCATGTGACATCAGTGGGTTAGTTAGAATTCTTTGAAGCAACAAATACATTTTGGTCCAAAAATAACAAAAACCACGACTTTATTCAGCATTGTATTCTCTTCCGGTTCTGTTATCAATCCGCGTTCAGTGACGCTGCTGACGTGTATCTGGTGCGTCCGTGTATTCGGGTTCAAATAAATATGGCTGGGCAAAAAAATGCAAGTCTTCCTCTGTGTGGAAATCCTTAGACATGTTTGCGAAGACTGTTTTGTTTACAGTGTGCGTCTCCCTCAGACTGTAAACGAAGCTCGGGCGCACTGCAGCGTCACTGAACACGGCTCGACAACAGAACCGGAAGACAATACAATGCTGAATAAAGTCGTAGTTTTTGTTATTTTTGGACCAAAATGTATTTTCGATGCTTCAAAACATTCTAACTAACCCACTTGATGTCACATGGACTACTTTGATGAGGTTTTACTAACCTTTCTGGACAAGGACAGTATACCGTACATACATTTTCAATGGAGGGACAGAAAACTCTCAGACTAAATATCTTAAACCGTGTTCCGAAGATGAACGGAGGTCTTACGGGCTTGGAACGACATGAGGGCGAGTCATTAATGACAATTTTCATTTTTGGGTGAACTAACCCTTTAAATGTTTGGGGTCGACAAGTTCTTTTAAAGAAATAAATACTTCTATTCAAGAGTGCATTAAATCTGCCAAATGACAGGAAAGAATTAACAAATATTTCAAATAAACGCTCTTCTTTCAAACTATTAAACAAAGAATCCACAACATTAATAAGCATATTAGACTGCTTTGCAAATTGCAATCATATATATATACAGTATCTCACAAAAGTGAGTAGACTCCTCACATTTCAGCAAACAAATAACATTTTAAAAGCACTGCCTGAATCCTCCTGGGCATGGAGTTCACCAGAGCTGCACAGGTTGTTGCCTCTTCCACTCCTCCACAATGACATCACGGAGCTGCTGGCGCTTCTCCACCTTCCGCTTGAGGATCACCACAGGCGCTCAATAGGGTTCAGGTCTGGAGAAATACTTGGCCACTCCATCTTCAGCTTCCTCAGCAAGGCGGTTGTCATCTTGGCGGTGTGTTTGGGGTCATTATCATGCCGTTCGGCCCAGTTTCTGAAGGGAGGGCATCATGTTCTGCTTCATAATGTCGGAATCCATGTTTTCCTCAATGAAGCGCAGCTCCCCAGTACCAGCAGCACTCATGCAGCCCCAGAAAATGATGCTACCACCACCATGCTTGACTGTAGGCAAGACAATTTTATTGGTACTCCTTACTAGGGATGCATCGATCCGATACTCAGTATCGGTATCGGCTCCGATACTGCCATTTTTGCCGGATCGGGTATCGGTCAGAGGAGGCCGATCCAAATCCGATATTGTGCGTATTATTCTGTGTTATTGTTAAGCCCCACAAAAGGCACAAAAACATTATCAAGTACCATAAAGTTTTCGTGCACTATCTTATAAGTGTTCTGAAGCCATTATATAGTATAATGTGAGATAAAAATTAATATTTAAGTCATTAAATTCAAGACCTCGTAAACTTTTTCCCTCCGCTGCGGCTGTCAGTCATTCTCCATTCAGCATTTAACAGCGCGTCGCGTTCTGTTACGACAGGCAACACGATGAAACTCTCCAAGATCAAGATGATTCAATGTTACTATTATTATTCTTGATCTGTAGATAAAGGTCTATGGTTTAGCATAAAACAACTTTATATTGCTGGACTTTATTGCTGTAACTAAATCATGTTACTTTCTACCGGGCGTCTGTTAGATCGCAACAGAGTAGCCTAGAGTCAGAGAGCACTATAATTGTTCTTCACGCGCACAGTAACTGAAATTTAAAACTGTTAAAAGAAAAGGCTCAATAAACGATTGCATAGATACTGTGTATAATACACTACGCATCGATATGTCTTTCCTTTGTGCTTTGAACTGTTCAATGCGGATTCGACGCGCTGCGCGCTGTGACTCCGTGTTGCTTCAAGCGCATCATTCTGCGCTCGGGATGCGCATAAGCGCTGTGTGCCGCACTGTATTGGATCCTTTCATAATCATATAATACTACTTTTGCGCAATGAAAGATTATTAATAGCCTTTCTTGTTCTGTCCTATCTATCATATGTTGCTGCCTCATTAAACAGCTGTGCTATACATTTAAAACATGTCTCAATTTTATAGTAGCCTAGCCATAGGCTAGGCCCTATATATAATAATTTATCTTTTTGATTTTTGTTATCTTGTTTTTCATGAATGTATTTTACAACAATACAAAGAGCAATGTGTAATGTTTGACCAGATTTAGTGTTACACTTATTGTCTCTTATTTGTTCCCCTAAATTTTCTTCACTAAATGTTCAGATTTTATACAATTATTGTGCACTCATGATTTTTCTAGACTAAATTGCACTGCTGAATTATCCACTAATCTAGTTTATTATAGCATTTTTGTCACAGATTATGATCATATATTTTTTGGATTTGTTGTTTTTCTTTAAAATTAAGTTGTCTGTGTTAAGTAGATTGTGTTTAACACACAAAAGAGTGATTATCAGTTCAACACACAGAGTTATAGAAATTCTACTTGATTTAAAAAAAAAACTGCACTGGTATCGGATTGGTATCGGTATCGGCCGATACTCAGAATTTTGGGATCGGATCGGTTTTGAAAAAGCGGTATCGTTGCATCCCTACTCCTTACCAGGGCATTGCCACACATGCTGGACCCCATCTGAGCCAAGCAAGTTTATCTTAGTCTCATCAGACCACAGGACATGGTTCCAGTAATGCATGCTCTTGGTTGTCTTCAGCAAACTGTTTGCAGGCTTTCTTGTGAGCCAGCTTCAAAAGAGGCTTCCTTCTGGGACGATGGCCATGCAAACTGACTTGTTGCAATGTGTGGCGTATGGTCTGAGCACTGACAAGCTGACCTTCCGCTTCTGCAACCTCTAAAGCAATGCTGGCAGGACTCATGCGTCTGTTTTTTGAAGCCAGCTTCTGCACCTGGCGCACAACACAAGGACTTAACTTCTTTGATTGACCCTTGCGAGGCCTGTTCCAAGTGGAACCCGTCTTGGAAAAACTCTGTATGACCCTGGCCTGTACTAAGTAAGTTTCAGGGTGTTACCAATCTTCTTATAGCCTAGGTCAACGTTGTGGAGAGCAACAATTCTAATTCTCAAATCCTTAGAGAGTTCTTTGCCATGAGGTGCCATGTTGAACATCCAGTGGTCAGTATGAGAGAATTGTACTCAAAGCACAAATTTTAACTGCTCTAATACAAGATACATAAATTTGTATGCTCCTGTCAAGCAGACAAAAACATGAACATGATGAATAGGACATGTGGCTTTGCATGGTTAAACGACGTACAGCTATTATCACTTAGGGTGTACTCACTTATGTTGCCAGCTATTTTGACAATAATGGCTGTATGTTGAGTTATTTTCAGAGGACAGTAAATATACACTGCTATAAAAGCAGCACATTGACTACTCTAAAATATATCCAAGTTTCATTTCTATAGTATTGTCCCTTGAGAAGATGTACTAAAATGTTTGCTGAAATGTGAGGGGTGTACTCACTTTCGTGAGATACTGTGTGTGTGTGTGTGTATATATATATATATATATATATATATATATAGAACACTTTTAACATTTTTTATCAAATAAAGACAGCCTTTGCGCATAAGAGACATTTTCTTAAATTCTTTTACCTTGCTTTCTTAGCAGCTCTCTCTGGAGTCTGACACCGAGATCCTCCTGGGCTTGTGAAAGGAGAAAGACTGAGACTGGATGCTGCTCTTCTCTGTAAATACAAAATTGAAGGGCATGAGTCAATGAATACAAAAAATTAAGGATGCACGATATATCGACCACATATCGATATCGGCCGATAAATGGTCATTTTTTTATGTTATTAATCTGATAGTAAAAGTAGGCCATTGTGTCAAAGAGCACAACTGTAAAAGCATGTTGTGAATTCTTGTGCGCCAATGTTTTAGCGCGACGAGCGCGTTGTGGTGGAAAGAGTGCGTCTACGGTTATTAAAGCCATCATGACAAGCATAGTCAAGTTCACTTTAGCATTCGCAGCCTTTTGTGCCATTGTAAAATGTTTAATTTGTGTATATTATCTCTGATTAATCTCACATAGCATGCGTTTGGTTGAGTTAATGAACGATGCAGTAAAGCGCTTAATGGACTACTTGCACAAATACTTCCGCGTTCTAGTTAGTACATATCGTGAGTTTCCGGTTAGAGCATTCAGCGCACCTACATACATGAGAATGCAGATTATCACCGTTTTATGGCTGCCACTTGATTAAAACAATGCATAATGATTTCTGTATTAATTATATTGAGCCTGCTGAAATGTTCCTATAAATATTTTCTTTCCAACTGTGCATTCTGAATAATAAATAGGCTAAAAATATTTATACACTAAGCTGCAGCAGTCCTATATGCTTGTCTTCTCATTAACAGTTTTTTTTTTCTCTTTCTGACATTTCATACCTGTTGGTTTACATTTTTAAATGAAATTGACTATTAAAAGGATTGCTTGTGTGTGCGCTGGTGTTTATTCCAGTCTTTTAAAATAGTTGAACGAATGAATGCTCGCGAGGTGCCTGTAACGATGTTAAATAGGCTAGGCTATTTAATCAATAAAGTACACAGCGTAGAGGAGAATGACAGTCAACTACTTTGAATATTATAGCATTTTGGGCATAAACATGTAAATAGTGAAAAGATTGACATTGAAAAATGACACAGAATGATTAAAATATTTAATCCAAATAAATAAATGTTCGTGGTTTGTACTTTGTACTGATTTTATTCATCTGTTCTCATACACTTCAGCGTTGCGGTCACTAGTTTAGACAAACACTGACACCCTGTGGTGAAATAATGGCGTATTTTTAACACCCTCTGCTTTCTCAGATCGGCTTGAATTAAAGGGTCACTCCACCCATTTCAACATTAATCTTTATTGAAAGTGGGTTATATATGTAGTCGAAATGTAAAAGAAATTTTAAATTTGGTGCCCTCTTGACCGAGAAAAGACAGAAAATAACTTTGGGGCGCATTTGTATGTAAGACAACAACTCCCACAATGCACCATGTTGCACAGCTCCGCAAGCCACTCCCACTAATCCAGAACAGCGCAAACATCAGAGAAATCGCTCTTCCGTCTACAAGAAGGCTAGCTGCCAAATGAGTTTAAAATTCATTTCACAAAAAATGTCTAGTTAGTTGTGGCGAGCAGGACGAGGGCGAGGGACGTGAGAGGACGACGCGAGTGATAATGAATGGCACCTGTGCAGCGGTCTCATATCTCTCACGGAGGAGCGGAAGCACAAAAGGAACAGGCCTGATTTTATGTTTTGTTTCTGTTGTGTGTGGCCAGCTGGCTTATACTTTTGTTTTGTATTTGTTTATTTTACTATTAAAACGTTTAAATGTTCGCCGGTTCCAGCCTCCTTCTTCCCACAACAACGAACCCCGTTACATTGGCAAACTCATTAGTGAATTACTCGTTTGTATTTCTTTCTATATGATGAATTATTGCATGATACCTGCATGTTCAGTCAGGCGAAACTAGGATGGTTCACATCACAACACAAACGTCCGTGTGGTCGTCTGATTCAGAGATTTCGTCCAGGAGAAACTGCCTTGTTGAAATTCTCTGCAGCAGACGGACTCTATCTGTGTCCGTAGCGCACAGCGAGAGCACAGGCACCAGCAGTCCGCCCAGCTCAAGCCAGCCCGGGCTCCTCGTCCGCGACAGGCAGCCGCCTCCTGTTCCACCATCAGCCTCAGCTGCTCTTCACTATATTGGGGCTCGTAAAGATAGCCACGAACAGCGGATTCGAGCAGCAGAATTTCAAAATCCTCTTCTTCCATATCATGTTTAGTTTCTTCCGTCATTGTCGTAACTTCCTATATCCACAGCGCTTGTTAGCTTAGCTTATAAACAAGATGGCTGATATTGCTTTCAGTATCTGCAAGTGAAGTCCCACCCACTGATCTGTGATAGCTCTGTTAGCGCATTAGGTCCAACCCCCTATGGGCGGGTTTGAAAGGGTGGGAATTTGTGCTTGTAGTCTATACAGAAATCCCCCCTTTTTACACTTCCTCCTACAATGACGTCAAATGACGATTTTTGCGTCATTGTAGGAGGAAGTGAAAAAGGTAAATAGTAGATTTCTCTCGTCTCAGGGGAAAATGAAAGAATGTTGCACGACCATTCAATAGTATGACTGGTTGTCTAACAATGGACCTCTTAATGCAAATGGGTGGAGTGACCCTTTAAAAACTTCATGTTCCGATAAGTTAGGAAAATTCTGCACACAGTAAACATCAGAATATACCTTCTCCTGTCAATAAAAATGGCCACATTTTTTAAATCTTATTGCGGACACTCATTTTAGGTGGTGTTTGTTCAACTCATTGACCACAGTACATTGAAAGTAAACATAACCGGAAATAAGTGAGACGTACTATTTCCAAACGGAAGTGCGTCACGAAGCTCAGTGTAAGTGGTCCATTGTACCGGTGATCATCTTTATCTTTAGCGTGCGCAGCTCAAACAGGCAGTGCACATTTATAACTATGATTGGGACTGTCATATACATCCCATTATAATTAGAACACTATTGTAATAAAACGTTGTGAATTCTCTGGGTTTAGTTGCCGTGTTTCACCGCGTTGTTGTGGGAATAGCGGGTCTAGAACAGGGATTACACGTTCTGACCAGTACAGTCAAGTTTGCTTGTGCATTCACACAATTTTGATATGTATATAAACAATATGGTTTGATTAAAATAATTTCCTTATTGTCCGATGTCCGTGCGGAGGCGATCCCATTTTATTTATCCATGGCACATGCATTTTGTTTCTTTATTATATGCAGCCCAATGTTATCCAATGACTTGTTTGCATTATTTAGGTATTTTATTATAATTAAATTTTTTGTTAGGCAATAGATTTTTTGGTAACACTTTACAATAAGGTCTCATTTGTCAATGCATTAACTAACATGAACTAACAGAGAGCAAGCCTTTGTTAATGTTAGTTAATACAATATTTGTGTTCATGTTAGTTCACAGTGCACAACTAAAGTTAACAGATACAACTTTGGATCTTAAAAATGTCTTAGAAAATGTCGAGCTTAACATTAACTAAGATTAATAAATGCTGTAGAAGTATTGTTCATTAATTGTTGGTTCATGTTAACCAATGCTAACAAAATGAAACCTTATTTTAAACTGTTACCATTTTTTTTATAAAGAAAGTTGGCCATAGGAGTGTAAAATTAATTTTAAAAGTTAAGGAATCTTACACTAGTTCAAACTAGGCTACTGTATTGTATACGTTTGATTTATGTTGAAGTGTTTGGGACATGGCTTTTAATGGTGAGCCTTTTGTTTTTGTATTCAGGCTATCAAAGTATATCAAAATTTGAATTTAGATTTATTGGCCAATATATTGGTTATCGGCTTTCAAATGTAAAGAATTATAGGTTATTGGCCAGAATTTTCATATCGTTGCATACCTACAAAAAAATGAAAGCAATAACCATCGATATACTCACTAAATATGATCATTTTCATTACATTTCCTCAATTTACCACACAATAAATCTTCAGAAAAATAATCAAATGAAATACCTGTGGATAACCCTGTGAGGAACTGTAGGAACTGCGAATGGGATTTCGGACAGATCCAGGGACCCCACTGGGAACAGGAGCACCACTCATGGAGCTGATGGAGGAGGTACGAGAACGCTTCATAATGGACTCTTCATTGAGAGAGGAGTTCATTCCTCTCTTCATACTGCCAGGTCTGCAGAGGGGAGGAGACATAATCAGACAAAGTAACGATGAACCTCAATGTTTATTAGATGTAGAAGTAGACTGTTACAGAGGAAAGTGAACATTCACTTACTTTGGCACAAGCTGAGACAGAGCTCCATTTGCAAGAAGTGGCTCAAACGCTGACTGAGAACTTTCACTGCTGTCATGTCGCCTGAAAAAAGCAAGACAATTATTCAGTGAGATTGCGAAAACCCACAGCAAGCCTTCTGTTCTAAATTGTTCTTATTAGCATGGAAAGCTATAAAACTAACAGATTCAAAAAGGATAAGATCATGTGATGGAGAAAGTAAGGTGACTTTCGTTTGGTTGCTTGCTTTCCTTCACATACCTCCTTTTGCTCTTCTGCCCAGAGGAAGCACTCTTCTCCTCCTCATCAACCTCTCTCTTTCTGCTCTCTCGGAGCACGCTCAGAACAGCCTCTCTGGAGCAGGGGTCTGTCTGTGCTCCAATCCCTGGGGATGTGACAGCTCCAGGTGAGGTCAGGTGATTGAAGCTAGAAACAGAATGTAGCGTTCACATATTAGCAAAGCAAATCTCTCTTGATAATGCAAAAAGCACCCCAACTTAATCTTGCCGTAATCCCAAATTGGATTTCTTAATTAGACTACAAGCAGAAACAAAAGCATTTGTAATGCTAGTGCATTTAATCGACTCAAAATAATTTGAAGTGACTCACAATGATGATCGAGTGGGGTCTGGTCTGGCGATCTTCACTGTGACCGGACTGTGAACAGTAGGCGAATTGCGCTGGGTGAGAATATTCTTCTTATGGAATCCATCCCATTTTGCAGGTGGCATCACTCCAATGGGAGACGTCCCCATCTGCTGAAGGGGGTAATGTCTGTGGGGGGTGATGGCGAATCGACTCGCAGCGCCCACAGGGTCCCTGATGATAGCGAAACTTCAATTAGTTAGTTCTTCAAAAGATCTTTAACAAAAGCATAAAGTTCTATGTATATTAGGGCTGGGTGGTATATAAATTCTGTACAATATATCAATATTTTTTATTAATGATAGCAACAATGAGGCAATACCATTTATATAAATATACAGTAGTTTGATATGAGTGCATCTTAAAAATAGCGGACAACACAATAAGCTGCTGCGTGGAACGTGCATATTCCAATTAGTACTAAACATGCTTTATTTTAAGGGCTTTAAAATAACTTGCAAGATACAGATAACACCTATAATTTAAAGCGGTCTGCCCGGTCATATGCTCTGACAGATAGCTGAGATGTTTTAATGTGTTTGAGATGTAGTGTTTTCCCTCAGACAGTGCATAACTTACATTTCACAGATATATTCTCCATCTATAAATGTTATCAAGTCATGCAAATATTTCCATTTTGCTGTAATCTTAGGCAGAATGTTATGGACTGGCAGCAACAGTAACTATTTCTTATATATCCACATACACGTATATATTTGTGTGGGTGGGTATGCGTGCCTGGTGTATGTGTGTGTGTGTATATATATATATATATATATATATACACACAGACACACATTGTATGTATCAGGGGATCACAAAATGAGAAATTGTTATTCTTGTAATACTACTATGTTAATATTCAAGACTTGAGTAAAATACAAACACAAACATATACATTGGCTAAAAAAGTAATCCATTATGTTTCTAATTCCTAGTATTAGCAGTGTTAAGGAAATCAGCGATGCAAGTGCGTTTACGAAGCTGTCAAAATGCAGTTTCATATTATGTTGGAAGCTTTATGCAACCCTACACGTGTAGTGTCAGGCGTCCAAACTGGTGTAGGAGGAGCAGTGCGCCTGACCAGCTCCAGGAACTCCCACCATTTCAAATCATGGAGGGAAAACTGGCACAACGTACATGTTAGAACAACCGAGAAAGCTAAACGTGTACAAACATTAGGCTGATAGACGCTACATGTGAACTGCTAGCAGCTATAGTGTAAACAGAAGAATCTCTGATCAACCGTAAGACTGGAGCTTAAACAGAAAGAGCAGGTATAAACTAAAGTGCCTTCTGGCTGACAAGACAAAGCATTTAGTATTTAACGTTACCCGAATGACAGTCTTCTGTTAGGGGTGTGCACAGCATGATTTGGTCGGGCGAGTCTCTCCCGGAGGTGATCTCTGGGGTGGACGAAAGCCCCCGAGCCTCCAGCGGGCCTCAAGGCGGCGGAGGGGCTTTCTTCAGCCTTGGCGAGGTAACTTCCCATGAGTATATCCCGAGGGCTGAACACCGAGTCACTGAGCGTGTGGTCTCTTCTATAAAACGAGCCTGCAAAATGTCTATCGCTGGGTGACGCAAAGGAATTTCTAGCATCACTTTTACGTATCTTGTTTTTGCCTGCGGCCGGGACTCCGCTCAAAGTCCTACCCGGTAACCAGCGCAAAAGAGCCGGCGGGACGCTCAGTCCACGGCGAGGATTGAGGCCTAGTCTCTCGAAGAGCTGCAGCTCCTCCGCTTTGTGAAAATAAACAACACAAGACACGACACAGATAAAAAGTATGTACAAATAAGCTGGTATGTAGCTCAAAACGAGTAAAAGGAGGAATAAAGAGAAGACCACAGCGGAGAAAACGACTAGCCGCCGTTTATCTTCAGGAGACATGGCGGCACCGCGCCGCCGACGGAAGATATCCCATAATTCACCGCGTCCGCGCGCGTTGTTTACGTCTCGTGGATGTTCGTGACCAAGCGTGCCGTGCACATTAGATTGATTACAGAGTTTTGCCTCCCACTGTTGTATTTTAAAGCAACACTAGTCTTTCTGTTTATATTACACATTTATTGCACAAATACTACAGTAATAGTTGTATCTTATATAACTACTCACTGTATTATAGCTTGTTTTACCAACCATTTTTTACTATGAGAATTACAAAAGAACTTAAAGGGAAATGTATGCTCTAAAAATGTAACTCAATGCTAAATAATGCTTTTTTGAGTTGTTATTTAATATTAGTTTTAATAAAATTTTCACTTACCCAACAATTTTTTTATTAATTGTAAACTTTATTGGCATCGCTGTTACTTACAATATTAACAAATCAGTAATACACACAATATAATCAGTGAGAAAATAAAATGCCATTGATGCTAATTAAATAATTATATTAATATAAAATGCGATACACAATCAACAAGACGTTAATGAACATTACAAAATACGAATAGGCTATACAAGGACAACATTTGAATACGGTAAACAAAGTTTTCTGTTTTCTGAATATGTGTAGCTTAAATGATCTTCTTCTGAAATGTTAATAAAAGTATTTCAATGTAGCCTATTACTGTTTTACTTTTATTATGAAACGCATGGCATTGAAAGAGAAAGTGTGCCTGCATGCAGTCACATAGGCTACTGTTTCTTCCTTTATAATTCAGTGGCAACTAGATGGCGCAAACCGATCATACTTAGGGCTATCCTCAGTTTAATACACGCGTTGTTCTTGGAAGCGTGTACACACACACTGCACAAACTGTGTTGCCATCCTTCCCCACAACATAGGGGATAGGGAATCTACCTGAACCACACACACAAACACACTGGGTCTTTCTATTACTGCACCATAGGGTATAGCAACATTTACTTTTCCTCTTTTAGACCAGGGTTTTTTAAATTGGGGTCCAGGGACCCCTAAGGCAAACTGTAAAATAATAATAATAATAATTCAAATAAATAAATTAGATTAAAATAAATTAACATTATAACAATGCATTACTATAGTGAGTAGAAAAAATACATAATAATGTAACTTAACAGAAAATAATTAATGTACGATATTACTTTTTTAGTGCATAATTTGGCGGTCTGTGGCATCTAAAAGATTGAAAACCCCTGCTTTAAACAACGTCTAAATAATGTTTATCTTTAACAAGAGCACATATGAGATTATTAAACATCTCGTAGATGGTAATAACCCCAAAATGCTTTACAAAATAAGCTGCAAATGTGTTGGAAAATCCTGATTAGATTCTATCAGGCACAGCATGGAAAGTATGCACCTGGCAGTGCCTTTTTCAACTCGTGGGTAATGTCTGCACCGCAGGTGGCCTGTAGTTGATATCAGCTTAGCATTTGGTTAAGCAGGACAACCGTAACCCAGCTGCTCCATCATTTTAAAAGGGCAGGTGTGTTACCCAAAGCCTAAAATGCTCATTTCCATTCAGCATGCTTCAGCCGTTTTTTTTTTCTCGGATAGTGCGTGTGGCTGTTTGCCAGGGGGAGGGTCTGATTCTTTTGCTTTGAGCACTTTCATCATGAATGCATACACGCGCAGATTGGCCAGGCTACATCCAGGCACCCCCTCAATTCTCTTCATTGGCCTTATTCTCTTATGAGCTCAGTGCAGATGGCACAGACCTTCTGCTGGTCTAATGGTTTTAACCTGGCCAGGCTCAGATTAGTGGCCCAGCTTCAACCAGGAAGTGCAGAGGCCAATTACATCCTGTAAAACATTCCTCTTCTGCAAATCTGCTTTTTAGACAGTATAGGGCTCCCCACTTTAATCTCACTGTGAGGTGCTATTTAATCAAATCATCCTCTTGATCCTCCATTGTTTTTACTCGAATCAGACGAAGAGCTTTTCACTATTTTGAGGGGAAGTCAGTGAGAAGGAGCAAAGGAAACAGTCTTTTGGTTTTCTTGTGGCCAATTTCCTGCATCAGACCAGTTTTGGCTTTGTTACTAACATTAACCTTCCTCCCATTCCCCTCCCAAACCATCTGCCGCTGTGAGGGCAGCATAATTACCTCAAACAAGCCCCTTCCCCCAGACCACAGCCTCTGGGTTTCCTGATTAGATGTACCCCACCTCATATGACTCCCCGTTACCCTCTTTTCCTCAGACAAAGAAATACAAATAGCATATTTAGTGCTGAATTATAGATTTAAAGGGCCAGGAACACAAATATGTTGCCTGACTTTCTTGATATTTGTCACGTGATGTATTGCTTCATGCATATTCACTGATGGTTCTGTATGTAAACTGACCCCGAAAACAACGAAATCCCTTACATCAGAAGAAAATGATAAAATCAAAAGGTATCTGCAAGCAATTTCTTAGACTTTTCCCTCAAAACTAGTTTTCCCTCAAGTTCACACAAATAGCCCACAAGTGTATTTCATCACATTGAACATGTTACATTAAAGGGATAGTTCACCCCAAAATGATAATCATTTACTCACCCTCAAATTGTTCCAACCCTGTATGAGTTTGTTTGTTCTGTTGAACACAAAAGAAGATATTTTGAAGAATGTCAGTAACCAAACAGTTGTGGGGCACCATTGACTTTCATAGAATTTCTTTTCCTACTATGGAAGTCAATGGTTACCAACATTCTTCAAAATATGTTTCTGTGTTCAGCAGAAGAAAGAAACTCATACAGGTTTGGATCAACTTGAGGGTGAGTAAATGATGACAGAATTTTCATTTCTGGCTGATCTATCCTATTAAGGTTTAATTACCCTTTTGATATTTGTTAGATATAACGTTTCATATCCTCTTTTTAAATGTATTGCTTGAAACATGCTATCTTTCATTAAAATAAATGACCAAACAAGTGCCAAAAAATGTTATGTTGGGCCACTGCATGTATCCCAACTAATAAAACATGCCAACTGGCACTAAAAGGATCTCAGACAAGTTTGGATTCTGTACACTCATCCCATGGTGACAAACAAATGATAAACATGTATGAAATGGTCTAAACTGTATAAAAGAGAGTGTCTCGGTTATGCTAATCACAATTTTGACTAAATGTTGAGATAAATGGAACTATAAAACTTAATATTTCTTGTCTAACAGTTCTTTTTGTTAGTTCCACAAATAGTCAAGCAGATTCACTCATGATCTCTTTATCTTGGCTTGAAAGGCTTGATAATATTGCAGCAGGCAGCATTGAGCTGTGTTTGTACACAGTTTAGAAGTAATCCATGTCCAAGAAATCACACAGATGCACACATTGGTTGTCTGAAACCAGTGCAGAGATTACAGCATCCCTAATCCAAAGACTCTTATTGGGAACATTTTCTCATATGCATCAGAGTTAAAAGAGTGTTGGAGATATGATTTGGCATCTAAAATGCATGACTGTATGATTTGGATGTATAATTTTTTTTAGTGCAACTTCATGTGACAATGTCATTTAATATCAGGGTATTGCTTTATATTGGCTTTGGTGCGTCTGTCGATGTGGTTTGCTTTGGGTTATATGTATATTTGCATCCCATCTCTCTCTATCTCAGAGACACTCACTCACTCTGTCTGGGATGGATATCACATTTATTTTTAGACATAGTGGGTTTGGCCAGCAAGAAGCTTATACATCATGTGGCTGAGGCAGGCAGCTTTCGGGAGAGAGAGGGAGAGACAGAAAGAAAGAGACCTCTACCCTATCCCAAAGTTAGATACTGCTTTAAATGTACCATTCATACAATAAACCATAAAAAAACAGTGATAATAAAATTGTAAAGTATTTATTTTTCATGGTAGTATTTGTTTTACCGCCTTTTAATTACTCACCTTTTAACTACTTGTTCAATTTACAAAAAAATTACACAAAAAATATAAAATGTCTGAATGCAATACAGTATTTGGAATCAGAATATACAGTATATACATATAATAAGTTATATACATTATATATTACAAGTCAAATTATATATATATATACATACACACACACACACACACACACACACACACACACACGTACATATATATATACACATGTATTCAATTTATGTATTTTGATTTAATTGATTTTGGTGCAAATTGTGACCTGGAACATATTCTTAACAGATTGAATGAGATTCACCCTATAACAAATGGATTGTTTAATGAATTATCTAACATCAGTTGAAAGTTATATATGTAAATTCATGACAATACTATGTTTTTGTCATGTAATGTTGAAAGAATTATACTGAATGTTTGGAAAGAAACCCTTGTATGCTTTGTAGATATCCATCTTCTTTAATAGAAAGCAGTCTCTATCATTAATGTGAAGCTGTTAAGTGCTGTAATAGATGTTACAGGGTGTTTATTTCCATCAGGAGCCTGAACAAAACAATGGATTCATGGTTTTAGTGTTGCCTGGGGGGGGGAAACAATATTTGTCACTCACATGGCTGCTCCTTGTATCATGGTTATGAGAGCCTGCCCACCATCTGCTGCTGTAAACAATGTTTCCTGGCTCTGCCACCCCCAACACTCCCTGCTCTCTCTCTCACACACACACTGCATGCAGAGAAAGTGTACAAGGTTCAGCATATACAGGCCTTAGGGAACATTTGAACTCTCCTCTCAAAATACATATCCTTAATATTTGCAGCAACCCATGATTTACATAAGGCAGAAGTTTAAAAATAAGAATGACAGATAGCAGTGTTCTTTGTTGAAATGCACACCACAGTTCAAAAGTTCGATTTGATAAAATAATTGAATACTGTTATTCAGCAAGGTTGCATTAAATTGATCAAAAGTGACAATAAAGACTTTTATAGTGATACAAAAGATTTCTATTTCAAATAAATCCTGTTCTTTTTGTACCTTCTATTCATAGAAACAAAATGTGTTATGGTTTCCACAAAAATATTAAGCAGCACAATGATAATAATAAGAAATTAATCTGCATATTAGAATTATTTCTGAAGGATCATGTGACAATGAAGACTGGAGAAAAGATGCTGAAAATTCAGCTTTGCCATCACAGGAATAAATTACATTTCAAAATGTATTCAAATAGAAAGGTTATTTTAAATTGTAATAATATTTCCCAATACTGCATTTTTGATCAAATAAATCCAGCCTTGGTGAAAATAAGAGACTTCTTCTGAGTGGTAAATAATACACTCTTTAATGAAGACCAATGGCAAAAGGACATTCGTAAAATGAGAGCTTTATTGATATCAGATTAAAATACTGATTCCAAATTGATCTCACACATACTTTTCTCCTTGAAAAAAAGAATCTGAAATTATATATATATATAAAAAAGTTGGAATTGGTGGAGTGGTCCCACAGAACGATGAATACACAGATGTAAGATTGAGTGCTAAAATAATACATGATGACTGATCATAAATACACACTCAATAAAATAAGACATTATACGTTAACTTCCACAACACCTAAATCATTGAAAATCGACTTGTTCTGCACAAGACAATACAACTGAACCAAACGACACACAACGATGTGACTAAAACAGGAAATCAAACTCAGTTTGGTCAGCGTATAGTTGATGAAAGAGTCTTTGGTTGCGCCAAGGCTTTTTATTGACGAGCCCCTGCTGGATTACCTCGTTCGATGGCCACATTTACAAGCCGTCGATCTCGTTCTTCCGCAAAACACGGGGTGAGAAAGTCTGGTTTACCACATGATTTGTGGTTTGATGGCGGGAACTAATGAGACCGAATGGGACATCACAGGCTGTAAGAACGCCTCAGTTCCCCTTTCAGAGCTGCTTTTCTCAGCTGCAGCTGGGGCTAAAGACTTGGCTCTAGCTAATGTACGCGACCTGTGCCCTATAAATGGCATACGAATGCCTCATTTACTCCATAACCACATTCAAAAGGAGACAGATGACAATCTGGAGAGGAAGTGTACGTACAAGCCTCTATCAAACGCTATACGAAGTCAAAGACCACTGTGGTTGCTACGGTTTACCATACGCGTAACGTCCCTAAAACCACGTCAAAATCAATAAATATACGTATAAATAAACAACATGCAAATGATAAAGACAAAACTGGAAGAAATAAAGACACATAAGGGAAACAAATGGATGACGCTTCCGTTTTAGTATGTTTTTGCCTCGTTTAAAACACGAATGAGTAAAAAGGTGCCGTGCTAAATGGGTTCGTCTTTCACCCTTCTTTTACCATGGATCCAGCCATTAGTTAAACCTGAGCGTGGGAAAAATTTGACCTCGGCCAACCCAGAGGAAAGCAAATGTCGATTTGTGCCTCAATTTGCACTCCCTTGAATAGAATAGGAAAATACTCACATAATATAAACACTTGGTGTCGAGCTGGCACACATTCGTCCAGTCAAACGCGTATATATATATATATATATATACACACGGGATGGGGGTAGCGCTGCTGCTGCTATGAACCTTGCACCCTCAAGGTTTAGAGGTGTGTGTCAGGTAGATAGATTTCCAGGGAGGAAGTTACAGCCAGATAATGAAACTAATTATTCATATGCTGCATGTCTCTTTCCAGCGTTATGGGCCATGAGGAGGGGGAGCTCAGGGTCTTCAGTCCCACCCGTTGTCCTTGATCATATGGGCCAGCTCGATGATGAATTTGCCCTCCTTGTACTTCTGACTACTTTCGAAGGCATGCTCCTAATGGAAAGAAGGGAGAGAGAAAAACAGAAACGGTCAAGAGAACAAGCGTGTGGTCACCTCAAAAGTCAAGATCTGTTGATCTAAAAATAATGGACAGCTGCTGGGGAGCTTTTCTGGATATGTCAATCAAATATAACACCTTTAAGTAGCAGTATTAGAAGAGATGTTTCACTATATATGTGCTGTAAAACAAGTGCCAACTTCTAAATCTATTCCGATATGCTTATTCTTTAAATTGAAATGTCAATCATGTTAATGAATTCATTTGAAAATAGCCATGTCTTGAACACCTCTTTTATAATGAATTAACATTTATTTTAATATACGTGTTCAAAAACTCATTAAAAGGCTGAACAGGCAGAATCTGAATGAATGAATAAAGCATTTATATAGTGTTTTACTATGTACTACTCTACACCCCAGGCACTTGGCAGAAAAAGAAAAAAAAATTGTTATGAAAGTTTACTTAAAGTGTAAGGAAGTCGGTAAGATTTTATTTGAATGTTTTTGACAGAAGTCTCTTATGCTCACCAAGTCTGCATTTATTTGATCAAAAATAGAGTAAAAACGGCTATATTGAGAAATGTATTACAATCTACAACCGTTTTATGTTTTAATATATTTTAAAATGTAATTTATTCCTGTGATGGCAAAGCTGAATTTTCAGAATCATTATTTCAGTCTTCAAGTCTACAAATGTTGAAAACGGCTGTGCTGCTAATATTTTTGTGGAAACTGTAATACATTTTCCCCCAAGATTATTTGATGAATAGAATCTTCAAAAGAACAGCATTTATTTGAAATAGAAATCTTTATAAACTTCTTTACTGTCACTGAATATAAAGTATTAATTTCTATATTATTGAATGTCTTACTGACCCCCAACTTTTGAACATTAGTTAAAACCTAAACCTGACATTAAATAGAATTTTTTTTTTTAAAGACAAAAAGTGTTTCACTGTTTGGCCATCTGCTAGGCTGACAAGACAATAAAATTCAAAGCCAATATATTTAAATAATACTGTTTTGTCTTGGAAAGCACAATGTACTCAAAGCTTTTCAGGAGTAGATTAGTGACGTGGGAAGCAGGCCATGAGGTTGTGGAAAAGCCACTTAAAGTATCTATCTCTCAATGAGTTGTGTCCGAGCCTCTAGCATGAGTTCACACGTGACATAAGATGAGATATCTAAACTTGTAAGTGTGCATGTCCGGTGTTGAACGATCATGAGTGTTTGTCTGAGGTGTGATCCCGAACTCACGTATTTCCAGCCCAGAGTGGTTTTACAGTTCTCACAGTAGATGTCGGCCACCGCATGGAGACCGGTCAGCAGTACCCTCTCCTCCGCTGGGCCACAGCCCACATTCACCCTGATCCATGAAAAGAAGATGTCAAGATTACAACAAAAATCATGAACATTCTGAAATGATATTTTGCTTGTTGCTTTACCACTTTGTATTGCTTGGTTAGGACAAACTACAAGACTTACACTGAGTTGAAGAGGTATGCCCTGCCTTGACTCCCTTGAAACGACTGCAAAGGAAATAAAACGGACAGAAAGATTATTGAATTGTCTGGCATATGTGTTACAAAAGTAATTTAACATCATTTACTTGTACTGTGACAGCCCAATCAGGTAATCTTTTGAAAAAATCAAATTCCCTTCGCTGCCCCATTCATGAGGATAGGATTTCCCAGGCATGATGTAAAGCAGAGCCAGGCTCATAATTATGGGTGTTTGGAAGCGGTTTGGCCATATGGGCATGGATCAAAAGATCATTAGGGCGGTTTCATTTTGGCTGTACTATACTGAACAGAATAGCAATGAAGGCTTTCTTTATCTACCTTAAGCCTAAATAACCTACCTGACTGAAACCATGGCAACAATAGGTAAACACTTGAAACATAATACATTAAACACATGAACATAATCATAAACTCTTTTAGAGTATGTTGGACTCATTTTCTGTGAATCAGTTTAAACTGGCTGATCCAATACATCAAAATTAATTAAATTCAGATTCAACAATTCAGATTCAATGATTCAACAGAATTACATGATGGTTCCTTAATTGTTAAAAACATGTTCAAACACATTTTCAGTGTTTTCAGTTTTAGAGTAACCTATTTAAAGTATTTAACCTTTAAAAAAAATTTTTATATAAGATGTATACATATAAACACAAGTATATTTTAAGTGTAAGGAAAATATTTCATAAATATATTATATAATGAAAACTAACATTTAAAGGTTTGGAGTCTGTAAGTCTCTTAAACTCACCAAGGCTGCATTTATTTTTATGTTAAAATGTTAAAATATTTTGAAATATTATTACAATCTAAAATTGTATATACAGTATTTTAAAATGTAATATATTCCTATGATGGCAAAGCTGAATTTTCAGCATCATTACTGTCACATGATCCTTCAAAAATCCTTCTAATAGGCTTATTTAGTGCTCAAGAAACATTTCTTAATTATCATCAATGTTGAAAACAGTTGCACCGTTTAATATTTTTGTGAAAACTGCCTGTTTTTTAATTTAATCGATTCAAAATGATGCATTATTATTATTCTGTAATGACTTCTTGCATGAAACATGACTGTTGGATTGAAATTATAGTGGTAGTGTTTTCAGTGTTATTTTTGAGTAAATTACCTTATTTTGTATTTAAGAGCTGTCAAAGTAACACATTAATTAATAACATTGAAATATGTATTCAGATATATTGATTACATGGCATTTTCAAATTGTACATTTTAGCAATTGTGTAAATTTTATTAAAATGAACGCTATCCAAATGCTGTATTACGTTTTCTGTGGTTCTACCTTATGGTTAAAGCAAAACATTAGCCTCCTAATGTACAAAACTCTATTAACCTACTTCAAGCTACTACATTTATTATGTCGTTCCATTCCGACATGTATTTAGTATAGAGGGATTCAAACTAATTGAAATCGAATTATCATTTCACCCTCAACTCCGCCTTCAGAACCGCCTGTAGCGCTCTCACTTCACTTGAAACACAAGTAAGCCTTGTCAGACCGGATAACACTGGGTTTATTTTGCAAACTCAGTATGTGAACAACTAATGAATGTAGCAAAAACAATCTTTTCTAATCTGTACAATCTGTAAACACACACACGGTCTATCAGACAGCCAAAACCCTGGGCGCAGAATGTAGTGCTGCATTATGGGTATATGTAGGTATTCATCTACTACAAAGACATGATTACTCTTACTCTTGTGGCACACAAAAGCCCAAACGATGACCTGCTTCCCTTTATCCTTGATTTTGTGACATGTACGTCAGGCAGCCGAGTGCCTTATCGACCCACATTCTGCCTGCACACACACTCCATGCGCAGACAAAAGGCAAACTCGCACGCACAATGTTCACATTATGAATTACAGGTGCTATTAATAATCCTTGACACCTTTAGTCTCCACCCACATACATTAATGACACACACCTCACAAACAGGCCCCATATGGTGTTTTAAAAGTGTGCACATGTGGTACAATGAATTTATAACAATGTAGCTAACTAATGTTAACAAATAAAACCTTATTGTAAAGTGTTACCAAAAATATTTACCCACCCGCTCAAAAGTTTGTGGTTAATAATATTTTTAAAATGCTTTTGAAATAACAAAATGCTCATCAAGGCTACATTTATTTGATCAAAAATACAATAAAAATAGTAATATTGTGAAATATTATTACAATTGAAAATCAATTTTCTATTTTAAAATGTAATTTATTCCTGGGATGGAAAGTTTAAGTTTCAGCATCATTACTTCAGTCTTCAGTGTCACATGATCCTTCAGAAATCATTCTAATATGCTGATTTGGTGCTCAAAAAACATTTCTTATTATTATCAATGTTGAAAACAGTAGTGCTGCCTAATATTTTTGTGTGAAAACTGTGATACATTTTTTCAGGTTTCTTTGATGAATAGAAAATTCAAAAGAAAATCATTGATTTGAGATGAAATATTTTGAAACAATGTCCTTACCATTACTTTTGATCAATTTAATGCATCCTTGCTGAACAAAATCATTAATTTCTCTAAGAAAAAAATCTTACTGACCCCAAACTTTGATGTATACAAATATATAAAGATTATAATACACTGTTTTTAAGCTCACATTACACAAATACATACAGATACATTTATATCTGTATTTTAATGCAAAAACAAATGGTCAGGCATTAGTACACAGCATTGACAATATACAAATGAGCTTTTGCATTTTTGTTATTCCATGGTATATGTTAAACATTGTCTTCGATCATGTGCAACTAATTTAAACATCCCAAAAACATGTTGTAGTGATTCATGAGCCTTTAACAGGAAGTCAAGCAGGATGTCTAAAATTGAAACACTGAATTAATTGTAACTGTCCTGATCTGATGTTACGTCGTACAGGTATGATTAAGATACATGCTAAAAGAGGCATTGCTGACTACCTTTGAGATGAGCTCATCGTGATTGGCCAGGTGCGCTCGGCAGTGAATGCAGCTGTAGGTGCGATGGCAGTTGGGCAGGTAGGCCTGAAAGGTTTTGGAGCGCGTCATGGTGACCGTGGCGGGGGAGACGGCACGGGGGCGGAGCAGGAAGGGCCGGGCAGTCCAGGACGACTCACTGGAGAAACAGTGGAGCACACAGGTGAGGGCCGTGGTGAAGCTTCAGGAGAGAGGAGAGCACACCTGTGAGGAACACACACACTTGTGAATATTATTACAATCTAAAATTCTATATATTTTAAAACGTAATTTATTCCAGTGATGGCAAAGCTGAAATTTCAGCAGCCATTACTCCAGTCTTCAGTGTCACATGATCCTTCAGAAATCATTCTAATATGCTCATTTGGTGCTCAAGAGTTATTTTTTTTCCTCAATGTTGAAAACAGTTGTGCTGCTTAGTATTTTTGTGGAAAATTCAAAAGTTAGGGGTAAGTAAGATTTAAATTAAAAAAAGAAAAGAAAATTTTATTCAGCAAAGACATTAAAATGACAGTAAAGAAATTCATAATGTTGCAATATATATATATATATATATTAAATAAATGCTCTTCTTTAGAATTTTCTATTCATCAAAGAATTTTTTTTATCATGATTTCCACAAAAAAAACCATTAAGCAGCACTGTTTCAACCTTGTTAATAGATAACCATGATTAATAATTAATGATAATTGAGCACCAAATTATTATATTAGATAGATTTCTGAAGGATCATGTGACACTGAAGACTGGAGTAATGATGGTGAAAAATATATAACTTTGCCATTACAAGAATAATTTACATTTTAAAATACATTAAAATAGTTTTTTTTTTTTAATTGTAATAATATTTCACAATATTTCTGTTTTACTGTATTTTTAATCAAATAAATGCAGCCTTGGTGAGCGGAGACTTCTTTCAAAAACATCAAAAATCGTACTTATTCCAAACTTTTGACCAGTAGTGTAGGTTCAGAAATCATCATATTTATGTCATTACTACCATAAGCATATTGACATGAACATTTACATATCAAAGCATAACATCTCACTTATTTAAGATGCAATGGCAAAAACAGCTATTTGTAAGTACCAATAAGAGGAAGGAAAATAGTTATGAAATAAACATTAGGACTGATTTTGGATAAAACCAAATGTTACAAAAACAGTAGTCCCTTTAAGAAAATGCTGTAAATAAATAATGAATAAATATTAAATGACATTCTACGGTGTATATTCACACATTTTAGGTGTCAAATGATGCAGATTGATGTCCAAAACTGAGTGTACGTCAGCAAGAGACACAGACAGTGAATGCAGCAGACGTCATTCACAGGACCGTGGTGCAAATACGCATGAATCAGAGTATCTGTGAGCTGTTGTCTGACAGCTAACTGTGATTGTGGTCCCGCGTTCATCCTGCCCTCGGGTTAGAAGGGGGCTGAGCTGTATCAGAGGCGGCTTTTTAATGCAGAGAGCTGGAGACCTGCCAATGACGTGGACTCAAACACACAGAGACAGACAGATTTCAATGCTCATCTCTGTTCAACTGTTTATTCCCTAATAAAATGTGCTTAGTTTAAATATAACAAATCCATATATTATAACCAGGGCTTGACATTAACTTTTTTGCTCACCAACCACTGTGGCTATGGTTTTCCAAAGTTACTAGCCACTCTGCATTTTCACTGGCCACAATTATGACATTGATTCCATAGGAAAAATCTGCCATATACTGTGCATATTTTAACAGTAGGTATATTAGGCTGCTGTCACTTTAAAACCTGACGCACGGATCCATTATACTGATACACGTGTTTTATTTCTCATCTGTTTACGTTCATTTAAAACATAATTGACTGTTTTTACAAGAATACACGCCATGGGCGGCATTTTGACATTATTTTGTGTGTATTTGACTGTTTAAGAGCAATAAGCAGCGAAAAAGAACTCAATTTAGTACTGAGAGGCGGCTTTATGTGCGCACACTTTGGATGGGAGCACAAAATCTGCGGGAAGGAGTAAAATTATGCACAATTCCACGCCGAAATTCAAGCCCTGTAGCACCAACAATATTCATCCAGAGAAAATGAAACGAGTGAGAGAGAGAAAGACCAGCTGGTATCGTGTATCTATTCTGCGGAAAATGAGTATTGGAAGCATTTCCGATATTTCAGTATTGATATGTATCGAAAATCTAAATTTTTCACCACTACATTGCACTTAGTTTATTATTTCAGATGCCTTTTTAAAAGACTCCAGATGAAAAATGTATATTGTATACAATTCAAAAGGTGTTTTTGTCAAGCTCTGATTAAGACGAAATGTTGCTTGGGAGGTAAAAAGGAGTAGTTGATGCACTATATTCCAAGCCATATGATCAATTTCTGTGAAAATGAGACCAAAATTAAAATTTTATTCAATTGTCCCTACATCGTCGCTCTCAAATGTCCTTTGTTGTCCTTTTTGGAGCTTGACAGCCTCTGGGTCACTATTTCCTTTCAGTGTATGGAAAAGAGCAGCGTGAACATCGTTCTAAACATCTCCTTTTCAGTCATACAGGTTTGGGATGACATGAGGGTGAGTTAATGATGACAATTGTCATTTTTGGTTCAAATAATAACTCTTCAGGGTACACAAATGTGATGTGATTTCCTAAATCCAATGAATAAGTTTGAAATCTTGACTTATTTTGTGCCCTCCTTTACGTCATTGTGGCAGGTTGGCAGCTTTTCACCTGTTGAGGCAGCAGCTTTGGACGAGATTTAAGGCAGAACTAATTACTAAAAGAATCTGCAGGCATCTCATTTAATTACCCAGAAGCGCGGACAGCTATTCGCGAGATCGAAAAAGGCCCTTGTGAGTGACATCATCAGATATTCTAATTCCAACTACATCTCAGCAAACCGACGTAATTATCACATAAACAAAAGCATTTGTTGGCTGTTGTGACTCAGGAAAGTCAGCAAAAAACCCTGCTGAGGTCATAAAGCATATATTTAGAAAAGGACAAATGTTTAAATGTCTTTTACAATGTCAATACTAATGAAAACACTTAACAATAAGGTTTCACTTGTTAACATTGACCACATAGTTAACATGAACTAATGACAAACTAATTCTACAACATTTATTAATCTTAGTTGATGTTAACTAACGCATTAACTAAAGTTAACAAATGAGACCTTATTGTAAAGTGTTACCATACAAATAAAGCCAAGTGGCTGAGCTCACTCAAGGAATAAATTCTTTTTTTAGACACCACATGAACTCAATGACTCTGTGGCAAATTAAATTAGACAACTCCACAAAAAAAGGGCTGCAAATAAGGTTTCCTGGGAAGCTATTTGCAATTCTGTGATTATATTTGCTTTGGCACAGACGCGATCAAACAGGCCTTATAAAAGTACAGCCAGAGAGTATTCTAGACAGCAGCATGAGACTTGAAATCTGACTCTCCTTGGCATAATTAAGCACCATTGTGTTTGCTCTGCCATTAGGAACTCTGTATAATTTGACCAAATGATACAGCAGCATCATTTTCGACATAATTTCCTCATGCGACTTCTAACACGATTACATAGGATCCACAAAGGATGGACGCGGTGCGGGTATAAGGCTAATTGGAGGTAAAACGATTAAGAGGTAAATTTATGGGAGATGCAGGGGCTGGAATTCATTCAGATCTCGACAGATCAGATGAAGATAAACGCCTGTCGCCAATATAATTACTGAGGTCATACTCACAGAAATGGTGCCCACTCTGTCTCTGTCTACTTTATCTGTTTACCATTCCGAATTAGTCTGGAGCAGACCAACCAAACACATATAATGAACAGATCTCATTCATCAAGTGTCCAAACATGGCTGATCTTTCTTCTACTTCTGACTACACACTCAACAAACAAATCTAATAAAGACTGCGGTTACAAATTCAAGACTGCAGTTATTGCTTGAATATGAGGGGAAATGCATCTGCCATAGTGATACACTAAAAATAAAGGTTCCAAAGGAGGGGTTTTGTATAGCGATGCAATAAAAGAACCATTTTGGATTCCCCATTAAACCTTTCAGTGAACAGTTCTTAAAAGAACATTTTAATAATCTAAAGGAACCTTTTGTGCAATGGAAAGGTTTCATGGATGTTTAATGTTCTTCATTGAACCACCAATGCCAATAAAGAGCCTTTATTTTTTACGTGTATGGTGGTTAGACCCCAAACAAACTATCAAAAATAGATAATCCTTGAGATAATGGTGTTTTTTTGTTGTCTCTTGTTTATTCATGCATACAAAAAAAAAATCTAACTGATTTCCCCCAATAACTTGGGTTGTTTTCAATTGCATAATATTATTAAATCAATATCATCTCCATCCCGACGTATTATACTAACACAAATCAAACAAATCCCTGTTTTTAATAAAAATGTCTGTTATGTAACAATAACACGTGGTGGAGCAGGTACATCAGCACAAAAATCTTCTGTTAATAAATGGCTGTTTGTTTCCTTGTTTAAACTAGAACATCATAAAACGTCTTGTGCATTTCAGGCAGTAAGAGGACATCTAAACAGACAACAAGGACCCCCGGACAGGTGGCGAATCCCCCCCTCCCCAATCTTTCACATAATACACAGCAGGCTGCTCCCACAATAGCACCTTTTTTTGCTGTCCTTTGAAATCTGTCAGCACAAATATAAAAGCCCCTGCTGCGTACACACATATGCTGTGATATTTAGCTCTGATTAAATTGTCGTTTATACATCTGATGGATTAACACTTTATTTTACAGTTTCCCTGTTAAAGTAATTACAATAATACACATACAAGCGGCTCTTCAAAATGATTTAATCCGTACTGCTTAGTAAATGCACACTCAATTATGCAAACACAGATAAAGAGAGACCTAACGTAAAATAAATGTTTCAAATGGTACTTTTTAATATGCAAGCTGCATTTGAGAGCCAAATACAGAGAAAATACAAATTACCTCTAAATTAATACATTTTATATTTAATAACATACCGGCTTTCTAAAGGCCGGTAATGCGAATTCATCCTCAAGTATAACGGCACCTATGCAAACCTCTCAAGCTCATGATCATATGCTAACAGCACGGACCTACAAGAATACCCATGAATGTGCAATGCTAGCATCAACACTGAAAGGAACAGTGTTGGTAACAGAGAGGGTCAGGTGGAGAGACGGAGTGATGGATCCAGGTCAGATGAGTGTGTATGTGGGTGTCAGTGAGCCAGCTTCTATGTAGGCCATAGTAGATGCCACCAGTCTGACGGTGCAGATGGCAGCACCAGCTCAGCACCTCTGGCAATCACTTCCTTGAAAACACCCAAAGCTAAACCAATTCAGAAAAGCCAGCTTTAAAATGACAACAAGCCTGAGTGTCACTTATGTTGTGGTAACAAAACAGTGCACAATAGTGATCTAACCATCTAAGAACAATTGCTTATGTATAAAAATAGTAGGTAACATCATGAGTGTATTTAAGTACACAATAACATTGATTAACATGAACCTAATATGCAATGATCTTGTGGAGCTGCTTGCAATGCTGTTGTAATTAAATAGTTTAATATGCAATATGTGTAGCATGAACACTTACTATTTTATAAGACCATTTTCATGCTTTTTTACATGCAAACCGCATATATTTGCAAATTAAAATGTGAATTTAGAATAAAAAGTAAAATATGAATGTACTTATTTTAAATAAGCATTGTTAAATTCATAAAATATCCTTATAAAATGCAAGCCGTGTTCATGGTGAAAGACACATGTAAACAGTTATTTTTCCTCATACTTTTGTTGGTAGTGTGGCATTAGTGCTATACTAATTATGTAATAGTCTAGATACAATGCACACTTTTGGAACACAGATGCTAGCTATAATTATTGACATTTTAACTATGCAATGATGCATTGATGTACTGTATATATTATGTCTTAAATCCAGAAGTTATTATTGTCACTACAAGTTTCACTCCAAACCGAATCAATAAGTTCACAGAATTTAAAAGGTTAAATTGTAGTGAGCTGTCACGATAACAAATAACGCACATTCCATTTTTAAAAGTCTAACTTCCTATAAAGAAGCCACTATTAAAAGCATTATGATTGTACAGATATTACCTTTGAATGGAAAAGACGCGCAGGTCGAACTCTCTCCCTCTTTAAAACGGCACCTTCATGCAAAACAGGCGATCATTCTCCACAACACAAAGTTTGCAGGTATCTTCATCAGCCACGCACCTCGATAGCAGCACTCTGTAAATACAGCACCGTTGCGCATCGGGCCTCGCATTACAAGCTCCCAGTTTGATTGACAGCCAGGCCAGCCAATAAATTACACAAAGCGGCCTAGCAACAATACTCTGATTGGCCAACCTAAAAAGTGTACGGACCAATGACCAAGCGCAGAGAATATGCGGGCGAAAAACCAAAACATTCCTTATCTTTGTGATGTGTCAGTGGTAAGCATGATAAGTAATAAATAACTAAAAGCGAAAGTAAGTCTTGATAAACTTTAAACTCAGAATATAAAGTATTTTTAAGATATTACAATTGTCAGTCTGTATATTATTCTCACGTGAGAATGTCAAAGATGTACCAAGTCAGTTGGCAGATCATAACTAAATAGCGCCTCTCTGTGTCGTGTTTTTACCTTTACGCTCTAATAATTCATATAAAATTGACGCTTTTGCACCAATAGATTCATATCGCAAAATCCTTACTTAGGAATAAGTGTTTAAGCTTTTAATGAAATCTTATTTTACTCAGGTAAAAAAATATTTATGGAATAAACCTCAAAAAGTTGCAGAAAAAGCAAAAGTTGCAGAAAATCCAGTGGACACTTTTTTGCATACACATTTAAAACTTTAGTAATTTCAGTTTCAAAAAATCGTATTGTAGTTTTGCAATGACATTGTTCACCTTCTGTTTTTTTCTCACTGCATTTTTTTATTTACTGTAAACACAAAATTCCTTAATTTGATTGCTTGTATTTACAGCCACGATTGTTTGTACAATTGTGTAAAAAAAAAAAAGAACTGCCACAAGAAAATGCAAAGAAGCATGGTGAAAACAAAATGCTTAATATCAAGAGAAAATCTTGTCCTCGTCATATGGATGTCTCAATGGTGCTTTTAAGTGCAGAATCTGTGTTTTTTGTTACTGTGGTGTTGAACTAGTAGTGTTGGCACGCAGAACACCTCTCAGCACCCTGAAGTTTGCCAGCGGCTGGTTCTCCTTCGGAGGGTAGCATGGTCCACGATCTGTCACGTAGGCATAAGGGAAGCGTAGAACCCAGAGTCCATCAGGTGGCAGCACCACCTCAGGTTGCTCCGGATGGAAGATAGGACAGGGAGGGGGACCTGGCTGGACCTAGGAGAGAAGAGAAGTACAAAATAATATACTTTAATGGAGAAAATGTGGATATTATGGGTGATATTCATTAATAATTTGAGATTCAATTCATTGGCTATGCACTTTAACATATTGTACCTGTGGGTTTAGGACAATCTCAAGAGGAGCATCAGGAATGACGACAAAAAGACGAGCCAGCTGAGCGTAGTGTGGCTTTATCCCTCGTCCTTGAGCTGGAGAGGGAATGTATAAAGGCATGTCAGAATTTAAGCATCTGGTTGCAGGTTCCTTTGGTCCACCTTGCCCAAGCACTTTGACAACTTTATCAGGGCCAGAACTAAGGAAGCGGCGCCCTCTGCTGTCCTCATACTCGAAACCAACGAAAGCACGAGCTACATCATCCCGTCTGCGCCCTCGTCCAATTCCTCCAGCACTGCCTCGCTTTCCAGCGGATGCTTTATTTGGTGCTGGCCAGGAGGCTGGGCCTCCATCTAGAGGCTCAAGCGATCCCACATCTTCCTCTGATCGGCTTCGAATGACAACATCCCAGGGCAAGAGGAAAGCGGAGCCTGGGAGGAATCCAGGTTGCTCTAAACCGGTTAGACTGTTGTAGGCCTTAGCTGGACCGATTTTAACAAGAGACCAACTCGAGAACTTGGGCAACAGTCCTTTTGGGCATCCAGAATGAAGCATGCCAGGAAGATACTCCACAGTTGAGGGCTGTCTGTCCACCAAGCTTGGCCTCTTCTCTTGTCCTTCTGCTCCATCACCATATGTTCCAAGGCTGTCCATTGACTGGCCCAAGCTAAGAGCGAGACTTAGACCTGTGCTATCACCAGGTGTGTGAGTGCTAGTCTCTTTCTCCTTTAGACGATCAGTTTCGCCCGATGGAGGTACTTCTACAGGTCTGGGCACCTCTTCACTGACAGGAGCAGGGTCAGGTGTGCTGGCTTGGAACACAGGGAAATTGATCCTCTCCAACTTTCCACAACATTTCTCCTCAAGCATCTGAAAATGAATGACAGAAAGATGAAGAACAGATTTAAAACGTATGTAATGAATATTTATGGTAGAAAAAACGTGTAGTTACTGACTTGATAGAAGTCGTAGTTGGCAGCCTGGATGTCAAATGGATCTGCTTCTTACCACAGTTACAGGAACTTGTAGATCGACCCCTACTATTGTGGTATAGAATAGGTGGGTTGTGGTCCATTTCTGGCTTCTCTCCTGCAATGTGAAGAAAATAGAGGTTTAGAGATGGATATTCCATGATACGCTGTTGATTAACACTGAAAACAGTTTAGTAATCTGAAACTCACAGTTTAGTAGTCAAGTCACCTTAATTTATATAACGCTTTTAACAATATAAATAGTTTTAAAGCAGCTTTACAGTGATAATAGGAAATTAAAGTAACAGATTGTTTTGGCTTTACAGCAGCTGTAGAATAAAGTTATTGTCTAGCTAAAGTTAGTATTGATTGATTCACTTCCATCACATAGATGATTAGTTATTAACTTAGGGCCCGCTTACAAAACACTGTTTTAACTGAAAACAGAAAACCTTTAATGTGTTCTGGCCATTCATTTGCACGACAACAGATGTTACTACAAATGGAAGTAACATAACATATTGACAGTTATGCACTTGTTTTGCACAATGAAAATCTATGGAGTGTTACATCCCATATTGTTCCAATGACTTCCATTTGACATTGGATTTCTGTCAGTCAAAGCGTTTTCTGTTAGTTTTTACAAACTGTGTTAAGAGTCAAAACTATTTTCTGTGGTAATTGACAGCATTCAACAGATAATTCCATTCATGCCTTCAGCAGACGCTTTTATCCAAAGCGACTTATATTTCATTGAAGATATACATCGGTTCTTGCATTCCTTGGGAATCAAACCCACAACCTTGGCATCGCTAACGCCATTCTCTAGCCGAAGAAACAATGTTAAATTCAGAACACTATTTTAATATAAATTTAATATCAATAATCTCAAACTAACCGTATGAAATGAGCATCAGCATTCGTTGAGGTTTAACATGTGTTGAGAATTAAGTTCTCAACATTTATTTCAAGTTTAGTTCATTGATTTTTAACCAATGTAAATATAATGCAGATTTGTAAAGTAAAGTAAGAATAATCTCAATCAGAAAGAGAATGGTGCAAGCAGCAACACCAAGGTACTGGATTTGATTCACATGGAACAAATCAACAAAAACATATAGCTTGAATGCAATTCAAGCCGCTTTGGATACGTTGCTTCGTCTACCAAATGCAACTGTGATCTATTATATGTGTATCTTCACCTGGCTTTGGCAGCAGATGAAACTTGTGTACACAGTGCTGATCCGTAAGGCTGCGCTCCTCACAGAGCTGATGCCCGTTACTCCAGAACTTGTAGCAATCCTCATGGAGCTGTAAGGCGTACCTTTGAAAGGCGACTCCCCTTGCATGCTGGCTGTACACTCGCAGGGCATGTGCCAGTTGATTCTTGTGCACTGTGGTGGTGTAATTATGAGGAAGGTTTGACTGGTACGCACTGTGAGCCAGGGGCAATGCTTTCTGACACCTGTTTTCCGAAAACTTCGCATCTGCGTCAAGGAACCCCTCCAGCACTTTCAGCTGACCCTGCACCTTGAGGGAGATCTCGGCTGCGTCATCCTCACTGCTCTCTATCATGACCTGATAAAGTCTGTTCGCAACATGCACCCATTTGGAATAAGTGGGCAGCTCAAAGTGTGATGGCTGCGGATTGCGACCTACACTGTCATCAAAACCTTTCTTGGTCAATACGAGTTCAACATGCTGAAACAGGAACTCTTTTAAAGTGCAGTCCACTAACTGCCCTCCTGAGGAAAGACTGCTTTCCACATTGAAAGAGGGCTGTCTGTTAGAGTGCCTCATCTGTTGGTACCGCCTTTGCCCGGGCACAGGTGGACCACCTTCGTTCTCTCGCAGGACACAGTTGGACCTCAGGTGCCCCAGGAGAGAGCTGATAGGGTCCTCGTCTGGTCCTGGCACTACATATACAAAAGCCTGGTTGGCAGGAACTGTAAAGAGACAATTACTACTCTGGTTGGTCAGTACACGACTTTTCCTGAATATCCTGTATATCTGATCTTCCAGAGCATGCTGTAGCCGCCTTCTAGGGGAGTGTTTTTTGGGTTTATCTCCTCCAGACCCATCAGTCCCATTCCCACCCATAACAGAAGAGCTCACTCTGAGAGCTCCGTTCATCTGGAACACGAATAGCAGGCGTGGAGGGCACGGCCGGCAGTTTAACTTCCATTCCTTTGATATGGGCGAATCTTTAATCGCGGCGCGCAGCAGGGGAAGCGCTTTCTGACGTAGCGCGTCCAAAGCGCGAAACATCTTATCGTAAGTGACGTCGAACGAACACGTGGGATGAACAAGCAGAAGAACATGGCATAGCGAGAAGAGATACAGAAGCTGCAAACAGTGATCCTTCTCTGCCGTTTTCCAAAACTCATGCGCTTCTGCATGACCCAAACCCGCCGTCAGCGACTCGCACGCGCGAATAAGCTGGCGGTTGTCTAAAACAGATGTTAATACGAGATACAGCACGCGGTTCTCCTGATTATAATACGCCTGCATCGCTGTTCCTCCGCCCGGACTGTCAGTGTCGTCGCTCCCAAAGAGAGAGAAGATGTGTTTATCTGCTAAAGTGTTTATGAGAGAGTCTTTGACTGATCCAGGTTGCATTGCGCTTTTCCCAAATATGCCCAATACGCAAACGCCCTCATCTTTGTCGCTGGTGTCTTCTATTATTTCTGACTGTAACAGCGCTCCAATATTCATGGGCACCGCCATTTTCTTCGGACAGAAACAAGTGGGCGGGGCTTGTTGAACTGAGCGCAAAATAAGAGTCCGGGTGGATACATGAACCTGCAGGTAAATGTCCGTAGATTATAATTTTACAAATAGTGTTATTGTTAGCTAAACCTACACATTAAATCATTTGCGGTAATAAAATAAAACTTACTAACTGAAATAAGTTTAAATACTAAGATTACAAACTGAAATCAAACTAAATGCTGAATAGAAAAAATACACTTTTATATAACAAAAATATAAACAATATAAAAACTAAAAAAAGCAAGCACATAACAAAACTACTAAAACCTAAACTAAAATGAAAAAATGCTTTATAAAATATAAAGGCAAATCCAGCATTAGCAAATGATAGTATAAAAATGATACTAAAACACTGTTGCATAACCCTTCATCTATTCTACAGTGAATGCACTTGCTTGTAAATCAAAAAACATACACAATTTGTGTAGGTCCAGTATTTATTAAACGTTTTGTATTATTGCAATATTTTTTACATACAAAAAGTGGCTTGAGAAAAATATTGCAAAAGACCCTTAAAATAAAACATTAAGACATGGAAACATCACTTTGCTATAACACTCAAAGACCACCTGTAAACAAACAGTAAAACATAGAAATAAAACATCCAGAGTTGTACTTCAAGTTACCACAAATATAAGACATCAATGGCATATTGAATTTATGGATCAATAACTGACTTCTCACATCTGTACAAATTTCAACACAGTATGTAGTACTATATTTTACAGCTGAGTCAGTTCACACATTCCACAAATCATATTCAGTAACAGTGACATGGAGATGCATATTTAATTACTTAGTTCTACTAATTATATAATGAATAATATCTAAAAACGTGCTCATATTGATGTACATTAAATTCTCATACAGTGTGTATTTGCTGTTCTTTATGCTTGCGAGTATGTCTTAAAAAGGGTGTTATGATATAAAAGGATCAAGGAGCATTTCACATACAACAAGTATATAAAATAACAGTAGCGAGTAACATAAAATACTGTCCTGTCACTACAACAGTTGTTATAGTACCATGACAGTATGAGAACCGGTAGAAGCTATTATCACAGTTACAGTAAACATGTAAAAAAAAACACACACACACAACACAAGACAGTTACCAAAAGGCCATGCAAAACACAATGTGCAATAACACTAAAATGGTCCATTTCTTTCTTTAGAAAGGCTTGATTGGTGATAGTCCTTTTGTTAAAGCACGCTGTAAAGTTATACACAGAATAAAATAAGATTTTTCAGATAATTAATTGTTTATATTGTTAAATAAAATTATCTTCTGGTTTCATTTTATCAAGAGACTCAGAGGGTAACCTTAAAAGAATAATAGTAAAATTAAATTAAAAAAATTAAGTACTGATACTTTGATTCATTTCATGATATAGCCATTACATACCAGGTGCTTGTTTCCTAACCCTTTGGCCATCTTTGGATCCAGGCTTAAATCCGTCACATCATTCTCTTTGTTACACAGCGGTGTGCCACCAGGACTCCTGAGAATATACCATGTGACAAGCATTAAGCTAGATGTGATTGTCTTCAGTTTTAGGCATTTCTTTGCTCCAATTCAAACAATATAGCCTGGTTTCACAGACAGGGCTTAGATTAAGCCAGGATTAGGTTTTTGTTCAATTCGGACATTTAAGTAGCTTTTATAAACATTCCTTAGAAAAATTGCTTAAATAGCAGAGTATTTAAGTGTTATTGGTTCCGCCCGGACATGGCATTCGCTGGGAGTTGCCCGGGGAAGGAAGAAACGTTAATGTCTTTTAATTGATTACTTTAGTTGTATATTTATGGTATTGACTACATTTTGCTTTCCTTATCTTTATTTACTAATATATATATATATATATATATATGACTTGATTTTGATTTATTTAAGGTTGTATGTTGAATATGTAGTTAAATTGTTTTCCCTCTTAATTTGTAATGGGCCCATCCTTTCCTTTATATGCTGTTGCTTTGTTCATTTGAGCAGGTCAGGTTTAGTTTGTTTGGTTTTTGTCTAACTGTTTTTTTCCCCCTCATTTTCTGTTTGTTTGTTTCATTTTTGTTGCAAGAAATTTTTTGGGGGGTTCAAATAAAGACCCGTTTTTCATAAAAAGCTTGTGTTCCTTGTTCCTGACTTCTCGGTCCCGAAGAACCGAAAGACAATACAATGCTGAATAAAGTCATAGTTTTTGTTATTTTTGGACCAAAATGTATTTGAGATGCTTAAAAAAATTCTAACTAACCCACTGATGTCACATGGACTACTTTGATGATGTATTTATTTCCTTTCTGGACAAGGACAGTATACCGTGTATACATTTTCAACGGAGGGACAGAAAACTCTCGGACTAAATCTAAAATATCTTAAACTGTGTTCCGAAGATGAACGGAGGTCTTACGGGCTTGGAACGACATGAGTCATTAATGACATAATTTTCATTTTTGGGTGAACTAATCCTTTAAGCCTTGTCTGTGAAACAAGGGTTATAAAGTAAAGGTGATCTTGCCTGTTCAAGTTGACTTTTCGAAGCGGTACCCGAAGACTCATGGGATTTTTGGTTGGTGTCCTACAAAGAACAACAGAAATGATGAAGCAAAAACAATTGTATAGATTTACAGCAAAATAAACATTTATTTATGCAGAAAATCACCTGCCAAGCCTTGACCTAAACTTCAAGGGGAGGTCAGAATTAGAGCGTCGTAAACGGACTTTCTGCAAGTCTGCAAGTGTGACCAGTGGTGATCTTCTCTCTGGAGACATCTTTAAAAGAATACCGTCAGAATCAGATATAGATATAGATATATACTCAGTGCAGGATACTATGGAAAATTGAGGACACAATCTTTCACTCACCTGAGTTTTTTGGCCGACAGTCACTTTTTTTAGTTGTACTGCTTGAATATCTTGAAGAGTCACAGCAACAGGGCCACTTTGCTTCTCCTATTAGTGTGGGGGGAAATTGAAAATAGTGACAACTATTTCCTCAACAAACAAAGTGAATTAAATTAGATATGACAAAGCAGTAATAAACCATTACCTTTAGAGAGCTAGTTTGTGCAGTTTTTTTGGGAATTAAGGATACTTTCGGAGCAGCAAATGTCATTGGAGGAGGTGGTGGAGGTGGAGGTGGTGGAGGTGGAGGTGGTGGAGGAGGAGGAAGGGAGAGAGGCAGAGGTGTAGAGTGCTGAACACCACCAGGCATTGCACACAGACCGCCTGCACTCTTGGCTTCTCGAGAGAGCTAAAGAAATATTTGTTATGCACATTACAAGCACTGGATTCACTGGAAAATCCTTTTGATCAGTATAGCCGAAATGTTCTAACCTTCAAAGTGGAATGCAATAGTGCCAATTCCCTTTGCAGCTCCTCTACTTTTTGGTGAAGGGATTCCACTCTTTCTGCATAGCCTCTCCAGAAGAGGAAGACATTGAGGAATCCATAACAGATCTAAAAAAATAATAAAAATAATATTAATAATAAGCAAGTCAGAAAGCTCTCGCTCTCTTGAACTTTAATAAATCAAAAAAAGAGAAAACAATATATAAATAAAATCTTACTTGATTGATTATCTTTCTGCATTTTTGCAAGAGACTTCCAACTCCAGAAAACATAGCTCTAATACTCCGTGTTGAAGACAGTTTAGTGGCTTGAACAATTGTCTCCTCAATGTCAATGTCCACCTTTGTTTTGTTGTCTGGACTGGGTGGAAGTATTACCATAAAGTAATATATATATATATACACACACACAAATATACAGTTGGTTCATGTTTACTTTAATTTTACAGGCTTACAGTATATACCCCTTTGTATAAAATCTGTAAGAAGTTGTACATTTTTTTTTTACAAGTCAATGGTCACCTTACATATTCGGAACAACATGAGGATGAGTAAATGATGACAACTGTCATTTTTGGGTGAACTATCCCTTTAATTCTTACAAATAAGGCCTTAAATGTAGTAGTGTTTTTTTCTTCAATACTGCATAACAGATTAATATTAACATACTTATTTTAGCAAGTAAAATAAGGTTATTATTTTGTCTTGTGGAATATGTAAATATCAGTTATGTAAATAGAAATTATTATTTTGTCTGCAATTTTCTAATTAACTTGTGTATAAAAAGGCAGTGTTTTTGCAGATACATAAGTTATGCAGTTAACGTTACTTACACAGGGGCCGTTGGTGTGGCAGAAGCCACAAGTGGCTTCTTGCTCTTCATGGCCCAGTATCGGCTGCTGACATTTCTCTTTTTCCGCCGATGAAAGACACAACCGAGGCCCTGGACACGAATTACACATCGCTTAATGATTCATGGTAATTAAACACCGAATTAACTAATTATTAGCAACATACCCTGAATCCACCCATATCCACAGCTGCAAACAGCTTTTGAAAATAGTTCCTTATTGTTTACCCTCCAATAGGAGCGCAGCTGAAGTGCAAGGAGGCGGGTCTTACTATTCGATTGGTTAAGGAAGACGGAAAGGGTTTGCATCTGCAGCGGAAAGCTTTCAGCCAATCACCCCGGGGGTTTGTCCGTTACTATAGCAGCAGCGTATACAATCATCAAAGAGCAATATGCTGTTTGATCGTAAGCATCAACTTAGTCTAGTTGTTGGGTTTAAGACACGTTTCGAGCAGCAATACTTCAAAACCGCAAGTAAAAAAATAATTGTAAGTCAAGGCGTGACAATTTGTAATTTTTTAGCCAAATATTTTGATGTTATTGAGATATTTTGATGTTGAGAACTTGAGAGACATACGAACAGCCACACTTTCTGTGCTCAAGCTGTAAGTAATGGCTGGAAAAGTTCTCTGTGAGGCAACAAAACTGTACAACATCCTAAATCAATACACTCATCTACCAAGCCTTGCAGAGAGTAACTACCTTTGCCTGATTGGTAAGAATTAAAAAGTTATTCTTTATATACTGACAGTACATTGTGTGTTCAATGCTAATTCAAACGCCAACAAATTAATTAATTAATAATAATAATAATAGTCTTATCTCTTCAGATGCACGTGCAGCAGAATCATATAACTTTAGCCACATCATTACTGCTAGAAATGCAAAATGGGTATGTATAGATTTTGTTTTATTCCCCCCTAAAGTTTATGTTTTGTATATCCTGTACTGTTAGACTATCAGAACATCATTGGTTTATTTTGTTTGCTAATTACAAAGGATTCTGACCGAAAGTTTATTATGCCCATGGATGTTGAGGTTGAAAGTATGAGGTACATCATTGTTTATGACAGCAATACACATTCTCTGTTAGATTCAGGTAAGACACTACCTTTTCTAACATGTTATGAAATTTCCTAAAACTGTCAGTACACTTCTGAAAACCCCCTAACTGTATTTTTGTTATAGGTCCAGCTATAGACTGTGCAGACTGCTTAGAAAAAGCAAGCCGCTTTCCTGTTCAGATTCTTAATGGGGGCTATGAGAAGTTTTCTGCACTCTATCCTTTCCTAAGAACGCAAAAGATTCTTTACAACATTAGGGTAGTATTTTAATAAATTATAAAGGAAGTTTTTGTGCTGTTTATAACCATGTTTAATGATCAAAATACCTGTATCCATAGGAATTGGAGAGCTTAAATCCCTATCCTGTGGAAATCTTACCAGGTCAGCTTTACATGGGTGATTATAGGCAGGCCACAAACCCCCAAATCCTTAAAGATCTGAAGCTGAATGCACTTGTCAATGTCTCTGATGAATGCAGTCTAATGTGAGCCAACCCACCATCTCATATTTATTTAGGCATACAATTTTTTAAAAATTCAGTTCGATCATATTACTCCCTGAATACCCTTTGTGTGGAATTTTATAATTAATATATGAACTTTACTTTGCAAACTAGGTTTAAAAAGGCAAACTGCACTGTCCTACACATCCGAATTGCAGATTCTGCAGAGGCAGATTTCACCACTTCATTTGAGAGAATGTGTGCTTTTATTGGTAAGTACTGGGATATTTTTTGTTTAGTGGATGAACAATAACTTAAATATCTAAAACAAAACTATGACAATGTGTCTTTTAAACATTTCAGGTTCTCATCTCAATACTGCTTCTCCTGTTTTGATATTCTCTACTCTTGGGATAAGCCGATGCTGTGCTGTAGCAATGGCATATCTTATGTATCACCTGAAATACACACTTAAGGTAATGATTTTACTTTTGCGTTTAGAGTTTGCATTGATGTTATTAGCAGATGCTTCCTTAAAGGGACAGTTCACCCAAAAATGAAAATTCTGTCATCATTTACTCACCATCAAGTTGTTTCAAACCAGTATGAATTTCTTTCTGAACACAAAATTATTTTTAATGCTCCCTTCATTTGTAAGTAACTTTGGATAAAAGCGTCTGCTAAATGATTAAATGTAAAAGAAGATATTTTGATATCAGTAACCAAACAGTTAATGCCCCACCCCATACTATGGAAGTCAATGGGGCCCATCAACTGTTTGGTTATCCATTCTCTTCAAAATAACTTCTTTTGTGTTCAGCAGAAGAAAAAAAATCATAGTTTTGGAACAACTTGAGGGTGAGTAAATAATGACAGAATTTTCATTTTTGGGTGAACTATCCCTTTTATATTTGTCATCTGTGATTTCTGAATATTTTAGGAGGCCTGGAATCATATTCAGCAGTGCAAAGCCAGCATGAGACCAAATCGAGGATTTGTGCAGCAACTTTCTGATTGGGAACTTCAGACTGTTGGGAAGAGAGTGACAGATATTTCAGAACCCAACTACTGACAATAACCATATGGAACCAGTGCATGACTGTGCACATTCATATTCCGTGACTTGCTACAGTCACTGATAAATCATAGATTTTTATTTACTATTAATACATCAATAAAAGTAATATTACAAAGCAATAAATAAACTACTTCCCATAAACATATTGTATAGACAATAGTAGAATGTACAAAATAGTGTTAATATATCAAATAGTGCACAGTGCATAAACAGTAGTCTGAGTGAATATGAGCAACTAAAAATATCAGTTTATGTCATAAGCAATGCATTTTCTTCTGTTTTACTATATGTTGTTTTAAAGGGGATAGTTCACCCAAAAAGTACAATTCTGTCATCATTTCCGTACCCTCGAGTTGTTCCAAACCTGTACGAGTTTCTTTCTTCTACTGAACACAAAAGAATATATTTAAAGAGTATGGGTAACCCAACATTTGATGGGCCCCATTGACTTCCATGGAAGAAGAAAAAAACTTTGGAAGTTAATGGGGCCCATAAACTTTTTGGTTACTGACATTCTTCAAAATATCTTCTTTTGAAGAAAGAATCCATACAGGTTTGGAACAACTTGAGGGTGAGTGTAATTTTTGGGTAAACTTATCCCTTTAACAGCTGAAATTTCTTGTCAAACTGTCAAAATCATTTTACTAAGTGTAACCCATTGGATTAAATTTTAAGCATTAAAAGCTAAAAGGGTCAAGATTAAATAAATTTTATCCAACCATTTTTACATTTTCAAAAAACATAATTTTGTATGATGTATAAACTGTTTTCCTCCTGGGGACCAAAAAATGTCCTCACAAGGTCAAAATGTCTGTTATTACTATCTTTGTGGGGGCATTCGGTAGGGATTACCAGGACCACACACACGAGGATTGTAATTTTAATGAAGATTTTCTAAATTTACAAACAATTCATCATTGCTATGACATAATAAGAGGTTATCTACAGTGCAAACATTGACCACAGCATTGGTCATTCACAGCTGGCATGCTCTCCCTCTACCGTCTGTGGGAAGTCAGCCAGTGGGCTAACTGCGCATTCTCAATGGTGTGTTTGTCTTGTTTTAAAAGCTCTCATTGGTCAGTTTAATAGAGGGGCGTTTCAGTATGCCGTGAAGTCTGTCTCTGATTGGCTACGCGAGTTGTGAAGCCTCGTTCACATGACAGACGTCTGTCAAGACTCAAGATAGCAAGCAAGACGCTCATTTAACGTTAACGGTAGAACAGACCGTTGTTCATCTGTTCACTCATATCTGGGAATACTAACGTTACTTTAACCAAATACACTCTCTGGAAATGCTGTTTAACCCGACTGGTTTGACCGAATGTTTACAAGAATGGGAGGATCTGGAAAAAGACTATCACCAGGTTCAGGTGAGTCTTTCTTTCTCCAGTGCTACTCCGACCGCTATTTTATTTACATCATATTTTTTCTTATTACCACATTTATTGAAATATCGCTATTCAATGCTGATTGAATAGCTACGCTTCAGCTTCAAGGACTAACGTTAGCTGCTTAGCAATTACATTTTTAACAGTACAACAGTGGTACCATAAATCAGAAAGCAGATATTTGTTGTTACTAAGATATAGTATCTCCGATTCTCACAAATATATAATTGTATTATTATGTGTTATATTAAATATTTCTAAGTTGAATGGGTAAGTGACAAAACATATGGTATCATAAAAACTGATTTTTTTTTTAATATCACATGTGCCAAGTCATAGAAATATTAGCTTAAGATTAATAATGGTTTCATACATACCAAAACATTTCTAAGGGTCAAAAGTTGTCTAATATTGGTAAGTCCTCACTGATGGTGATTTTTTTCCATTAAATAATGCTTTAATGCTTATTAAACAGAGTATATACAGTGTAAATATACAAACATTTAAGTACAGGGTAATAATAAATAACTACATGTCCTTAATATAGGATTAGCATTTGTTTTAGGGTTAGTTGCATGCAGTTATGCACATATTACTGTACGTACATGTAACAAGGGCACTGTAAAATAAAGTGTTACCTAAAATTCTAATGTCTATATGTGTTGCACAGGAGACGCATCGACTTTACAAACAGAAGCTGGAGGAGGTTTCAAAATTACAGGACAGCTGTTCCTCTTCTATAGTACGGCAGAGGAAAAAGTTAAAGGATCTCTCTGAATCCCTGGACGAGTTAGTCATAAGTTATGAACTTTTCAGTTAAAAAATTATTGTTGTTGACCTGTACCACATATTCAAACTTTTTTTCTTTCATAGATGCAGAGCCACAGTGAATCCAGAAGATGTAAATAAAATAGACAAGATCCAAGATTCTATAAAGGAAAGACCAAATGTCTTTTTTGAGATGGAGGCCTTCCTGCCAAAGAAAAATGAGTAATGCAAATGAGAGACATTTGATATCATCAGTGCCACACCCTCTTAAAATACACATTATCAGCATTTACTATTCAAAGCAGGTCATGCGACTCTGTATTTGCCTGTCCCGTTTCTAATACAATGTTGACACTATAAAGACCGTAGACTAAAGGTGTGGTAAAGAATTCAATAATAATTGAATGAGGATAGTGGTGTGTGGACTTGTAATCTACCTTGTTCAAGCACAATGATTCTTCATATACCTACTGTATGCTAACCTGAAATACTTTACCCTGTTCTTGTTCCAGGTTGTACCTCAGTCTTGTTCTTGGAAATGTAAATGTTACACTCCTTAACAAGCAGGCCAAGTAAGTTTTCAGAACCTTGAGCAGAATACTATTTATTATTAAAACATTCTAACCATGGTGTTTTAACACCACATTGTGGTGTCATGAAGTGCAGTGATGATGTTAATGAGTCATGTGATTTGTCTCTGCCTGCTTGAGAAGACTTGTTTTGTTTTTCTCCATTGTACAGGTTTGCCTATAAAGACGAGTATGAGAAGTTCAAACTATACTTGACTGTGCTGCTCTTGTTCTTCTCATTCACCTGTCGGGTTCTGGTCAGTTACAGGTACATGTTTGTTGCCACCAAATATGAAAAAGTGTGAACTGTTATTCACAATAGTGGTGTTGAGAACAAGTTATCATATAAGGATTTCATAAAATATCATATTTTTGTCCTTTTTTTTTATCATGGATTAAATGTTATGCTTCATGTCTCACTAATACATGTAAAATAATCAGTTTGTGTTTTGATAGGGCTGTAGATGCACTCTTCAATTTCCTGCTGGTGTGGTATTATTGTACATTAACAATAAGAGAGAGCATCCTCATTAATAACGGCTCAAAGTGAGAATAAACATTTGATTATGTAATACTTATTTCCTGCCAAATATTACCTCAATCCTTCAGGCTATACTGTAAAGTTTCAAAACTTTGTTTCAGGATCAAGGGCTGGTGGGTGTTTCAACACTATGTCTCAACATTTCTCTCTGGAGTAATGCTGACCTGGTATGAATGACTTGTTAACACTTGGCATGTTTGGTACGATTAAAACGAATTCTGGTGTGATTGCTCTGTTAGTGAGGCTCATTTGAATAAGTGTGAACGCCTAAAATAGTGGGTCTCGGACCACTTCCAAAAAAGCATCACGCACCAAAGACATCTAAATGAATCAAAAACAGGACATGATGTCACAAGATGCGACCCTTATAAGGAAAAAATGCTCAAGCAAGCATGCTTGTTTTTTTTTTTGTCATAGGAGCTACGTTTACCATTACAGTTCAGTACAGGTGTCAGAAACTCTGTCTCCTTGCAGCAGATCTTCGTTTGTGTGTATTCCTGGTGCTCTTTGACTCCTTTACACATTTTCTTAGCTCCATGAGTTCTCAACTAGTAAAAATACAATCATATTTACGCACATACAACGAGCCAAGTACACAGCATTGTTTTGGATGTTTGGTGAGTTCCGTTGCAAATTATAGTCATAAAAGCCTTTTTTTTGTGTGTGTGTGTCTTTAGTTTCAGTCTTAAAAATGGTGATGTGAACCAGGACTAAATGTATCATTTTCTGTTTTGGTCGGGACCAAAAGAACCAAGAGAACGAAACTACAAGTGTGAACACACCCTTGTACACTCATTAACTCTGAAATATTATTGTATTAGACAAATCAGATTAATGTGCTTTGAGTAAATACTTAAAATTAAATGTTTTGAAGCACACTTAGTAGACTCTGAGATATTATTACAGCATTACACTTTTGAAACTTTGGTACTTTAATCAATAGAATTGTGATGTGTATTAGATTAATCAGATTAATGAATATTGAATAAATGCTTAAAATTAAATAAATCTCTTCATGTGTGTCTCACAGGCCTGATGGTGAACTATACCAGATTTTCAGAAATCAGTTCCTGTCATACTCCATGTATATAAGTAAGATCAGTCTTATAGTTTTAGTAACTCTTTTATGTAATAACGATTTATTCATTGTTTTACTTAATCTTGTTTGGTTTTCCATTCAGATTTTGTTCAGTTTCTCCAGTACTACTACCAGAGTGGCTGCTTGTATAGACTTCGAGCTCTTGGAGAAAGACATAACATGGACCTCACAGTTGGTGGGTAGTTTTCTTATCCGGTTTTCCTTATTATATTGCAGATGTATCCATTAACAGATGTTTTGACATGTGCTTTATGATCAGAGGGGTTTCAGTCTTGGATGTGCAGGGGTCTGACTTTTCTCCTGCCATTCCTTTTCTTGGGCCATGTAAGTTTTATACTGCGTTTGTTATTCTTGGGTTATTTTGCAATAAATGCAATCCTCTTGTATTTGCAAACAGCTCACTTCCTGTTTTATGGGCATCATTGTGGTAAAGACTCTTTTTGGTGGCACAAAGGGCAATGTCATTTTTAAAGCTTTAGAGATGGCTTAAAAGTTTGCTTATTGCTGACATAAAATATTAACATGGGTATTCAGAAAAGTTCTGATGTAATTGTTAGTATGCTGTGGATCTAACTGTCTTATTATCTAATCTATATCCAGTTCTTCCAGCTTTATAATGGAATTACACTCTTCCAAATGGCCCAGCTTCCAGAATGTAAAGAGTGGCAGGTCAGTGTTTCAAAATAATTCAAAATGTTTACACTATGTGCATATCATTATCATTCATGTATATACTTGTTCATTTGTTTCCGTTGAAATTGTATTTGCAATATTTCCTTTTTCTTCTTAGGTTCTCATGTGTGGCTCTACTTTCCTTGTTTTGTTCATGGGAAACTTCTTCACTACTCTTGGTGTTGTTTACCACAAATACATGGATCAGGACAAAGCTAAAGCTTTATAAATGATTGGCACAAAGGCACGGAACTCTTTATCAAAGCAATTTACGTTTTATACGAATGTTTTTTTTAAATGTCAGTGTTAATGCAATTATTGTGTTAATAATGTACAATATTTTTTATGACACTGTTATTTAAATGTCAGACAGTGAAGTGTTTCTTCTGTTCATGGTTCAGTATGGCTAAGTGACAATTTTTTAAAATGTGTCAGAAAGCATAAGGAATGAAACGTCTTTCCCTCTAACCTAAAATATCAATATTTATTATTTTTTTATTATTTTTTTTAACTAAAATGACGATTTCTATCACACCATATGTCAATAAAAGTAATGACATCAGAATATCATAACAGTGTGCATGCTTTTTTTTTTTCATTTTTGAAAAATCTCTGGCCCATATTTAAAGTTAATTAGAATGCAAGTTATTGTTTGTTCAAGAGAACTCGGAAGACAGACGTTTAAATGGAAATCATTTGCTTTCAGTGGCATTGTCGCACACTCAACACATGACTTTACCATCATAGGACTATGTCAACATCTTTGTGTAAGTAAGAAGTATGTGCAATTAGCCCAATGTTAGGACATTTTTTTTCCAAAAAACAATTTGTTTTTTTTATATATTTCAAGAATTTATTGAGGAAGCCCTGTCAAACGGAAATAGGAATTGGAAATACCCTTAAGTGCTTTCAGCAGAACTTTCATAATACTCATTACTCACCCTCAAATTGTTCCAAACCTGTGAATTTCTTCTGCTGAATGTCGGTGTGGTAACCAAACCGTTGATGAGCCCCATTGACTTCCATTCCATTTTTTTCTTCCATACTATGGAAGTCAATATCATCGGTCTGGTTAACCATATTCTTTAAAATATTATCTTTTGTGTTTAGCAAAAGAAAGAAATTCATACTGGTTTGGAACAACTTGAGGGTGAGTAAATGTTGACAGAATTTTCATTTTTTCAGTTAAGAATTCGCTTCATTGAGCATAACTGCATAACTTTAAATTATCTTATTTTCTTATTTAAACTAAACTCTTTTATGCTTGCCAAATACCCCAGAATAATTAGGCTCACAGACAGGCGCCCTCAGTTCTCGCGAGTGGGAAAACAATGCTGACGACGACGTAATGGACAAATAAGTCAGAATAACACGATTTTTTTAAGAACATGCCAACGCGTATTGAACATTACAACAAAGCAAAAATGTAGAATCTGTTCAAAGTTAAACGACTAATGTTTACGTGTTAGTAACGTGGGAAATTTGAGCGAGGGATATTTGAACGTGCGACTGGCAACCCGGCGGCCGGCGTTTCAATGTGACGTATCTTGTGCTGTGCGCCGTGCTCCTCCAGCTAACCGGAGGTATGTCTTTCAGTGTTGTGTAACTGTTGAATTATAATGATATTATTGCCAATTAATATATTGTCAGTCAGTTTTTGAGGTCATAAACAAAAAGTGAACATTTTGTGTGTATACGTCTGCCCGTGCAAAAAGTACTATGGCGGTAATAGCATGGTACAGTGATAATGTCATATGCTATATATACAATGTAACTTTGCTACGTGATACTAAATGATTTACCATGTTAATATAGGCTACGTCAAAGTATTCAAACAACGCCATGTTAAATGTCCAAAAAAACGCGTTAGGACTATAGTTCTACTTTTAAGAGACGACGTGTTAAACAAGCGTTTTGTAACACTATATATATATATATATATATATATATATATATATATATATATATATATATATATATATATATATATATATATATATATATATATTTTATATATATATATATATATATATATATATATATATATATATATATATATATATATATATATATAGCTATAGCTTGAGCGATAAAAGTTGTAGGGAAACGAGGTGACGAATTTAAATTTATTAGATATTTAAGACAATGCTTCAAAGGAAAATGTGTTTTGTAACTGCTCATCATTATGTAATTACACCGAGTCTTCAAAAGAGGGCACAACATGACAAAAAGTCGCAATTGGTATTGTTTTTGACAACGTACAGTACTTATTAAAGATTATGGCACCTAGATGGCCACAAACTATGCAAATAAGAATTTTAAATAATCAGTTCATATATCATTTTATTTATTATTTTGCTAAACTGTAAATACACACTCCTGGGCAAAAATTAAATGGGCCAAGCCAAATTTGGCAAAATATTTAGTGGTCTTATAATTTTCTTAACCATTTTAATCACAAAAATATTGTCAGGAAATTGGCAAGAATTGGCCAAATACTGTAGATAAAGTAACTTAGCATGGAATAGCCTTCCCCTACTTGCAGTCAGCTTTTTACTGGAAGAACGTCCCATATTCTGCCAAAAACTTTGTTCTGTCTTTGATGTTTTTCTGAGACGGCATTGGCATTTTAAGTAGTCCATTTGCTTAAACGTAGCTAATTTCCTGACCAATAATTTGTGGTTAAGACAATTAAAACTTTGTGCTAAGCCCATTTTTTCTTTTGCCCAGGAGTATATATATTTAGATAGATAGATAGATAGATAGATAGATAGATAGATAGATAGAATGTACAGTGTAAGTGACTGTTTTATGTATGTATCTGTGTATGTGAAGTGAAGACTGTTTTTGTGTAAAGTGATATGTCTTGATGTTGTTTTTTAGAGTCAGTAAATACTTTCAGAGTTACTTCAGTCGATTATTAACTAATAGTAAGTCATGAAAGCAATCTGTTTTTGCAGACATATCTGCTTTCTGATTATTGTGAAAATGGAGGACACTGAATCCCAGCTGCTCTCCGATCAGGATCAGACTCCGGAGCCTCTCCTCAGCTCTATGGACATCTTCCTCTTCTCTCTAATCGCAGGATTGCTTATCTACTGGTTCTTCTTCCGAAGACAACCAGAGCCTGTTCCGGAGATGAGGCCATTCATTGCTGTGTAAGTGTCTGATTTTAACCCCCTCTCCCCTTCATTTGTCCTCAAGAGGGGGAAATTACTCCCACACAAATTTTTCTGCATGGCTGAAATGTTGGTCAGAGCCATGTTTTGTGAAACACAAGCACAATATCTGTGTTCCACCCCACAAAAGTATAAATGCAAACGATAAAGGAACAAAATTAGCTTTTGCTTTACAGTCCATGGCTGGAACTGTGTTATGGGACTCAAATTTATGCTAATATTTTTGTTGGACGGCCAGTTTATAGTTCTTCTCCCTGTAAACCTTTGGCCTTGTTTGAACAAAGCATCGTTTCTGCACCATGTCTCATTCCTAAAGCACTTTGTGGTTCAGTCGGTCATGGGTTCCAGCATTGCAAAGTGTTGACATCATGGGACCCAGAGTATGTGCGTGCGTTACATTCTATCTCAGCGTTATGGTCTGTAGCAACTGAGACACAGTTCATATACACCCTGGTTATGTGTCAACAGCTAGACTACTTTGTTTACGAATTTTCATAGATGCGTCAAGTTGGTAAATTAATTTCCTGTTTGGTTTTCACAATGCTGAACAGAAGCATCAGTGCCGTGGTTAACATATCAAACATTGAACTGAGCTGTGTAATAAACATAGATGGTGGTATTATATATGAGGTTGAAAATGAGCACTGTTTGTTCAGATGGAGTCACAGGATGTTATTGTTCCTGAATGCTCCCCATAATCCTTGCTAGTCAATTGTAGTGTTGTATGTTAAACTTGTGACCTATTCACCTTTGTAAACAATGAAAGCCCTGATGACTCAAGCTTTGAGGTATACTAGTACAGATTTCTGAAGGATCATGTGACACTGAAGATTCGAGTAATGGCCGCTGAAAACTCAGCTTTGCCATCACAGGAATAAATAGCATTTTATAGAAAACAGTTGTAATAATTGAAAAACTATTTCACACTGTTTATGACTGTTTTACTGTATTTTTGATCAAATAAATGCAGCCTTGGTGAAGAGACTTTTTTCAAAAGTGGTCTGTTTTAATGTTTTGGACAAACCTTCGAACGGTAGTGTACGTGGTCTTTCCTTGTATACATAAATCACTTATCACCATTTATTCATTGTCATTGCTAAAACAAGAACAGCAGCAATACATAAAGAGTAGAAAAAGAATGCAGTAGGAAATGATGTGTAACTAAAGAACTATAGTGTCAGGAAGAGATGTTTAGAGAGCAGGAAAGGATAACCACATTCAATTCTCTCTGCTTCCTGGTTCACATTACTTGTGTTGACGGATTGCTGCCAGTTTAGGCCATCTTGAATCACTCCACTACTCTTGTTCCTTTAGTTGTTCTTTTTTTTTTTTTCTTTTTTTTTTACAAAAAATGTAATCTAGAAATTTATATTGGCTTTTGTTTTAGTGCTCGTTTGTATTTTATTAGGCTGGGAAAGAGAGGGAATGAACTCCTTGTGTTTGCATTGGCAGGAACATTCAAGATTTTATGCATGTCTATTGTCTATGAGTGTTTAAGGTTAAGGGGGTTCACTAACAGCATTGTGCAGTAGAGATCCATGGGAAATGTTATATATTCATGTTGCTTTGCAACGCTGTGCTCTGGCCAGATGGCGTGAGAGAGAGAGACAGAGAATGAGCGCGTACAAGAGCCTGTGTCAGACCCCTGCCTGCCTCACGCCCCCTTTCCCTACGCTGAAGATCTATGTGTTTCCTACAGATCCTCCTAATTAACTTTTACAGACTTTCTTAGGCTGTCTGAGCTCTTGATGCAACCCTTTTAGAGAGGAAAGTGCTCTGTATGCAGAACTCTTAAGGACAGCGTCTTTTCCCCAGTCATGGGATGCATGTTCTCTTTGCCTCAGGACAGACTGGCCGCCGCAGAGAGGTTAGTCCGGGACAAAACGGATGTTTAATTTTCTCTGTTTCTTCTGAATCTGTTGTGATGGATATTTTGGGTGCCATTTATGATTTTGTGGAATTGCTTTCGCCCCTAATGATTGCTTATAGTTTTGTTTTGTCCACCTGAATTAATTGTTTAGTCTTTCGACACTGCCACAAAGTTGTTGTATCAGTGGTGTGCAATGGCAAAAAGAGGTTCTAATCTGGTGGAATGCTGCATGGATTCTGAATGAGAATGACTAAATTGTTTCTTTAATGTGGAATTATAGAGAAGTATAGGGGAGGACTCCATTGATTTGCACTGTGATTTCTTGCCAGTGCAATGATGGTTGTTTAGTAATTTGATAGTTATAGTAGTTGACTTGTTCACTTGAATGAATGGACAATACTGTTCAAAAGTTTGGGGTCAGTAAGATGTTAAAAAAAAAAACAAGGCTGCATTTAGTTGATCAAAATTATAGTTGAAACAGTAATATTGTGAAACAAGATTTTAAAATGTAATTTATTCCTGTGATGGCGAAGCTGAATTTTTTCAGTTGTTTGTCAGTTGTCTTCAGTGTCACATGATCCTTCAGAAATCATTCTAATATGCTGATTTGGTGCTCAAGAAACATTTCTTATAAATGTTGAAAACAGTAGAAACAATAGAAATTTCAAAAGAACAACATGTGTTTGAAGAAAATTCTTAAGAGTAAAAAATATTTATAAAATGTATAAAAATATATTGTGCTCATATATTAATTTTATTTAGAAAATTGTTTTCTTATTTTTATTTAAGAAATAAAAAAAAAACTTTTTTTAACAAATAAATGGCATTTTAAAAATAGCAGAAATCGTAGGATAATTGTATCAAACAATGATTTTTTTTCACTTTGTGCTCTACCTTCTGTTTTTCATCATTGAATTTGCATAAAAGTTTGTGGTTTTCATTAGTTGAACAATGACTGAAAGCAGACGTGTTCTAATACTGTGGTGCTCTCAGAGGGGTGTGAACTTCAGGAAGTTCTCCTATGTGGGAAAAAGCCAAGAAATGAAAGGCTCAATCCCCTATTCATTACCAAAAGAATTGGTCTGGCATGCTTTACAGCCTTTTCACATGTGTGTTCTTTCTTTCTCTCTCTCTCTTCCTATTTCTTTTCATAGAACGCCACAAATACGTGAAACCAGCTTTATTGAGAAAATGAAGAAAACGGTGAGATTTCCACCATAGAAATCTAGTCCAGTTCTAAAGAGTTTAAATAATTGGTTAAAAATGACCTTTCTTGAACAATGAAAGAAAGTTCATTATGTTTGATTTCTATATCTCTGTAACTTCCCATTCTAGAACCGAAACGTTGTGGTGTTTTACGGATCCCAAACGGGGACTGCTGAGGAATTTGCTAACAGACTGGCAAAAGATGCCCATCGCTATGGCATGAAAGGGATGGCCACTGACCCAGAGGAGTATGACATGGTACTTTTGGTCATTATTGTTGCCTGTTTGATAAAGACTAATGAAATCAATCAATCAAGATCAGAACGCTTCTATACTTTTTCAACTCTTTTGACTTTAGTCATTATCTCCCATTCACAGTCCGAGCTGTCTAGACTGAAAGAGATTCCTAATTCCATGGCTGTGTTCTGCATGGCAACCTATGGAGAGGGAGACCCCACAGACAACGCTCAGGAGTTCTATGATTGGATGCAAGGGACTGATGACGATCTAGAGGGGGTCAATTTTGCTGTGAGTAATAAACCAACATCAGAATAGTGCATAGGAAGCCAATGTGTCTCTTTCTTAGGTTAATAACCTGAGCTCAAGAGATTGCATAGGACAGCCTTCCATCTATGGGCACCCTCCAACATTCCTGCCCTTTTTATGGAGTGGTACCTATTTCCTGAGCAGTCAGTGAAGTTCTTAACTAGCCTGCGCCCGAGGCTGTCCCATAGTTAAGGGGCCCATGGAATTCTCATCAGTTCTCCCTCACCAAATGGAAACATCTGGCCTAGCCAAACAAAGCTAGAGCTCCATCCCAGCGGAACCTCTCTCTTAGCAGGACTATTTCAGATGGAACTGGATCATTGGATCTTCTGTTCCTTTGATTCTGGAGACAGGCTCCGCTTGAGTTGGACCTGTATTCTGGATGCAAGCCTTGTGGTTTCAGCCTGGAGTTCTCAGATTCTTTTATGTGGTTGTAGTGGGACAGCGTGATAAAACATGTGGTTGGAAACAAACATCACTGCAGTGCGTCTACAGTGCTACAAGACTGCGGGGACGGGCTAGATAGGTAGAGGAAGTTATAAGGAGCATGCGATATTTAAATTCTTTTGCATTTCAGTTAAATGTATTGAAATCAGTTTTAATCATAAATATAAACTCACCGGCCACTTTATTAGGTACACCTTGCTAGTACCGGTTTGGACCCCCTTTTGCCTTCAGAACTGCTTTAATTCTTCATGGCATAGATTCAACAAGGTGCTGGAAACATTCTTTGATTTTGGTCCATATTGACATGATAGCATCATGCAGTTGCCACAGATTTGTCGGCTGCAAATTCATGATGCGAATCTCCTGTTCCACCACATCCCAAAGGTGCTCTATTGGATTGAGATCTGGTTACTGTGAAGCTCATTTGAGTGTAGTGAACTCTGTCTTGTTCAAGAAAACAGTTTGAGATGATTTGAGCTTTGTGACATGGCACGTTATCCTGCTGGAAGAAGCCATCGGGGATGGACATGGTGGTCAGCAACTATAGAGTCGTGCAGGTATGACGTCACTTTCTAGGCCAACCGGCAGTTAGCATCACACTGGTTCCCTCGACAAAAAACCAATAGGATTTTTTCATAGGCTTTTGGATTATCGCAAGTATTATGATACTTACACATTTTGTCCATCAAGACCATTTTCACAGATGAACACAACTTTTATGAATTTTGAAACCTTAATCTTTCCGACAGCCTCTATAGTCCCATTTAGCCACTTGTTAGCAACCACCTTTTTAAAGACACGTGACAGCTTAAAAAAAGTCATGAGTGCGGTACTACCGATGTATTTTGTCACAGAATAAAACGTGAAAGTGTCTTGAGCTTGTGTTCACCACAGACCTTATTTCAGCCATTTAACCAAAACCCCATTCAAAAAAACCATTGACTTCGGGACGATGGAACCAGAATGCTAAAATGCTAACTCGCTTCCACGTTTTGGCTTACAAAGTGATGTCATACCTGTACCACTCTATACTCAGGTAGACTGTGGCGTTTAAACGATGCTCAATAGGTACTAAGGAGCCCAAGGTGTGTGCAGAAAGTATACCCCACTGCCGCTCACTGGATATTTTCTCTTTCTGACCATTCTCTGTAAACCCTAGAAATGGTTGTGCGTTAAAATCCCAGTAGATCAGTCCGTCTGGCACCAACAACCATGCCATGTTCAAAGTCACTTAAATCACTTTTCTTCCATACTCTGATCAGTTTGAACTTCAGCAGGTCGTCTTGACCATCTCTTCATGGTCTAAATGAATTGAGTTGCTGTCATGTGATTGGTTGCTGTTAACGAGCAGTTGAACAGGTGTACCTAATAAAGTGGCTGGTGAGTATATATGCCACTTATATTTTTAAGTCATTTTTGTTGTATCTCATGCTGCGTCCCAATTCGCCTACTTATACTACGCCCTAAAAGTATGCACTCTTTTTGTGAAGAAAAAGTACATACTTTTGATTGTGTAGCAAAAGAGTAGGCAAGCTTTGGGACATACTACTTCGTCATCTTTAACGGACAGCTCTGTCGCGTGCATCCTGTCACCGTAAACTGCCCTGTCAATCATCCTGTCACCGTAAACTGCCCTGTCAATCATCCTGTCACCATAAACTGCCCTGTCAATCATCCTGTCACCGTAAACTGCCATGTCAATCATCCTGTCACCGTAAACTGCCCTGTCAATCATCCTGTCACCGTAAACTGCCCTGTCAATCATCTCGTCACAGTTAAAATCCTCCATTCAATCTAATTTAATTTCTTACCGTTTCAGAGAAAAATGTTGTAGCATGTTCACCTGCCAGTCGTGGGTCTTTCGTGCGGAGACTCTCTTCATGTGTTTGCAGTTTGAATGTAACGATGCATTTAAAAGTTAATGGCTAGACGTATCTTTACATAAGATCACAATGCTGCTGCAGATGCAATATAATGTGGACAACATTGAATAAATACATTTTCGTCAGGTTAGATACTGATAAGTAATCACTCAAACCCCTTTTATCTAAACCTCTCTACACAACCGACGGACTCGCGCGTCCTCCATGTCTGTATTTTTTTTAACACTTTTCACTCGTGTTCGTAGTTCTAATCGAATCCTCGTCCAACGCGCGATGGGTTGTGGGCAATATCAGCCGTTAGAGTGCGCATCGATCTGCACTTCGGATTCTGACCGGATATAGTAGACCATCCGGGTATCTTTGGAACACTCATTTACACATACTATGATTTGGGACACACTAATTCTATTTTCGAATACTATTTAGGACGGATAGTATGCGAATTGCGATGCAGCATCAGTTTCAGTAAGAGATCTTTTTAAACTGGAGAGGAAGTTGTGAATGTTTAAGTACAACTTGATAGAGGATTAAACTTTTATTTCAAGATCAAGAAACAAAATTAGTTTAATTGATGCTTAGCCTTTAAAGTTTTGCATGTTTTGATTATTTCTTTGTGTTCTGTTTCTTATCGTCTGCTTGCAGAGACTGAATGACTTTTGCCTTTTTTTGTTTTTTAGGTGTTTGGGTTAGGTAATAAAACATATGAGCACTACAACGCCACGGGCAAGTATACAGACAAGAGGCTTGCTGAACTTGGTGGGAAAAGGGTCTTTGACCTGGGCCTCGGAGATGACGACAGCAAGTGAGTGAATAAAAACTCTGGATTGAAACAGATAAAAAGGATAAACCCATTTTGTCTGGTTTTAAGTTATTTTCATTGCCTGTCCTGATTATTTAATCCTAAATCGTTTTTGAAGCTTGGAGGAGGATTTTATCTCTTGGAAGGAACAGTTCTGGCCTGCGGTATGTGAGTTCTTCGGTGTGGAGCCCACGGGAGAAGACAGCAGGTATTATTATTTTTTATTTTTTTTAAACTGAATGTGCTGGTCTTCTACTTTGATCACCATTTTTCAACAGAATGTATTCTTGTATTGGTAGGCAATGTATGGTAGAATTTGAAAGAACAGACCAGCTGTATCAGATTATCTAGTTCAAACATGTTTATTTGATGGGTATTTTGTGGCCAAACAACACATTCAGTGTCTCATCTCCATATTAGAGGGACCAAATCCATTTATCATGTGCTTCCATTACAAAATCCTTCCCTGTCCTGCTTTGAATAGGTTTTTGCATCTTATTAAACATCATAGGTGTTTTGAATGCTTTAAAAGCAGGCTGGGATGAAATCTCCAATTCTTTTTATGTTCTTTCAGCATTCGCCAGTTTGAACTGGTGGTTCATAATGACATCAATATGAATCAAGTGTACGCCGGAGAGATGGGGAGGCTCAACAGCTTTCAGACACAGAAACCGTGAGTTCAACCCTTTCAACTAAGCGATCGGTTGACAGATCAGGCATTTTAAGAGATCCGCTGTTCATCCTTGATCAGAGATTCATTTTAATTCTTCTACTGTAGATTAGTCTGTAAAATTACCTCCTGTTTGTGTACTGTTTTGTGAATAACAAATTTCTAGGACTTTGAATTGATATGCTGAAATTTGAAAAGCTTTTTTATCTGATTGCATTATTCATTTTGATCTGTGTAGACCGTTTGATTCAAAGAATCCTTTCCTTGCACCTGTGAATGTTAATCGTAAGCTGAACAAAGGAGGAAACCGTCATCTGATGCACGTCGAGTTAGATCTCACTGACTCTAAAATCAGGTACATGTAATAACTGACTCATGAAGACATTTCCAGGTCACATATCACCCCAAAAGCAAAAAAGATATATTACATAATTATATGTGACCCTGGATCACAAAACCAGTCACAAGTAGCACGGGTATATTTGTGGCAATAGCCAACAATACATTGTATGGGTCAAAATTATCGATTTTTCTTTTGTGCCAAAAATCATTAGGATATTAAGTAAAGATCATGCTCCATGAAGATATTTTGTAAATGTCCTACCGTAAATATATAAAACATTTATTTTTGTGAGTGAATGCTTCACATTCGCGAACATAAATGGAAAACTTCAAAGGTGATTTTCTCAATGTTTCGATTTTTTTGCACCCTCAGATTCCAGATTTTCAAATAGTTGTATCTCGGCCAAATAAAATATTGTCCTATCCTAACAAACCATACATCATTATGGAAAGATTATTTATTCAGCTTTTTCGTGAAAATTTACCCTGGTTTTGTGGTCCAGGGTCACATAATATGTGTAAAGAAAATAACACTTTACAATAAGATTTCACTTGTTAACATTAGTTAATGTGTTAACTAACATGAACTAACCATGAACAATACATTTGTTATTGTGTTTGTTAGTCTTTGTTAATGTCAGTCAATAAAAAATACAGCTATTCATTGTTTGTTCATGTTACTTCACATTGTATTAACCAATGTTAACAAATACAACTTTTGATTTTAAGAATGTATTAGTAAATGTTGAAATGAACATTAACTAAGATTAAAAATTGCTGTAGAAGTGCAGTTCATTAGTTCATGTTAACTAATTAAATCTTATTGTAAAGAGTTACCATTATTTTTAATTTTTTATCATTTATTTTTATATTCCATTCCATATAATATACATACAGTTTTATTAATTTTATTAATTACAAATATTTAATTATACTTTATATTAAATATGTCTTCTTTTTTATTTTGATTAAGGGGTGAAATATATAACCCATATTCTTGATAGTGTTCATGAGATTCACACTCATATTCATACATGATATGATATTGATTTCAACAATCTGAACAATATCTCTACAATATTAGAGCATTTTAAAATGAAAATAAAACAGTTTGAAATCACTTCTACAAATAGCAATACTGTCTTGCAATACACTGTTTTGTAGAACATTCAAAAGAAAGTTTGCATGCAGACTGTACATAGTATGTTGTTCACTATTGAGTATGTACTGATGCAGTGTACAGTGTTTGTGTTTTCTTTTTTTTTGTATGTCCACATATTAATAAATTGTTTACCAAACCGGGCAGATATGATTCTGGAGACCATGTTGCTGTTTACCCCACAAATGATACGTCGGTGGTCAACAGACTAGGAGAAAGACTTGGAGTGGATCTCGATACTGTAATCTCTCTCAAAAATCTGGATGGTATATACTAATATCTGAAATTGATTAAATATTAAATAATCAGCATATGAGATGGCATGTATGATAGATAGATATTATTTTATTTATTTTATTCTCTGTTATGTAGTCATGCAATTTATAACATGCAATTGTTTCTAATAATGTTTCAATTCTGCAGAGGAGTCCAATAAAAAGCATCCGTTCCCCTGTCCAACCACATACCGCACGGCGCTGACCCATTACCTTGACATCAATAACATGCCCCGTACAAATGTGCTGTATGAGCTGGCGCAGTACGCCTCCGATCCCCAAGAACAAGAGAACATGCGCAAGATGGCGTCTGCCTCCTCTGAAGGAAAGGTTTGGATCATGTCATAATCACTGCTGTAATGTCTATAGTAAAATATTTTCATAAACATTTTCACATTTGAAATAGTTAAACCCCAGGTAAACGAATTAATATATATATATACTGTTTAATATATAAAAGCTCTAGCATTGTGGATCCTCATATTGTACACTGCTGACTGTACTATTACCTGTACTGCACTGTACCTTTTTTCCATCAAACGCTGAAACTACTGTTTATACAACGTGCGGTGTTTCTGTAAATATGAGGCACATGATTGGATATCTGTTGCTAAGCATTTAGTCCTAACATTTTAACACCACGTTTACCACTGTTAACGTATGGTGCCGCATTGCAGGGTTAACACAGCGAATGCTCCAGAGGGTTCCCTGATTAAAAGCGATGCTAACCCCGCTTTTAAATTACAAGTACGAAATGTTCTTTTACCCGGGGTTAAAAACGAGGTTTAAACCGATGATAACCCAGGGTTAAGAACAGTGTGAAAAGCCCTCACGAGATTTTTTTCACCATCTGATTGCTCATTTTAGGCTCTCTACCAGAGTTGGGTTGTGGATTCGGAGAGGAACATACTGGCTATTCTAGAGGATCTCCCTTCCCTGAACCCTCCTATAGATCACCTGTGTGAGCTGCTGCCTCGACTTCAGGCTCGATACTACTCCATCGCCTCCTCCGGCAAGGTCAAATCCGCAGTTTTTCGATATTATACCTTGAATTAGAAAAATTTGAGTTTGGCTCTAACTTTGTTCATTCTATTTTCAGGTCCATTCAAACTCTATCCACATCTGTGCTGTAGTGATAGAGTACACCACCAAGACAGGAAGAGTCTTCAAAGGTGTGGCCACTAACTGGCTCAAGAACAAAGATGTGACCGATAACGGTCACAAGCCCACCGTTCCCATGTATGTTAGGAGATCCCAGTTCCGCCTGCCTTTCAAAGCCAGTAATCCTGTAATCATGATCGGGCCTGGAACTGGCATCGCCCCCTTCATGGGCTTCATCCAGGAGAGAGCATGGCAGAAGGATCAAGGTGTGGCTTGAAACTTGCTTTGACACAACATGTGTACCATAATAAAGCAAAGGTATCTCACTCAGTTTTTGCTCTCTGTTGCAGGGAAGGATGTTGGTGAGACGATACTTTACTTTGGGTGTCGCCATAGGAACGAGGACTTCCTGTATCAGCAGGAACTGGAGGATTTTGAGAGGGCGGGTGTGCTGACACAACTTAACGTTGCTTTTTCCAGAGACCAGGAGCACAAGGTGAGTGACATGGATATGCTGAAATTAAAATCCTGCTAATAGCGATAAGTTATTGCCATGTTATGGCCGCCACAAGCGTCTGAAGTTAAAATTCTATACTATTGTCTAAAAAAACAGTTCAAAAAGTGACAATTTTAACATGCTATATAAAAATATCTAAATAGGTATTTTGAGCTAAAACTTCATATACACACTCTGGGGACATCAAATACTTATTTTACATCTTGTGATAAGGGCATCATACCACCCCTTTAACACGGTTACATTCACACACAGTTCAGTTATTTACGGGAGTGACAACTGGAGTAAATTTTAACAACAAAAACAACAGGACTCACAACTGCATTCTTGGAAAATCCCTCCTGTGTGAACAGAAAACTAGGTGTTTGTCACGTCATACAGTGTGAGAGAGATACTCTGTGCTGCACACCTGTAAGTAAATGCGGTTGCCAATCCCAAAAACTGACTGTGCGAACGTAGCCTTTTAAGTGAGCGATAGATGACCGCAAATCTGATCTAAGTCTACATTCACACTGTCAGTTTTTGGGATTGACCACCATATTTACTTACAGGTGTGAGTCTCGAAATGTCCCATTCAAACAGAAACTTACAGTAGCGTCTGCGTCTCAAATACTGTCTGTTTGAACGTGCAGCGGGAGTCAAGCCTGTATTCTCTTACCAGTAACCATAAGCGACAGTGACCAACGTAATATCAAAGATGGAGGTGTCCAGCTTCCGTTTTAAATGGAAGCTGTATTCTAGATTTATTTGCATTTAAAGGTGTACTACATATTAGTTTTCTTTTTTTCCCACTTATTAATCTTCTTAAACATGACAGGTCTTTGTTGTGGATACAGCATCTTACAGTAGTTTTCAGTTTCTTCAAAACTATTATTCTGATAAGTAATTCTGTGGACTATCCTGTTTTTGCAGATCTATGTGCAACATCTTCTGAAGAAAAACAAGGAGCAGTTGTGGAAGCTCATTCATTCAAATAATGCCCATATCTATGTTTGTGGGTAAGAACCAGAAGTTTCTGCTACCACATGTTGAATAGATGAATAACATTCTTATGAGAACAGTCCGTACTAGTTGTTAACTGGCAGGATTGAAGTGGAACTATAAACAGCTTGAAATAATTATAGTGTTACCATATAATTATATCATTTTGCTAGCATAAAGTGGTAAATAGTGCCATTCTTCAATATAATACTGCATCTCTTTCCAACGTCATAATTACATGCATATTTAATGTGAATATGTGTCCTTGCAGAGATGCACGTAACATGGCTCGGGATGTTCATGCAGCCTTCTATGAGATTGCAGAGGAGATGGGCGGCCTGACACACACTCAAGCTGTGGACTATTTCAAGAAGCTGATGACCAAGGGCCGTTACTCTCAGGACGTTTGGAGCTAAGCTTACTGATAACTCCAGATGTTTGGAGCTAAGCCACTTTACCTCAGATGATAATTTCTTCAAAAGCAAGAGCTAAAACATCCAATTTGCCTGGACTGATGTATTGCTGTCAGGTTGTTTGTCTCAGTTATACAATAGTTTTGATTAACTAACATAATGCACATGGCCGAGATCAGAGCGCTCCAACATTACACAAAAGTTTAACATTCTTCCTTTAGATGAGTTTATGATATTGAACCTACTGTAACAGGAAACTGAATTTGAACCCTAAGCGAACCGCGGTATTGGATGTTGATGTATACGCAAATGTAGGTCATGGATGCAAATTATTCCTTTGCTTCTTTTTTGAGTGAGGCCTTATTAAGAATGTTCATGTATTCTGTCATACTGATTATTTTATCTCTCTGTGAAAAGACTGCAAATATCACTTTGTGACGTACTGTAAAACTTTAGATTTTGTTTTTGTGACATTGTTAATCAAAACATACTACAATGTGTTTACCATTTTATGTCAATCGTGCTTTTTTGATATTGTGGCATTCATTAATTATAATTTTTTGTGCTGTCAAAATGTTCTGCCACTCATCTTAATTCTATGCATTATTTCACACTAGCTTTGAGTAGCAATGAATGAGCAATTATGCAATCAACATGACCTCCATTATTGGGTGAAGTGTTACATGCTGTTAGTCAATTTTTAATGTTGTCTAACAGTTTTAAGCAAACTGGTCAAGTTTTAATCTGGAGGAATATATTAAATATATGTAACAGATGCATTTATGAAAAGAAATGTAGGTTCTTCTCTCATTTTCAAAAATGTTCTCCTTTTCGGTACGAGTTTACCACAGATTTCTACAAATGGTTATGGACTCAATTCATCCCCCTGGTGAGCCAAAGCTGCAATTGCAAAAAAAGGTCAAGCATTATGGTTTTTTGTTTTTAAATGACAAGCTTGCGTTTGTTTAATTATAAACCTTAATAAAACTTGCTTGGGAAGTGAATTGTCATTGTGATATCAAATATGTTTTGTGCAGCATTGTGATTTTAATAATGCAATGTTTGAAAATAAATATAATATGCACAAACACTGGCTGGCCTAAAAATTTGTTTGTTTGAATGTGCTTAAAAATAATTACTGCAGTATAAAAAAAGCACAAAGAATTTATGCAAAACGAAAACAATATATATATATATATGTACAGGTTTTACTCATTTAATTCTTTAAAGTACAAAAAGATAAAAATGTTCTGTATCAAAACGGCAACTGTATAAAATAAAGAACAAGTTAAACATCACCCAGGTATTAAAGATGGAGGCATCTGAGTTCTGGGAACAAGACATGAGGTATCTAAAGAAGAAACCTACAGCTAAGGCATCAAAACCCTAGGATGAGAATGAGACAGAAGTTCCAAGAGGATTTGTGGGAAATCCAGGCACTCCAGACTCAGACTGCGAGACCTGAGGTGTAAACGGCACTCCTGGCTGAGGTAGTTCACTGAAACACTGCTCTGCTATATTAAACGGAGGCCTGAACTGATGCTGAGCGTATGGGGACACTGGCATCCACGGGCTGCCGGTGTGATGGCTGTGCCCATGGTGATGTCCGTGACTATGACCGTGACCATGTCCGTGATTGTGACCAGTGCCGACTCCAGTGTGAGGGGAAGGCAATGTGAACTGCTGTTGAGGGTACAGTGAAACGGGCCAACCATCGAATGTGTTGGGCAGGCTTCCTGTAGCTGGACCATTGACTGCATTTACTGGGGCGTACGCCTGGACTGGGTATGACCCTGGTGGAATGTCTCTGGAATTACAAAGATTATAAATAAGCACAGTTACCCATGTACCAGGGTATCTGCAGTGTTTTAAAATCAACTTTAAGACCTTTTCTTAAAACCTGCAAAGATAAAATGAATGTTCTGTATGTCCATACAGAATAAACCCATACAATCTCAAAATAATGTATCTTAGATAATTTGACTTGATTAAACAAGCTGTGGCACATTCAACAAGGACATCATATTAATAAATTATGCATAATATGGGATTTTTTATTTCAAACAAGCCCGAAATACACTGTTTCACTACTTCCAGTTGCTTGTTCCAAAAGATGAGGAAGATAAAATATGCATGTCATAATGTCATAATTCATCATCAATATGCAATCATTTGTTATAACTGCTGAAACTACAAGCCTGTAGAACATTCAACAGTGGCACATATTTACTGTTTTTACTCTGAAACATGCAGCGCTCTTGATTAAAGTTTAATTATCACATTAGGATGTTTTCTGATTCCGTTTTTTCCCTCCACAAATTTCCGTCTTTTTAAAATGATCATTAAGACCTTTGTTAAGACTTTTTAATGACATTATATTTGCTAAAACTGCTAAAATGTAAGACTCTTTAAGGACTAGAAGGGACCTATGTACTACAACTTATAAGACCCATGTCCTGTGTTTATTTTATTCTTTGTTAATTATTATACTATAGGTTTCAGTGATCACTCACGTGAAGTCAAGTGGCTTTTTGCGTTCTTCGGCCGATGCAGGGATGAACTGGACACCAGGTATCCGCTTTAGCAAGCGAAAAGGGAACTTCTTATCCAAGACGGAAGCTCTAGATTCTGACATCTCCAACAATGAAAACCATCCCATTCCATCTGAAAGTACTAAGTTAAGGAATAGACTAGAAATCCACGACTCTACACTGATTTAACTACATCATAGGATTGTCAGCTTTAAAATCCAGGTCTGTATTTTGAAACAAAAAGTCTTAAGTATTACATGGATTTAAGAATTAAGGATACATAAAATTCCGGTGATGATGGCCAGGACGTTACAAATAAAGGCAGTGTTTGGAAAGAACAGAGTGATAATTATTAGAATAATCCAGGGTAGAGATGCAGTAGGCACATTGACGCCCATAATATATGCCTTCTGCATGGAGGAACTGATGGTTATCATTCCCAGGACAGAGAGAGCTAATGGGGTGAACCCATTTACTGAGCTCCTACTGGACGGGGAGAACAGCAGTGACTCCAGCAACACATGGAAGAGTCCACTGATGGACGACAGCAGCAGTGACCGGTACAGGAATCTGACAGTTCCAATTCCTCTTTCCAGCCCACTGCAGGGAAACACCATCAGGATGGCACCCAGGAAGAAATGTATCATATTCTTGTGGTATAGGAAATAGGTGAAGAGTTTGTACACTGTGAAGAAAGGGGACAAAAATTAAGCAACACAAGGTGTATATATATATATATATATATATATATATATATATATATATTAAAAATATTATATATTTGTATTATATATATATATATATATATATATATATATATATATGGTGCTAATGCAGTAAATGGATTTACATATTTATATCTGAAGCTCTGTGTGATTATTGTGTAAATGTGATTATTTTAAATAATGCAGGCTGAAGGCTTCAGAAAAAGCATATCCCATCAATTAACAACCGTGTAGCTCACAGTAGCCCTGTCTTTAATGGTTTATAAGTTATCATTAAAACGATCTATTCCCTAATGGAAAATTAACAGGATCTGTACTTCTGGAACCAGTATGTTGCACACTAGTAAAACACAGCAGTTGATTTGCTTATGAATAGTTGCGTTGTTTGAATAATAATAAACTAAATGAATCTCTTTCAACAGTTTAAAAATTGCTGTAAAGGATTTATGCAGCAAGCACTCCCCCATCATTCAGCTATCCCCACCCCCAAATTCACGACATTTGTCGATGCTGCCCGAGACATACATATCTATGGCCCGAGACCCAATGCAGATTTTCTGATTGGCTAACATACGTGAAAGGGGGCGGGGCATAACTAAAGAACTCGTCTTCCTTTGTTTAAATAGCCAATAACAAGTTTCAGTCATAGAACATTCTACTTGCTAGTTACTTGTGAGTGGTATTAGTGGGCAGGGCATTCTCATTCTAGCACTTTTTATTAGACAAAAATCTGTCAACAATATTTATGGTCAGTTTCCCTGAAGAAAGACTATATTTTAAATGTACTAAAAGGGAATTTTGTCAAAGTTTAGAAGTACACTAGCATATACTTGGCACCAGAGGTAGCAGACATGGACGAAACACCACAAAACTCTCATTTTGAGTTGTTTAAGGTACGTCTGCCAAACATAACGTGATTGACACATTCATTATAAACATGAATTGTAAGTAACTTATAGTACTTGTAAGTATAAATGGTAAACAACTCTTACCATGGCCGCTGATGACAGCACTGGACTCCAGACTGAAAAAGTGCTCCGAGAGATCAAAGTAATATGGTATGAAGCTAAAAACACATGACAGCACAATCACAAATACTATCCCAAATGTTAACTCTGAATCCGGTGCAAAACCCGCAAACGTCTGCTTCCAGGTTTTCAAAGTGTTATGCATTTTCAGGTCGCAGAATGTGCACAATTTACAATACACTCTTAAAGAATAATTATTTACGTGGAGCGGACATAGACAGTAGGGGAGCGGACCCTTTTCGTGTTTTTGCTGCACTCGAACAGCAACTTCCGCGCTAGAGGAAAGGTTAATCAAGGGGATCAAAATGCGCAGCTTTTGCGCAGTTTAGTGCCAACTATATTTCAGCCTCGTGTAGTGTCATACACATATTACTTAGATTAGAACAGAGCCACAATAATAACTGTGAGTCAAATTTAAAAAGGTAGGCTAATATTTTCAGTGGCCACTTTTAATAGTAGGCCTATATGGTGTGCTTGTGTGTGTCAAATTATGAATCAGTGGTAATTAATATTGTTTATTTTCACACAGATTAGACAAGTTATTTGCATATTCAATAAAATTGTATGTACATGAATTACTCTGTAAATCTGCTGGGTGGGGAACAAATTAATGTGTTGTTGACTAATGCTTCCTGAGTCTTTTATTGGTCTCTAATATGGACTTCCTAATATTGTGGCATTGCGTAGTGTTCCATTTCGTCACAATTTTTTATCACGGTGTAATAAGCGAGTGTATAAATATAATAACAATAGAGAGAAATTACTGAAAAATGGTTACAAAAGAAATAGATATAAAACAGACACAGATTAGGCCTAAATCTGGCTCTTATCATGGAGACAAATTAACAGGTAAACAGCTGAAAACAAAGCATGAGAAGGAGAGGCCAGATGCAAACCCCACCTACTTTGTTTGAAAACACACTACTATGATGCAAGTATGGGTGGAACAACTTTTGTAAAACTCAAAGCGGTTATTCCACTGAAATAAAAGCTCTGGCTGTTAAAAGCAGCCATACCTGTTAGTCAATGGAGCTGATTTACAACAGATAAATGAAACCACAGTATCACCAAAAGATAACCATTTAAATATATATATATATATTTTTACATTCTGAAAAAAACATTGTCTCTTAAAATAGGGTTAATGAATAAGCCATTTTCTCAGTTGACAACTAAATTAAGCCATTATGCTTGAAATATGAATTAAATAAATGTGTACATAATGAAAAATATGATTATTATTATATATATATGTGTATTTAAAATACAGTTAATATGTAGCTTTGCTAGAGGGCAAGTGCACTATGTGCTTTGAAGGGAGGGTGTGTGTTGAAGTTTAGGTTCAGGTGGGTGGTGCACATAACTAAGTGTTCACTGATACACTTCACTGATACACTTCACAAGACAGCCAAACCTGACCGTGTTTGTAGTTACTTAGAGGCTTTTGTCTGTTTTACATTTTTCTGAAGTCTGAAAGGACACATTTTAGCAGGCTGATTCCAGATAGTCTGTGGGGAAACAGGCTGTCAGGTTGTCAACAGAGAAACATTTCTGTGTGAGTGAAGAATATCCATGGTTTGGTGTGTCTGTGGGGATCATGATTTGAAGCACAGCAGGTTGTCTACACAACTGTCCGGAAGGTATGTGATGAATAAATTAATTTATTTTAATTGTGAATGAATAAATCAAATATTTTGTCTTCATTTTATGATTAAAATATAGTCATGTGCTAAAAAAAAGGTTCTGACTACAAAGTTTATTTTGTTGGTTTGGTAATGTTTTATAGACTGTTGTATGTTATTTACATGAGTTTACTATTTACTATTTTGTATTGTTAATTAAAGATGTCGTATATTTGTGATTTTGTTATTAATTATAAATAAATTGTTTTATGAATAAATTGTATATTACTGTTGTATATTGTATATCATTGTTGATAAGAAGTTGAATTAAGTAGTTTCATAATCAAAAGAATCCATATTAAAAACAACAGCATAACATAAAATACTGTCAAATATAGAATACCTTATATATGCTATTTAATATACACTACTTTTTTGAAAGAAATTAATAATTTTATTCAGTAAGGACAAATTAAATTAATCATAAGTAAAGACATTTATAATGTTACAAAATATTTCTATTTAAAATAAAAGCTGTTCTTTTGAACATTCTAATGATCTATTTAAGATTCTTACAAAAAAGATTTTCAACAAAACTATTAAGCAACACAACTGCATCCAATATTGACGATACTAATAATAATAAAAGAAATCAGCTTTAACATCACAGAAATAAATAAACTGAGCAATTCCAATAGGGTCCTCTCACCATCGGTGCTCGGGCCCTAATTACATTTTTAAATATTAAATAATTTGAAAATTATTTATTTAAATAATAATTTTGAATATTTGAAAATATAAAGACGTGTAATACATTTTCTTTCATTTAAGAATGATATACATTTAAATTATGAATTTAAAAAATATTTAGCATTATTTAGAACTTATTACAGTGAGATTTAAACACTGCGCCAAAAAAAGAAGAAAAAGTTATTGATTTAGCTATTCATCAATATTCATCAATTATTTCCTCCCAATGCCTAATCACTGATAACATTCACTTTTCTTTACTGTACATTAGATCTGGTCAGTTTTATTTAACTGTACTCCCACTATTGATTTAACTTTGAAAGTTCTAGACAAACAAGGAAAAGGTTAAGCAAATGTTTGTGAAAATTCAGTTGGATTTACAAAATAAACGTAAAATTGAAAGTTCGACATTTACTACAGCTTTAAAAAAAAATTGTATTACTAGTTTCTTTTGAGTAATTTCTTTGCATCTGATGCCAGGTAAGTTTTCTTTCTGTATATTTCAGAGGGATGGCGAGCAAACGATTGAGTAGATGGAGTCATCTGGATTATGTGTTCTTCCTGGTCCTGCTCCTGGTTTGCCGTCCAGGTAAAGTCTGGTGCTTGTATAAGACACACCTGTGATCATTATACAGCTCTGCTTAATTTCAGGGACTGTCCTCCTGTTTGCTCACCAATATGCCACAATACTACCCCGCATTTGAGTTTATAGAACAAAGGTAGATGATGAAAGTAAAACGTCTATTTGCGCAATGTGGTAACATTAAACAATGGCTTGTGTGACTTCTAATGGAGATCCAGAGGTCTTCATATCCTGTATTCTGCACCTGGACATATGGGGTCCAAAAGACTGCTAGTGAAAGTACTTGTTGCATTTATCTAATTTTGTAGAAGTGTATTATTAGTTATATGACAGTGTTTGTGTAAAACCTGATGATGATCATGTGATCCTGCATGATAGTGTGTACATGATCACTGTCACAAATCTGGTTATCTGATTAGTGACCTAGAAATACAACATACTTACCCCACTTTATATTAACATATTTGCCACAGTCAATGTATTTAGGCTGTATATTACTCTATAAGCAGCAGTTTGTTCAGATTACATTTGTCTGCGTGTCTCTACTAGTGTAAAGAGAAACATCTCAGATATATTGTTCTCTGTTCCTGTAATGGGAGTGTATCTGAGTCACTTAAAATATGGGCTGTGATCACTTGTAAACACAATAGTTTAACTGAAACAACCATACAAATAAAGCTCAGTCAACCTGCTGGACATGTTTTAGTCTAGAAGAAAACAAAAGCCAATTTATGAATCAGCAAAATGAGCAGACAAAAAGAAAGAGATATAGACAGATAAAGAGTAGCCCTTCATTAAAAAAATCTATTATTAAATCTAATCTATTAAATTAGGATATTTTAACATGATGCATGTTATAACAATACATTTAATGTGATTTAATCTTTTCTGTATTTTTTATCCCCTACAGTGACGTCAAACACAACTGTCACAACAACTAGCTTTTCACGCATCACATCATTTATTCCAGCCACAAATTTGACAACAGTGACTGGAGGAACCACAGATAACATTACAACCGAAAGTCCCTCATTGACTACAAGCTCTCTTACCACGCTGACGGGAACCTCAACCACATCTTCAAACATAAGCACAACCCCAGCAATGACACTTACGACGAAATTAAACAGCACTGATCTAACTACGGAAAACACACCATACACATCCACTGCAAACACAGCCTTTTCTGAATCAACCACAGTCTCCACATCCACTGAAATCACAACTTTATCTGAATCAACCATAAACTCCACATCCACTGAAATCACAACTTTATCTGAATCAACCCCTATCTCCACATCCACTGAAATCACAACTTTATCTGAATCAACCCCTATCTCCACATCCACTGAAATCACAACTTTATCTGAATCAACCATAAACTCCACAACATTCACAGAAACAGTAAGTACTACAAATAGACCATTATTAGCACAAACGCTCCATTTCCATCCTACTGTATGTTATAAGACACCATATTAATAGACTCATTGCCAATATCATCTTCAAGCCCGAACCATCATCCTCTGCCTCTACAAATGATACAACACCACTGATGACAACCATTAACCAAACATTTACCACGACCGGTAAGACATAATGTAAAGATTTATCTCTGTGTGAACTTTCTATCTTATTTTAACCCCCTTTATCTAATATTAGGTTATTCTTGTTTAGTTACAGCATCCACACCATGTAACATTTCTCAAAGCTGTGATGGTAAATATTACAATTTCAACAAACATAATGGCACATTTTCCTGTTAAATGGAAGGAATACAATGCATAACTGACTCTTTTGGTCTTTGTTAGTATTTTACTGGATTACTACATCTGTAGAGGTAATGGGAACACCCCAAAGTGAACAAAATGTCACAACACAAGTAAGTTCAGGAATGATACTGACTCAGCTATTTTATTTTATTTTATTTATTTATGATTATTTTTTATTTATTTATTTATTTATTTTTATTTATTAATTTTATTATTATTTTTTGTTTTTAAAATTGTTAATTTTTTTATTTTTTTATTTATTTATTTTTTATCTTATTTATTTTTATTTTATTTTATTTATTTTTGGCCTGGTTTCACAAACAGGGCTTAGATTAAGCCACGATAAGGCCTTAAAAAAACATTATGGTTTGCTTCTTCAGACAAAACAATGGCACTGACATATTTTAAGATATTTCAAGTTGCTTTCAGTTAAAACACCTCAAACATGCATTTTAGTCCGAGACTAAGCTACCAGCAAGCGGGTCTAGGTAAACTATAGACCCGATATAGTCCGGCTATGAGTAACCCACTTCTATAGCCAAAATAACCTTGAATTTGGGTACATGTCGTTTTTGCCAAAATAACTTGCGAAATGTATGATATTTCATCAAGCAAGTCAACAGTGATTACAAGGTGTTTGGTTTAATTTCTTTAACATGTTATCTAATTGATGACTTATGCTTGGGCTATGGTTAGAAGTCTATAAAATTTTCACTGACAGTGACAGCCCAAATTTTGCCTCGTTTTAACCTAGACGTCAGGGCTGTGTTTGGAAGGCTATTAGACGTCTTTTAAAGGCAAAATTGCTTGCTGGACTTAAGCTTTGTCTGTGAAACCAGGGGGGCATTTCCTAGATCATTGATATTTATTATAACTGTTTAATCATATTGAAAACATATTAAAATGTACAATTTTACAATAACTATATATTGCATTTTTAAATGTAATTTAATTGAAAACTGTTAATAATGAGAGTTAACGGTTGGAGAATATATAAAGCAATTATAGTGTCTATAGGAAAATATGTAAATGCTTTACCGTTTTCTGTCATTCTTTGAAAAGCGGTAATTTAACTCGGTCATCTGCAATGTGTTTTTCAGCTAAAGGAGCTTATCGGACTCAAACTAAATGCATGTGTTAATGCAACTCAAAACTTAAGCAGTTCAGAAAAAGACCCCAGGATTTTTGAAGTAAGTGCTGAATCAGTTACCTTGGTATTTCATCAGATTTCATATAATATGAATGCACATTTACTTTTATGTTCCAATATTAGGTCATGGAGCTCACATGTGATCAAACAAATATTACAAAGTCAGTATCAAATGCTTATCTCCTCCATATCAAACATATTTAAGCAATAGATGAAATGATTTTAAGCTATAAACTTTTCTTCATCCTGGTGTTTTCTGACAGGATTGCACAATGCTTTATTCTTCTGAACTGGAGTGTTCCTGACAATGTTTGCTGCTTTAGAAATACACTGACAGGGATGCACTCGAACATCAATGTCAGTGTGGTGGGACCAATAGAAACAGTGGGTTAGTAAAATTCTTGTCTTTTAATAACACTAATAATTTTGGTTATTATACATCAAGTTTTTGCTTAATGTATTAATGTTTTATATTGTTTTTATATAAAATAAAAGTGCTATGTATAGAATTGTGTAATTTTTTTAAATGTTGACATAGACTGCGATTTCCACCAGATATAGTATGATTCTTTTAGTATAGAAATGGAAAATGTGCTTCTATTATACTGTTTTGTACTAAAATACTAATAAATTGTACTGTTTTAATATCACATAATCTAAAAGATGTGAAGATTTGAGTGAGATGGATATGTTTTTGGGCAGGTGTGTGTGCAGATAACATTACACAGATCTCAGCTGGACAATACGACAAATGTAATCAATCAATCACACTTGATGAATTTAGAGCAGCACCACCGAACATCTCATGGTAAGTTTACAATCAAACTGGAAAGGATGGGGGATCTGTATCCTGCTTATTTGAGTAGGGTACAACATATACTTTTTTATTAAACAATAATTTTGACATGCTTAGTTTTCTTTATATCCTGTCTCATTTTATTGTACTTATTTTCGTAGTGGAAACAGTCCAAATGTGATTTTTCCATTGGATACTGGTGTTCCTGTGGTCTGTCATACTCCATGTAAGGATTCCTTTATTCTCTTTCATAAACCTTCTGTGTACTTTAGATTCATTTCGTCACTCAGAAATGTGACATACTTTAAAGATCTTTATAATTAGACATTTATGATCGGTCGCGTGTCATGATTTATTTATTACGTTTTCTTTTGTTTTTCCGTAAAGTAACGCCGTGTTATTGTTCTTCATACTGCAAAAGCTCAGGTAAGACAAGTTTATCATGTAAAAGAGTCTGTAGTAGAAAGTAGTAGAATGTAAATATTAAGGTCAAAGGTTATACTTACCGGTACATTTCTTCCTCTATTTTAGATTTTTACTATTACACGAACATTTCTTTGAATTATGTAATGGACAACCCTAAAAGCCAAGTAAGTAACACGTAGTGTTGAATTCAGATGCCTGAATTTGAATTAATTAGTCTATGAGTTGCATTATGATTTGTCATAGTACTATTGATCCATATATTTATTTTTGTTATTTGTCAACAGATTGCACATTTTTTGAAAAACTCTACATGCCAAAACACGTCGTAAGTTAGACAAATCTTACTGTATCTTTATCTTTTCAAATAAAAATGTACATTTATTTGTCAGATAATGTAATTTATGATGCATTCATTTTACCATTGTGTGTGTGTTCCCTGAGTATCGAACTCACAACCTTAGCACAGTACAGCACAATACTCTACCATTTTCACTACAGGAACTATAAAAATAGCTATTGAATGTAGTACGTTAACACTCCTTTTTCTCTTCTCCATTTTAGATATGTTTGCAATGTTTCACAAACTTTCATAAGTCACCTTCAGGTAAGATATCTTCATATCAATGATAAAAGTAAGATGTTTCAGTCTTAGAATGGTTCAGATCTCCTAACTATTTGCAATTTTGATTCATGTAGGATTCAAACGTGATTTGTGACAAGTATGTTGAGTCTCATTGCAGCATTATGTTCTATTAAAGTTTGTTTTCAAGTTGCTGGGTGGTTCATGTACTGCTCCTTTTTTTCCAGGATTACCGGTAATTGTAAAATTATAGTTAAACTAGATACAGCCATGGACTTGTGTGAAATTCACGCAGCTCTAAAGGCCATCTTAGAACCACATAACGACTCTTTGAGCTTTGGCGGAGTTGTGAGCAGAATGGGTAAGTGTCTTCTGTAAACATAGTTATATATCGAATGTATATCTGAATATATCTGATGATGTGGTGGTTATGTTGATTTTCAGCAATCTGCTCTTATAATTCTACGAATCCTTTAAAAGATCTCAAATGGCAGCCATCTTTGAATACAAGTTCTGAAGTCTTCTGCAATGAGTCAAACAGAGAAAACTTTAACGGATACTGGTTAGTAGAGCTACCTCAATGCTTGTCTTTGCATATAATGTGTCATATATGTAGATATATTTTTATACATGATATTTGTTTTATACATATAATATACAGTAGTAATATACAAGTAATATACATATATGTAATATATGTGTGAATGTTAACAATGTGCAAAATTTTAAATGATTAAAAACACGCATTTAATGTTTTTAACAATGCTTTTTATTTATTATTCGTTGTACAGCTCAGAGGGCGTAAGTACAGTCATTCCCCTAAATGGCAGCTGTAATTCATCTGCAACCCTATCCCGAGACACCACCACAACTCCTCCATCTTTTACAAGTACCACGCTCTCAAACACAACATCCATCAAGCCTTCTGTGAATGTAACAACTTCACCTGCTAATGTAACAACCTCAGGTAATGTAGAACATGTACTGTATGTGTGCATTCATACACAGTCTAAATATAGAACATTAAGTAAAAACAAAATTTGTATAAAATATTATTTCATGAAGAAAAGGAAATTGTCACATTATTGTAATGACAAATAAGCAAATAAAATGTTTTTCTCGCATTACAGTAATGACAAAACTGACAGGTCTCTAGAGATTCTCCTTGTTACTGTCATAAATCGGCTGAATTTTTTTCGCTTTGTCTCCCTTTCCTCTTGGTTTAGGATCCTCGAACACATCAGGGACATTAGATGCTGATGGACTGTTGAATTTGAGTGCAAATGCTTCATCTTTAAACGCCACTCAGGTGGAGCAGCTCTTATCACAGCTTGAGATACTTTTGTCTGGGCCCAATGTCAGCCTGGCTCTGGCAAACACTTCCGTCAATATTGTCAACAACCTCCTTGATGTTCCTGTAGATGTAATAACTCCTTTCTCAAATAGGTGAGATGCCCTCTACAAAAAGATCTGTGTCATGTGCAAGAGCGCCCCATTTATTCTAACATAACAATAAAGTATTGAGTGTCTTATAATGTCAACCAAGAAAGTATATTTACCTGAACTATTCACTTTTGGTTTAGCTGTACATGGAATACACTATTAAATATAGTCTGACTGACACCCAAGCTGTTTGCCTCCGGTTACTATAGGGCCATTAGCATTGTGGACACAGTGGGTCTTAAACTGGTTGTATCAGAGACGAGTCAGTCAATACTTTCACAATCACTGGCTCTGGCAGTGAAGAAAGTTGATGGGGCCAACTTTCAGGAGACGTCCTTCTACTTAATGGATGCAGGTAACCTGCAGGTAACATCTCCTTCATAGTTTATTCTGATTCATCTTACAGACTTTAGATAATGGATATGTTGCTGTTTTGATAAATGCTGTAGAATACAAGAAAAAATACAGATAGATAAAAAATTATTATTATATTAAAGTTTATATATATATATATATATATATATATAATAATTTCAATGGGTTTACTATAAATTTTCTTCTTTTTTTAACTTCTTAATAATAGGTTTCTTTTAATTTGTAGTTTTTTAAAAGTGCTTTACTATTATTATTTATGGAAGCTTGTTTCCGCCGCAGAATAAAAAATAAAAAAGGTAATTGCGACTTTTTATCTCACAATTATGACTTTATAACACGCATGTTGCGACTTTATATCTCGCAATTCTGAGAAACAAAGTCAGAATTGAGAGATGTAAACTCGCAATTGTGAGATAAAAAGTCACAATTATCTCTTAAAATGTTTTATTCTGTAGTGGAAACAAGCTTCCATAACTACTTACTATTTGTTTACTATTAAAATTAAATTAAATTTGACCAGATTCGGACTTTACCAGATTAACTGCTTTTATTACAGGCACTTTTGACAAAAATCACTTTCTATATTATATATATCATGGCCATATATACAACACTACACAAATGAAGTGACAATAAATGGTGACGAATAAAATGTTTAGTTTTTAGTAAAGTACCTGATTTGGTTATGGTATGTTTGGCATTACAGATTCGAAGTAACCCTGGCCTGGAGACTGAAGACATTGCGTTTAGGGTTGGGTCCACTACTCTGGGTTCAGTCACCCTCCCAGCGTCCCTCACGCAGAACCTCACTGAAGACCAGAAGCAGCTCGCATCCAGAGTCCAGTTCAACTTCTTCCAGAAGAGCAGCTTCTTCCAGGTCTGGGCGGCAGGCGCATCTTCTGATACAGAGCAATGCTTTCGATTGAAATGATATGATCGATGACACAGTCTAGACATTATCTTGCTAGCACATCTCAGAACAAAATCTGCTTCTATTGCTGTACATAGGAAGCTTAAGTTTAATTCAGCTGAATCAATATCTGAACTCTTTTTGTATTTCTCTCAAATACAGGACAAATCACTGGGAGGACGTAAACTAAACAGTGGGATTTTGGGTTGCAGTGTGGCTAACCTGAGCATCTCTGGTCTACAGAAGGACGTGCTGGTAACCATACGAAACACAAAGCCCATTCCGGTAAAAATAAATAACATTAATATTATTCACAATTATTGAAACAATAATTTAACAAACACAATAGCTGCGTCCCAATTTAGAGGCTGCATCCTTCCAAGGCTGTATTTGCTGAGGCTTACAAATGCATGCTTCTTTGAATCTATCCCAAGAGTCATTGCACGCCAGATTACACTAAATTATATAAAATGCCAGATTACACTTTTAAATGTAAGAAAATCTAACAATATAAATGTTTATTTTTAAAAAATGTTTTTAATATGTTCAAATGCTGACATGAGATTTAATAGATAGTTTATACTTTACATAAATGGACCATGGTGAACATATTTAGACAGGTTGTGAACCCAGACAGTTGAATATAACTTTTTTAACGGCAGCTGTCAAAGTTGCTAAGCACAAGAACAGTCCTCCATAGGCTAGACCGTCCCATTTAACAACCGTCGGTCCGGCCTTCGCGGACATTTAAGGCGTGGCCTTTGAAGTCGCCGTCCTTCGAAGGACGCAGCCTCTGAATTGGGACACAGCTAATAACAGGTTTATACTTCAATACAATGTTGTTTTCTTGTCTTACTCTCTTTTTCTTCCTCCACAGTCTGGCTATGAAGCTTCCTGTGTATTCTGGGACTTTACCTTTAACGGTAAAAGTTGTGTTTTAATGTTCTCTTCTTTACAGAATAGACTCCAAGTCTGTGTGTTTTAAACATTGGTGGCCTGTTTGCAGGTAGCTCGGGCGGCTGGAATTCTTCTGGGTGCCGTGTGCTTAATTCTTCTGATGAAGAAACGCAGTGCGCCTGCAATCACCTTACCAGCTTCGGTATTCTGCTAGTGAGTTAACAGCACAAAGAATTTACATCCCTTGACATATCCTTGTGTAACATGACGTTTAGATTCTTTGCGATGCCATAATTGTGTTTGGTTAAATCTTGCCTGACAGGACATTTCCAAGACTCCCATCCCTCCAGAGCATCTCATCATCCTGACATACATTACAAACATAGGCTGTGGCATCTCGGCTGTTTTCCTGTCTATCACCCTGCTCACTTATCTGGCCTTTGGGTAAGGATCCTTTTGACCAATAGAGTGTCACCATTTAACTTTTAACCATCCACCATTTAACCAAGCTTGTTTAATATTGTAGTAAGAAGTCTCACTAAGTCTGCTTTTATTCGATTTTCAGAATTCTTTGATGAATAGAAAGTTCAAAAGAACAGCATTTATTTCAAATAGATTTTTTTTTGTCTTTACTGTTACTTTTGAATGCATGCTTGCTGAATTATTCATTTTGACTCTTATGAAACTTATGAATGGTAGTGTATGTTTAAAAGATAACATCTTTTTTTTTTAATCTCTCTACAGTAAACTGCGCAAAGACATCCCATCTAAGATCCTTATCCAGCTGTGTTTGGCCTTGCTGCTGCTCAACCTGGTGTTCCTATTGGACAGTTGGCTAGCTCTGTACCCAGATGCCTTGGGCCTTTGCATCTCCACTGCTTTTTTCCTGCACTATTTCCTCCTGGCGTCTTTTACCTGGATGGCACTGGAGGCCGTCCACATGTACCTGGCCATCGTGAAGGTGTTTAACACCTACATCTCCCGCTTTATGTTGAAGATCGGATTTGTTGGATGGGGTACGTGACTGATCTGTTAGTTACATTTTATCTGCACAAGTTTTGAAGGCTGCTTTGTTCAAATTATTTAGCCTGTCTTAGGGCATAAGACATCATAATTTTTTTTCTTTAAAGGCATTCCTCTCATCGTAGTCATAATCGTCATAGCCATTAACGAAAACAACTATGGCCTTGTGACATATGGAAAGTATGTAGATGGAGCAACAGATGATTTGTGAGTAACAATTCCTATATTTCTTAGGACTAAGTTGATATATATATATATATATATATATATATATTAATATGTATGTATATATATATATATATATATTGTATTTATATGAAGAGTTCAGATGCAAAATCCTCTAAGTGCCATCTGAAATTTTCTTCTAGAATGATCATTTTTATCAAGCTTGTATATTTAAGTTCAGTAATTTCACTTAAATGACAATGAAAATTATATTGTCATTTAAGTGTAATTACTGAACTTAAATATACTAGCTTGATAAAAATGATCATTCTAGAAGAAAATTTCAGATGGCACTTAGAGGAGGTTTTTGCATCTGAACTCTCTCTATATATATATATATACAATATACATATAAATACATTTATTTTAGAGTTAAACCTTAAACCTTACAGTTTTCTGTCACACTGTTATTATAAAATTAGTTTTTCCCTACAGTTGCTGGATAAAAAAAGAAGTAGTCTTCTACGTTGCTGTGGTGCCGTACTTCTGTCTCGTCTTCCTGCTGAACTTCACCATGTTTATCGTGGTGATGATCCAGCTGTGTCGCATTAAGAAGCAGAACCCTCACAATGTGCAGAATCGCAGCGGCTGGCAGGAGGTGCGCAGTGTTGCTGGACTCTCCGTGCTTCTGGGCCTCACCTGGGCCTTCGCTTTCTTCGCCTGGGGTCCTGTTAACCTGGCCTTCATGTACCTGTTTGCTATTTTTAACACTTTACAAGGTTGGTCTCAATTTGCACAGATGCTCCACCATTGAAGACTAAATGTACTCTTTTTAAGAAATCGCCTGGTATTATTGTGCACTATTCATCAGAAAGTTATTATGAAGAAAAGTAAAAAAGTGCGTTTTCAAAAACTTTTCAAAAAAAAATGTTCACACTTGAAATGACTTTTCAGCCAGTGGCTTTCAACGTGGGGCCTGAGGACCGCAAGAGGTGTCATTAGAAAATTTGAGGGGGAAAAAAGATTTGACAAATTATGTTCTTTAGGAATGTAAAAGATAAATACAATTTATTGTGAAACCACAATAGAAATAAATGAATATAAATTAATATAAATTAAGATTTTACAGATTATATTTTTATTTAATTGAATACAGTTTAAATTCATTAATTCAATTCACTTTTTGGCTTTAGTGTAGTGGCTTTAAAGGAGAACTCCGGCGCAAAATGAACCTTTGGTCTAATTACACATTGTTACCTAGTCAACCGTTATCTGAGATTTGTTTTCATGATTATCGAATGTAAATAGTTTTATCTCTAAAAACAGTTTAGCCTATAAAGCTAGTATAACGCTAGTATATTGGGCATAGATCAATTACAAATAAAAATCGCTTGTTAATACCACTAACAAGGCTCAAAATAGACCCACACTAACACGGTAGCATAATGAGGGTCCCTACCTTCAAACCGAAGCATTGAGAACTTTGTCAGTGTCCAGACAGTTTAATAAGAAGATATTTAATACATACAGTCAACTTCGCGTATACAGGCAGAAGCCATCTTTGAAATACAGCCTTTACCAATCAATCTACGAACGCCGATCCAAGCCTGCTGTTCGCGCTCACCTTATCACAACTTATAGCTCGTTCACATCTCACCAGCGCACTTGGATCGGCGTTCGTAGATCGACTGGTAAAGGCTGTATTTCAAAGATGGCTCCTGCCTGTATACGCGAAGTTGACTGTATGTTTAAAATATCTTCTTATTAAACTGTCTGGACACTGACAAAGTTCTCAATGCTTCGGTTTGAAGGTAGGGACCCTCATTATGCTACCGTGTTAGTGTGGGGCTATTTTGAGCCTTGTTAGTGGTATTAACAAGCGATTTTTATTTGTCATTGACTAGGTAACAATGTGTAATTAGACCAAAGGTTCATTTTGCGCCGGAGTTCTCCTTTAAAGCAACGTTTTTTTGGGTCATGCTACACTACCATTCAAATGTTTGGGATTTTTGTAATGTTTCTGATGCTCTTATAAATATAAGATTCAATAAGAGCTCAAATTAATATAACTGTTTTCTATTTTAATATAGTTTAAAAAGAAATGTATTCCTGTGATGGCAAAGCTACATTTTCAGCAGGCATTATACTTCAGTGTCACATGATCCTTCAGAAATCATTCTAATATGCTGATTTTGTGCTTAAAGGGATAGTTCACCCAAAAATTAAAACACCCTCATGTCGTTTCAAACCTGTAAGGCTTTCTTTCACCTTGGAAACACAAAAGAATATATTTTAATGAAATCTGAGAGCTTTCTGTCCTCCATTGACAGTCCACGCAACTACCCCTTTTACGCTTCATAAAGTTCATAAAGAGATTGTAAAACTAATCCATATGATTCGAGTGGTTTACTCCAAATTTTCTGAAGAGACTCGATCGCTTTATATGATGAACAGATTGAATTTAGGCTTTCATAAACATAAACATTCATCAACTCGCACATCAGGTTTGTTCTTGTGTCAAGCAGGTTCGGTTGAGCTTCTGTTTATGTTCGCTGATCAATATGTATATGTAAATAAAAGCGTCAAAGCGTGGTAGTTGCGTAGCTGTCAACGTAGAGACCGAAATCTCTCAGATTTCATTAAAATTTCTTTGCTGAATAAAAGCATTAAATTCTTTTGAAACAAATCTTAATGACCCCAAACTTTTGAACGGTAGTGTATCAATCGATCAATCGGTCAATCAATCATCTTAATCCAGACTAGTAAACAGTGATCATTTTTAACACTGTCCATTTTGTCAGGGTTGTTGTCTTCAGGTGCTACTTTAATCAGATAACGCAACCCACAGTGTCTTGGAATCCATCATATTATCAGGTGACACGTCAGGGTTTATTTTTAGCATTCTGATGGCATGTTGACACTAGAATACACCCTTCCCTTCACAGGATTATTCATCTTCGTATTCCATTGCGCAATGAAAGAGAACGTCAGACGACAATGGAGGACATACCTGTGTTGTGGCAGCCTGAGACTGTTAGAAAACTCAGGTACGAGGCCTTTGTAAGGTCATGCGTGTGTCTGACTTACTTTTATGTGACGTATTTCTCTAATTGCCGCCCTTTTCTCTTTGACGCAACAGAATGGAGTCGCACGGCAACTCAGAAGATAAACAAAGCCTCTAAGGAAAAGACTTCATTCCACTCATCGAATTCTAACAATTCTAGATTATCTTTCCTGAACCATGACAGTTTGGCATTTGATGTGCCTATGGGCATCGGTGAGTATTTCCTGCTAGACGGGCTGAGTTAATAATGCGTGTGAATAATCTTTCTGCATACGTTTATTACCTGAAATTCCTATTCGTGCAAAAGCTTTTTGTCTGTAATTGCAGACAACCCGATGGACAACAGGATAATAACTGCAGCAGAAGTGCCCATCTCAGGTTCTGACGTGGTATTGAATGAGATCAATGACCAGTACCGGGGTCAAAGGTCATACTGAATAAACTGACCACAGTCGGTATGAGCATAGATATCCATAATAAAGGCTAGATGTCTACGGCGGAGTCTCTATCGTCATTACCGTCGGCCATCTTGTCACAGGCAAGCTTTCTGGCGGGCTCTGTGGTACCGGATGTAAGATGAGTGATCAGCACGAACACAAATACTCTTATCTCGTTGAAATCTTGACGGATTTACAAACGGTTTGGTTTCTTACAAACGTTAGTAACGTGGCTATAATTCTGGATGATTATTTATTTATACACTTATTATTCATAAGTAAGCAGTGTCATTACTACATCTCTGACGTTTATAACAAACCAAACCGTTTCGGTAGAAAATTGAGCAAGTTATGGTTATTTAAAAAGTACATGCACCATTAAAACACAATGTTAGGAGTGAGCGAGCTGCCTGTGACAAGATGGCCGCCAGGTGCGGACGTCGACCCCCATTGGCCTGCAGCGCGGACGAGACATCTAGCCTTTATTATGGATATCTATGGGCATGAGTGTGTGTGCAGGCATGTCTAATGGTCTAACGAGAAACTGTATTTCAATTATGTTTTAAGTTTACTTAAAGTATTGCGTGTTGTATATACATCAGAAACGATATATATATTACTTCAAATGAAGCACTTTAATCAATGAAATTATTTAATGAAGCTACTACCATAACATAAAACCTTTTAATCCAACAAAAAAACATATCTGTTGGTCTAGGGTAAGTAGTTAGAATAAAAAAAGCCACGCAACTGTTATTGTTATGGTTCAATTACATTATTTTATGTATCTGTGAGTCTGCAATATGCAATTCATGTATGTTTTTTCAATTCATATAAGATTTTTTTTAAGACATTCATAGTGTTACTAAAGATTTCTATTTAAATGAAATGATTTCCACAAAACTATTAAGTAGAAAAACTGTTTTCAACATTGAAAAAAAAAAGTTTTTACCAACAAATCAGCATATTAGAATTTCTGAAGTGTGACTGAAAATTCAGCTTTACCATCGCATAAATAAATGACTTTTTAAAATATATGATAAAATAGTAAAGTTATTTTAAATTGTAATATTTCATAAAATGACTGTTTTTACTGTATTTTTGACCAAATAAATGCAGCCTTGGTGAGCATATGAGACTTTTTTCATTTAATAAATATGACCATCCCCAAACGTTTGAGCGGTAGTGTAAATGTTATGGGTCACTGTGATTGGTCCCTTTACACATCACTTCCTGTTCTACCAGAAAAACATGGCCCAAACTTTATACCGAGTCAAAAGTCTGTACTGTACAAGACTAGAACTAGAAGGGTGGTTATTTGATTTATTTTATTCACATGTTCATATAATTATTAAGCATATAAAGCAGGTTGTCTTGGTTTCCACATGGGGTGGCTTGAGAAAGAGACCCGAGTTAAATAGATAAAGCTGGGATGGTGGATGGATCTCATAAGAAAAGTTATAAGCAGCCATTTGTACAGTATATCCTTAAATGAGATGAACATGCTCCTTGAGTTTTAGAGTTCATTTATGACGAAAGACATTGCTTCAAATGGTATAAGGAATAAAAAATGTTTGAAAGGTCTCTTAAGAGAGTTTTTACACACAAACCATATCTAATGTCCACATAAATCTTTCTCCGGGGTAGCATTTTATCAACACTGTCCACTTTGTCAGGTCACTTGTGCTTATTGTAATCGTTTGTCCATTTGTCTCGTGCAATAACAGCACTGTGGCTTATCCTGGACTTATTACAGCAAATGATCAGAAAATCCCAAGCTACATAATCAAGAGTAGATACACCAGTAGATGATGTTGAAGAGAAGATATGCCACTGGAAAGAGGATTCTGGAGTACGAGTCGATCATGTAGCTGTTGCTCATTATGAATCGGATGTTTTTGCGCACTGAACGTTTCCTCCAAAGTCTCGTGCCTTCGGTGGGTGGCGGGTCAGTAGAAGAGGCCCTGGCCGGGATGGTCCGCGTGGTGCTGGGTGTGGTGGGGAGCTCGGGGAAAGGCGATACATCCATGTCATCGTGAAAGCAGCCATCATAGGCCATAGCCTGGGATGCGTTGTAAGAAACGGGAAGCTTTGGTAGGAAGCAAAAGAAAGAGAATATCTGTTATGGAGTACAAAATAACAATGATAAAAAAAATATTAATTTATTTTAAAATTGCACATTAAAGTAAACTAATGCCATTTTTAACCCATTTGATCTGAGTTGTTACTGCTGTAAAACTAATATAAATTAATATGGGGTTTCCTTCAACCACTGTCAAAATCTCTTTATAGTTTTAATTTTGTTAATAAAATTGAAAATAAAAATATACATTTGATTATTTATGAATTTATAATTGTATTATTATTATTAATAATAAATAGTATTTATATTATAATTTATTATTTATACATCATATATTATTGTTATGTGTTATCTTTTAATTTTGTTAATAAAAGGATGAATACATACATATAATATTTCTATTTAAGAATATTTTTATTGATTTTAAAATCTGTTGTTTTTATTTTTTTATCAAATAAATTATAATTTATAAATAATATAATCATATAGTATTTATCCTTTAATGATAAATAAAATAAAGATTTTTAAATCTGTTATTTTAATTTTGTTCATAAAATAACATTCACATTAAGATGTTTTAATTTTGTAAATAAAATTATAAAGAATTTTTATTTATAAATAAATAAATGGTTCATATTATATTACGAATTAGTAATTGTAACGTTTTGTTACACCAATGAAATAGTTTTAATTTGTTAACACAATTATAAACAATTTATTTATATTATATTACTTATGAATTATTATTATTATAGTATTTTGGCAGAAACTATGGTTACCATAGTAAACTTTTGTTATCCCAATGAATTTGTGTTGCCTTAAAATTACCATAGGGGGCGACGTATAACTTAAAAGTGAATATTCAGTCTTGGTCACAGTTAGCAGAGCAATATTCCCATATGTAACCTCTGATCAGTGTGTGACCCTGACCTTTCCTTTCTGAAGTTTTTTCATCTCTTCCACCGTAGTAAAGTAGTTCACGGCAGCATATTCGATGACCGACAGGAAAACAAAGAGAAAACTGGCCCAAAGGTAGATGTCCACCGCCTTCACATAAGACACCTGAGGCATTGATGCCGAGACGCCCGTTATTATAGTAGTCATGGTCAACACGGTTGTGATTCCTAGGAGATCAAAAGAGAGGGGAAGAGAAGCGCTTTTATGGGTAACAGCCATGACACGTTAAGAAGAAGTTCAAAAGTTCAAGCAAAGAATGTTTCCATTTATTACATTTCACACAAGAGCCCCCAGATTATGGATGTCAAACTGTGTGTAAAAGGAAATGAAAGTGTGAGAAATGCATGACATTCAGTACACATTTGCATCACTCACACACTGTAGGTTGCAACGATATTTCTTCTTAAGAAAACACACAGGAAGACATAGTGTGTGGGGAATTCTTCCATCCTGTCCAAAAACCACAGTATTGTGACTCTCTGTGGGCATGTGCTATGACGTCAGTGACGTGTGTGAAAAGGGCAACTTCCTGGCTGGGTGTCTAACGCCTGCTGGCCTGAGTATCAAGGTATTTTTGAGGTAATTTAATTCTGTTCTCTCTAAACCGGTTTGTGCTTGTTATAACCAGAGAGAACACAGTAAAACGCACACAGCTCATTACAAATCCACCTGGGGTGATTTAACAGAAACTGCCCGTCTCAGGCTTTACGTTGAGATCAGACCAGTTCAATAGAACAAATAAACAGAATACAGGTTTTTAAATGAAATCACCATGGTTGCTAATGGATATAGGATTCTAAAATGACGAGGTTTACCTAGAGAGACACGAGCCGGTACAGCTCTCCTGTCGATCCAGAAGGAGACCCAGGAGAGCATGACCATTAGCATTGTGGGAAAGTATGTCTGCAGCATGAAGAAAAATATGTGTCTCCTGAGGATGAAGTTTATGTACAGCCTGTTATACCAGCCTGATAGAAACAGAGAGTACAGGACATTTACAACAGATACTGAGAACAAGAAAGAAAGAGATTAAACCTACACTCTTAAAAATAACGTTTCCAAAAGGGGCTTTCACAGTGTTGGGGTGTCCATACTCGGTCCTGGACAGCCACTGTCCTGCAGAGTTTAGCCTCTACACTCCTGCCTGAAGTTTCTATATGTCCCAGTAAGAGCTCGATTAGCTGCTTCAGGTGTGTTTAACTGCGGTTGAAGCTGAACTCTGCCGGACGGTGACCCTCCAGGAGCAGGATTGGACAGCCCTGCCATAGAAGAACCTGTGCCCTTAAAAGAACCATTTATTTATTAGTATGTAGAACATTTTAATAATCAAAATAACCTTTTTCAACTATAAAGAACCTTTTGTGCAATAGAAAGATTCCATGGATGTTTAAGGTTCTTTATGGAACCATCAATGCAATAAAGAAATATTACAATATTAAAGGGGTCATGACATGAGAAACTGAATTTGCCTTGATCTTTTGGTATATAAGAGATCTATGTACTATTAAAACTTCCTGCAAGTTTCATAGCTTAAGACGTCCTCCCCATTATAAACGAAGCATTTATTTAATCAAGCTCTAAATACAGCTCGTTCTAGATCCTTTGAACTTAGTGACGTCACGGTACGAAGTGACGTACCAGTCGTTTGCATATGACCGCCTCCAGCGCAAGACAACTACGCCTCATTTCGCTCGATGGTGTTTTTAGCCCCCAATGGTTCCTTCCAGGCAGCTAACCCTAACCTCATCCCTAAACTTACCCATCCCCTCGGTGCCTGGAAGGCGCCGTTGGGGGCTAAAAACACCAAACACCCCTCAGCTCACACCATCGCATGCGTTGACGTGCAGCGAGTGGGTCTGTTTACAAGATGACTGCGATGCCACGCAGATGTGCTGTTCCTGGCTGTGGACAAACAACATGTTTGAATGCTGCCGTCGATCCGGACGTCAGGGAAAGTAGTTGGATGCAGTTTATTTGCAGCCCGCCAAAGCCTTATTTGTTCGGTGAGTGATGTAGATGAGTGTGACAGAGCGCATGTTACTGAAAGGAACGAGCAGAGAGAGAGAGAGAGAGAGAGAGAGAGAGAGAGACAGAGAGAAAGAGAGAGAGAGAGAGAGAGAGAGAGAGAGAGAGAGCCCCGGCCGCGCGCGCGCCTTCAAACTGTCATGCTCGCCCTCTCTCCCTCGCGCATATGAATCAAAATCAATTGAGAATTGACACGATGGTAAAAGATCGGAAGACCGAAGTTTCACGTGGCGGAGCATTGTGTACATGATGTGATACAAAATGATTAACGTTAATAATTTATGCATTTGCAGCACTGACGTTAGCCAATCATAACAATGGGCGTTAACACTGAACTCTTAAAGGGGAAACACCTCCAAAACAGACTGTTTGAATCAGTGGGGGAGAAACAGGGTGGGAAAAGGTCATAAATCACTACATTTTTAAAGTTTTTTTGTACAAAAAACTATATTAATACTATAATTGCACCTAAGGGAACATAATAAAACAAAACAAAAAACCATGTCATGACCCCTTTAAACCTTATTACAGGAAAAGAAAAAAGAGAGGGATCGTACTTTTAATATATTTAATAGAATAATGAACTTAGTGACATAATTTCATACATGTGAGTTGATTTAGGTAAAATAACTTTTAAAATATTAATAAATAAATGTATTTTCAGGAAAACAGGGTTGGCACAAAACAAGTTTTGAATAGAAATATCATGGGTTAAATTTTTATACATACACATACACTACTATTCAAAAGTTTGGGGACATTATTTAAATATTTTATGCTCATCAAGGGTGCATTTATTTAAAATATAGTAAAAACACTAATATTGTGAAATAGTATTACAATGTTCTATTTTAAAAATGTATTTAAAATGTAATTTATTCCTGTGATGGCAAAGCTGAATTATCAGCATCATTACTCCAGTCTTCAGTGTCACATGATCCTTCAGAAATCATTCTAATATAATGATTTTCTGCTCAGGAAATATTTCCCATTATTATCAATGCTGAGAACAGTTTTGCTGCTTAATAATTTTGTGGAAACTTTTTTGAAATAGATATTTTGTAACAATGTAAAAGTATCTACTCACTATTGGACAATTTAATGCACCCTTGCTGATTAAAAATATACAACAACCTTACCTACCCTAAACCTTTGCACAGTAGTGTATATTTGTTAACTCTGGCACATCAAAACTGAATTTAATGTTTTCTATTAAAATTTCAACATTTAAATACCAAAGTTAGTAACAACGTTTTGCATGCCTATAATCGAATATCTATTTGGGGAAACAGGTTGAGAAACCCGAGAATAACCCAAGAAATCTAAGGCAAAAGAAGGAAGAACTCTGCATATATCCAACCGTTTCAGCCAAGAATGCTGGGATATCTCATTCTCTGGACTCTATGTTGATTCGCTGTGATAAGCCACATGGTACTACGGTAATAAAAGCATGCAGGAGAAAGTGAAGCAGACATACCGGTGCTGCTGTAGAAGGCTAGCCCGTAGGAAGGGTGGAATTCTTCAATAAAAAACTGCGAGAGTGCAATCTCGTCAGTCCTTAATGAATCGTTCCCATTCTTCCAATAGAGCATGAGGTCGTTCTCATTGTACGCGTCTTCAAGAGAGCAAAGAAACGTGGGAAGGGGAGTAGGGATGTATGAGACAGCGAACTCTCTTTGAAGATACATGGGCGGCACCCCTCAGAGGAGAAAACACAGAGCATCCAAAACTATCTCCGTCGTCTCTCCCCTGAAGCTGAGGCCCATGTAATTCTGTGTGTTATGTGTGAAAGAGACAGAGATACTGTATGCAACTTTAAACCAGTTCATCTATGCAATTCTTTTATATCTGCAACAATGAATCAGATTAAATATGATTGTTAGTGAGTAAATAAAGAAGGGTAATATGATAAACCACTTGCAATCCAGAAACTTCTATAGAGTGCAACAGTGCCCTCCCACTTTTTCAGTGGCGTTGGTTCTAGAAGTATTTTTTCCCATTCATTTCTCCCATTGGGATTTTAAAAAAAGCCTTCGTTAAAGCGTTACCAAGCCAACCAGCTACGAGGTAAATCATAACATTACAAACTTTGATTTGAAGCAAAAAAGTATTTGAAAATCGGACAAAAATTCAAAGGTGCAAGACTGTGTTTATTAAGTTTATTGCAAAATATGCATATTGGAATATTTAAATATTTTGAGTGTAGGGAGACCAACTCTATTACTTCATCTGAGTGGGCGTGGCTTGCTTGTTTTGACTCTCTATGATTGGTGGAATTTTCTGTACAGCATCATGGGCTATGTCGTTTTTCACCATAAATTCCATTGTTAAACACGATTATTTGACGGCTTCAACAGAAGCAAATTCTACCGATTAACAACTTCGTTGCTCACAGTAAGGCTGTCTTTTAAGGTTTATTCAGTGTCCCTATAGAAAATGAATGGAGTTTTTACCTCCGGAACCCGACTGTTGCACTCTATTGAAGAAGTTGTTCACCCAAAAATAAAGATTATGTCATCATAATCATGTCGTTCCAAACACGTAGGACGATCTTTTGTCTATTTCACACATAAGGAAAAGTTTTCAGGAATATTTATGCTGCTCTTTTGACATATAATGAAAGAAGATTGTGACCAACCAGTAGCTGTTAAGCTACAAAAAGGTTTTTATGTTTTTGAAAGAAGTTTCTTGTGCTTAAGGCTGCGTTTCTATGGTCAAAAACACACTAAAACAGTAATATTGAGAAAAATAATTACAATTAAAATGAATAAAATGTCATTTATTCCTGTGATGGCAAAGCTGAATTATCAGCATCATTACTCCAGTCTTCAGTGTCACATGATCCTTCAGAAATCATTCTAATAGGCTAAAGATTTAGCTGAATTAAGAAACATTTCTTGTTATCAATGTTGAAAACAGTTGTGCTGCTTAATATTTTTGTGGAAACCGATAATTTTTTCATGATTCTTTGATGAATAGAAAGTTTCAAAGTTTTTACTGTCACATTTGATCAAATCAATGTGTCCTTGCTAAATAGAAGTATTCGTTTCTTAAACAAAAAAAAGATCTTTCAAAACAAAGTTTACTTTTGTACAAGCAGTGTGAACATTCCTTTGGTTTACTACAGAAGAAAGAAAATCATACAGGTTTGGAATGAAATGATGACAGAATCGTTTTTGGGTGAACTGTCTCTTTAACAAACAGTACATTTATGATATATTTACAGATATACTGAGAGCGAAGTGCTTTGACTAACTATTTCCTTGTACTTTGTTGACAGTACTTACTATTCAGTGTACATGTACACATGCGTTCAAACACAGACAGTCATACTCACAACTCTCCAGCTCTAGAGAGCAGTTCTGTGTGTCTAGAGGAAACCTGCTGAAGTCCATAGAGCAGAGAGCCGTCACAGTGATTCTGCAATTCACAATTCAGTGCAGCCTTAACAAATCACTTACAAAGAGACTGAAAATGTCCCTTTAAAATGGAGACATGTGATATTGCATTTAGCAAAACATCAAATTATAGAAACAATTGAGATGAATTGAAGTGAAAACTGATCCAGCATGCGCATGAATTGGCAAGGCAAACCTGACCATTTACACAAGCCTGCACTTGCAGTGCACGCTGATACTTCTTGGGAAAAACTACAACTATTCAGAAGTATTTAAAAGAAAACCACACCTTATTTGTCAGGTAAAGTAAACAAAGGGAATTTGGTTGCAGACAAATTAACCTGTATGCCTTTCTCCTGTGGAACAAAAAAGTATATTGTGATCAATGTTGATATGCTAACCAAATATTTTTTTGTTATTGAAATAAAGCTGTAATTAAATCAAATGTAAATATTAGATGAAAATCTTGACTAAATACTGAAATAAGTGCTAAAATTGCTAACTGAACACAAACAAACAAACAGACAGACAGAAAAACTAACAAAAATGTCAAAAGCACAAAAAATTACTAAAAATTCAACTAAAATTAAAATGATAACTGAAAATATAAAACTAAAAGCTATTTAAAATAAGAACTATAATAGTATATACAGAATAATAAAATACCATTGACATTTCAATTACATTACTATTTTCTTTCATTCAATAACAGTTCATAGATGGCAATAAAAAAAGGCCATATTCCAAATCTTCTGAAGTCATAATACAGCTTTGGTTAATGAATCGACAAAAAATTTTACTGCAACATTATCCCAAATAATTCTGTTCTCACAAAACAAAAGTGCAGCCCAATGCATGAACCAATTCAGATTCACAGGACTGAGCAAGCGACGTCTGTGGACATACAAAACAGGTTGATATCACGTCCGTCCGTCCAGGCCATAATCTGAACGTCCATTGACATCCAGAATTAGTTGATTAATGACAATGAGAAATTATGTCCAATCTGGCTATAATCTAAACGTCCACTGACAGCCAGAACTAGTTGAGAAAAGACGTTCATACTGGCTATAATCTGAACGTCCGGTGACATCCAGAATTAGTCGATGAATGACTTAAAAAAATATGTCCAATCTGGCCATAATCTAAACGTCCACTGACAGCCAGAACTAGTTGAGAAAAGACGTTCATACTGACTATAATCTGGACGTCCGTTGACATCCAGAAATAGTCCATAAATGACGTGAATAAAGATATCCAATCTGGCCATTATCTTAATGTCCACTGACAGCCAGAACTAGTTGAGAAAAGACGTTCATACTGACTATAATCTGGACGTCCGTTGACATCCAGAAATGGTCCATAAATGACGTGAATAAAGATGTCCAATCTGGCCATTATCTAAACGTCCACTGACAGCCAGAACTAGTTGAGAAAAGACATTCATACTGACTATAATCTGGACGTCCGTTGACATCCAGAAATGGTCCATAAATGACGTGAATAAAGATGTCCAATCTGGCCATTATCTAAACGTCCACTGACAGCCAGAACTAGTTGAGAAAAGACGTTCATACTGACTATAATCTGGACGTCCGTTGACATCCAGAAATAGTCCAGAAATGACGTGAATAAAGATGTCCAATCTGGCCATTATCTAAACGTCCACTGACAGCCAGAACTAGTTGAGAAAAGACATTCATACTGACTATAATCTGGACGTCCGTTGACATCCAGAAATGGTCCATAAATGACGTGAATAAAGATGTCCAATCTGGCCATTATCTAAACGTCCACTGACAGCCAGAACTAGTTGAGAAAAGACATTCATACAGACTATAATCTGGACGTCCGTTGACATCCAGAAATGGTCCATAAATGACGTGAATAAAGATGTCCAATCTGGCCATTATCTAAACGTCCACTGACAGCCAGAACTAGGTGAGAAAAGACGTTCATACTGACTATAATCTGGACGTCCGTTGACATCCAGAAATGGTCCATAAATGACGTGAATAAAGATGTCCAATCTGGCCACAATCTAAACGTCCACTGACAGCCAGAACTAGTTGAGAAAAGACGTTCATACTGACTATAATCTGGACGTCCGTTGACATCCAGAAATAGTCCATAAATGACGTGAATAAAGATGTCCAATCTGGCCATTATCTAAACGTCCACTGACAGACAGAACTAGTTGAGAAAAGACATTCATACTGACTATAATCTGGACGTCCGTTGACATCCAGAAATGGTCCATAAATGACGTGAATAAAGATGTCCAATCTGGCCATTATCTAAACGTCCACTGACAGCCAGAACTAGTTGAGAAAAGACGTTCATACTGACTATAATCTGGACGTCCGTTGACATCCAGAAACAGTCAATAAATTACGTAAATAAAAGATGTCCAATCTGGCCATTATCTAAACGTCCACTGACAGCCAGAACTAGTTCAGAACAGATGTTCATACTGCACTGTAAAAAAAATATCCTAATTTTACAGTAAATAACTTCCTATTTTCATCATTGTGGTGGCGTTCATGTGTGTTCAATTCGTAAATACGATCTTTATGACATGTCTTGAATGCATCAATAGCTCTATTTTAGGGACAATCCTTACAAACAATCATTGCTAAAATACATTACAGACTGTCACAGTGAGAAGATCTTTGTCCTTTATCAATGCTAAAGACCTAACCACTGCAGTCAACACCTTGGAGTATCCATGCTGTTAAATAAAAGTCTGTAGACAAGGGTTAAGGTTAGGGTTAACCCCTTAATTTCTAACCCCCGGTTTCACAGACAGGGTTTAGATATAAAGCCAGGATTAGGCCTTAGTTAAATTTGGGCATTCAATTATAGCTTTTAAAAATGTACCTTAGAAGAAAAAAACATTACTGGTGTGCATCTTGAGACAAAACAATGGCACTGACATAAGATATGTCAGTATAGCCTACAAGTTGCTTTCAGGTAATACAGCTCAAACGTGCATTTTAGTCTGGACTACAGGCTTAAAGGAGAACTCCGGCGCAAAATGAACCTCGGGTGTAATAACACATTGGTACAGACTAAATCGTTCCCTGAGATTTGTTTTCATGATAATCGAATGTAAAGAGTTTTATCTCTAAAAACAGTTTAGCTTATAACGCTAGTATATTGGGCATCGAGTAAGCAAAAAGAGATCGCTAGTTAATACCATTAACAAGGCTCAAATTAGCCCCACACTAACACGGCAGCATAATGAGTGTCCTTACATGCAAACCGAAGCATTGAGAACTTTGTAAGTGTATAGACAGTTTAATAAGAAGATACTTTACACAGACAGTACAGTTAGCGCATACAGACAGCAGCCATCTTGGAAAACAGTCTCGCATAAGAGAAGCACTTAACGCAACAGAGAAAATAAAAAAATAAATATAATTTATCTTATCTTCAATATCTACACGTACTGTTCGCTCACTCTCGTGGTTCGATTGGTCGAGACTGTTTTCCAAGATGGCTCCTGTCTGTATGCGCTAACTGTACTGTCTGTGTAAAGTATCTTCTTATTAAACTGTCTATACACTTACAAAGTTCTCAATGCTTCGGTTTGCATGTAAGGACACTCATTATGCACTGTTCTGATAAATTGCTGTTTATCAGAACAGTGATAAATAAATGTTATTATATATGGTATACAAGTTACTGTTTAATCTTTCATTTTTTATCTTTCATTTTTTATCTTTCATTTTTAATCATGCACTGCAATGAAAACACATTTAAACAATTGATTAAATATAACAGCCAGCCTACAAATACAACTAAATAGCACGTGTATATTTTTTTCCTATTCTTTCTTTTAAAACATTTCATATTGTCCTGTTATTGCAATGTTTTCACACTATTGGCTGTCTCTCCGAGTTGTTTTGAGCATGATTGGTTATTCTGACTGTCATCCAGGAATCTGGCCAATGACAACTATGCGCGCCTTTACCAGTCAAGTTTGAATACGTCAGTTGAAGTGAGTGGGTGTCTGTGCTCCTGCTCGGGACCTACTTCGGTTTTGTGGCTTTTACATTGTTTAAAACATGGATTATTTTACATCGGACTGCTAAATGTTTATTTTGAGCGAGTTGCGGGATGTAAATGAAGAACAAACAAGGAATATGGACAACGAACAATGGACATATTGCAATCTACGGAAGGTAACGTAAATAACTTTTTATTTTATACAAATTCTAATACATCAAAATATAGTGTATTAAATTGAGAATCTAAACGCGATTAGAGAAATATTGATATTAGTACGGTATTCCAATGTATTAGGCTAATTATGTGCTGAGCTAGCATGTGTATTGTCAGCTAACTTAGTTTATGATAAAAAAATAAAATAAAACTCAGCATTGGAGCTTTACAATGAGTGAACTGAGAACATTGTCTCTTTAGACAGAAGAACTCGAACCACACTCCTTTACTCGAGTCTAGAAGAATCTGCAAACTAGGCTTTTAAATTGTTGATCGCGGGATTTAACGTTAAAGTTAGGCCTAACGTTATTGTCTTGGAGCTGGTGAGTCAATTTTGCAAGCTTTTGTAAATGTCTCTGTTAGTAGCCTAAGTAAAAACAAATAGCTAATATTGCTGTGTGTGTTTCCTTCATGATCCAGGCATTTTGGGAGTAACGTTAAATATTATCCAGCCACACGATCTTCAGATGGTGAGTATTGTCATAAAATACACGTGAAATAGAGGCAGAACATGGACACTCTGCTCAAAGGCACACTGGTTCAAACCCTCCAGACAATGTTTTATCTTCTATCTTCTTGAGTTTATACAGGCCTAGCTGACCCAAAAATAAATGTCTAACTTACTTTTGTGAAACACAAGAATGTTGGGAATAAAACAACTGTATGAGAAAAACAAAAACAAATAAGGCATTTCTCAAGATATCTTAATTATGGTTCTACATAAGAAACTCATACAGTTTCAACATGAGGGTGAGTAGGCTAAATAATGAGAGAACTTTTCTTTTTTTTTTGGAT